AAATTGAACTTTTATGGATACACTTGACAAATTGTGATAGATTTTGTCTAGCGATTTGTTGGCAAAAGAGGTCATGGCATTTGACTTCTTGGCATTGCTATGCCTGTTTAGGAACTTATTTTTGTTTGTTAAACTCGTTTCAATTTTATGTAGCCTGTCTAGGCATTCCCTGTAACCATTTTATTAATGTCACAATGAAGAAACCAGGGACTTTGTAAATCATTCCTAAAAAGATTTTGGAAACCCAAGATTGAGTGCAGGAAGGCTTCTGCATGAGGAGCTCCCTACTGACTTTTCTCCCAAAGCAGGGGATTAGGTTCTGTGTGCTCTATTCTTCTGTGAGCCTTGTTTCTGTGAAAGGTTTTAGTGGGGTATGATGAACAGACTTGCACTTGATTTCTGCAAATGTTTTAATTTTCATTTCTTGCCTTCTGGCTTTATTTCCTGTGATTTTTGTTCAGGTTTAACATCTAATACCGAAGTTAATTTGTAATATGCTGGTTACCATAATATGTCCTCAAGGCCAAAGTTAATAGGATTGAAGAAGAGATTGTACATTCAAATCCTAACACTGTATTACTGAAGTTAACAAGTTTTCATTGTCTGCAACATAGATTTTCAATTTAAAGGAGAGGCTATCCCAACTCTTGCTGTAATCTGAGATAGTGTAGGATCTGGATCTGGCACTTGGCTGCTTGGTAGCAACTTTGGGCATCTGGAGGAAGAGTTTTTTAACTGCCCAGAGCTCAATTCCTGTGGCTGTGTTCAGGTACTCAGGGTGCTGGCAGGCATCTGTAGGTCGGGCACTGTGAGACAGGGGTCTTTAACTCCCCGCTCACCTCCTGTTTTGATTATATCTGTGCCTTTGTAAGTCTGGTTTTGAAGATTAACCAAGAGAACCATAGTGTAGCTTGGCAAAAAAATCATATAAACCTCATTAATTTTGCATAACTACTACGGTAGTTGAGACTTAAAGCCCAGATTTCTACTTTCCCTATAAGTATTTCTTGTTTTGAAATGTGAGGATGTGTTTCAAGAACCACTAATTAGCGCTTTCCCTTGAAAATTCACATGGGTTTATTCTAAGAACTTTTACCTTCATACTAAAGTGTAGAGTCTTTAAATTATTAATCCATAAATCATGTCAGTGTTCCTACATAACTTCTTGATTTTATCCTTAAATAATCTGCAGTTTATTTTTAAACACTAGGATTAGAGATCTTACTCCTCTACAGTTAGAGAGATGTGAATAGATGGATATGGCATGATACAGAAGGGGGTTACAATCAGATTTTGAATTCTTGCACTGCGTGCTGGACCTGCAGCAGTGCCCAGAGGCAGCAGTCAGAACCAGAGCACAAATCCTATGGGAGGATGGCCAGAGCCTCTCTTCCGAACAGCTTTCCATCTCATATCAGCCAAACTCATCAAGCCATCTCAATTCACAGAGGGGGTGAAGGAAGAGAGGAATAAAGAATGCAGCTGACCACATACTTCAGCTAGGCTCTCAGCTGGGTTTCCTGAAGCATATAATCTCTCATTTACTTTATTTTTAGTATTTTATCTTTTTTTGCCCCTAACCAAGCAGTTGTTATTTGAATGATTTGTCATTTGAATGATCTAGCTGAAGTCTGTCCTTTGGGAAAGAGGAAAGTAGCCTGCTGTACAAATTGGCTGGGGGCAGGAGTCAAGGGAACAGCATACAATAGCAGTAACATTTAGAAAACTTCTTATCACATTGATTGGCAGCAAAAATATATGCAGCACAAAGGAAATAACCAGCAACTGTTTTGTTCTTCTTCAGGTATTCTAAGTAGCATTAGACAACTTGTTGACACCCTGTGTCATTTTTAAGTTAATGTAGGTGGTATTGCATTTTTTATTTAGTTAAAGGAACAATATGATGCTTAGGACATTTATTTATATTTTGAGTGGTTTTATAACCTCAATATTTGCTCAGTGATTTAAGCTCAGTGATTAAGGTAACAGGCCTCCTGTGTGGGCTGTCAGCCCCCTGCACAGCAGAGTGGCAGTAAATACAGCTCTCGTGGGGCTACCAAGACCCACAGCTGAGCAGGAGATGGGAACTGGGGCTCTCTGCTAAGCCCACTCTATAAACCAGAGAGGGCACTGAGATGTTTTTCACTTCTTTCTTGCCAGAAGGATGACTCAAAACCAAAATGTAAATATTTAGTCATGGTCTGGCTCATGGTCTGCCCAAGGCAGCATCATAACGGGCTTGTCAAAAACATTATTCTAATTGTTTTAATTACCCTAAACATAAACCAATTTTTTCTACTTACACTCTTACTTTAGTATATATATATATAATATTTTTTTCTCCTGCTGTTGCTGAGAAGTTATAGAGAAGCAGGAGTGCTGACAAGCAGGTGGAGTTTTGGGTATTCCTAACATTGAAGTCTCTGTATGTGAAAGACATAGCTGAAAGGTAGTGGCCTTTCATACATTTCTGTATTAAATTTAAAATACCAGACAGGTTACAAAGGTGCTTGGAGGCAAAAAAAGGACTTTTATTACTCTATAAAAAGCTTATGCCTCATACTGATCTGTGTGGTTGTTTTACATGCAACATTGCATAATGGCTAATAATATAATGATGGGATAAAAAGTGAGGCAAATGTTTCCTCTGTGTTTCACTGGGTATGTGTTCTAGTAATTAATAAATGATGATGAAAAATAACTACCCCCATTTATTTTTTTTTATTATTTTTATAACTCGGGGTTTTTTTTCAGAAAGTTTATCAAGTTCTGTCTTTGTTATGTCATAAATCACATTTTAGTTCATCTTGTAAACAGAGATAAAATTGCCTTCCCAACATATTCCATGTTTTCCTGTGTAATTAACACCTCGTTCACAGTTGTGTCTGCCAGTCAAAGCCCTGTCTTCTTCATCCTGACACTTCCTTGATACTTTGTTTAGACTGCTGTGACTTTAAGTGTCATCCTCAGGATACTTTAGATAAGTTCAAACAGGAAAAGGAAGGTGCTTCAAGAAGTCAACACTGTAGATCGTTATAACTCAGAGGGACTATTTTAAAAGTATGGAGTAATTTATCTTTGTTTATTACATTATTACCTCTCATTCTGTTTTTCTGCTTTCTAAGGGAAGGTTTTTTTGGGGTTTTTTTTTTTTTTTTAAGTCAGGATATATCAGTTTCCACCTGTATTTCCGGAGCAGAGGTCAGTCCAAAAGTACAGATGTAGCTATGTGCAGCCCCCTCTGCTTGTGCGTGTGTGCCCTGGTGCTGTGCCCTGGCCGTCCAGGCACGCCCCTCAGTTGCTCAGTGAACAGCAGCATCAGTGAGCTGACCAAAGTCAAAACCTGCTCCAGCTTAGCCCAGCTGAGCTGCCAGCCCTAGCTGGTCCTGGGGCTGCAGGGCAGTGTGACCAGCACAGCAGAGGACATGCTGGAGGTGGGTAGTAAGAGCCAGGAGAGCCCTGAGCCCAGTCTAGGCACCTAGCTCTGTATTTTGGTTCTAAAAATTTACCCTTAGCTGCCCCAGTTACAGCCCTGCATGTGCAAGTACTGGTGGGATTAAACAGCTCAGCACATAACATATGTCTCAGCTAGTTAAGACCCAGGAATTTGGCACTCCAAATATGCTGAGGTGATTTGGTTTCACACTGACTGGCTGAGGACATTCATAAAACCGTGGTGGCAGTGTACATGTTGTGTGGCACAACCCAATGGCTGAAACACATCCGCACAATCTTTGTTCTGTTCCTGCTTCAGCTTGAAGGGCTTGAGATACCTACCACTCAGGAGAGTCCCTGGCTTCTGGGCAAGAGGTTGCCCTGGGAGAGGGATTTTCCACCCTTACTGGCATCCCCTCAGCACAGATCAAGATTAATGAAATGCATAGCATGAGAGTGCTTTCCTACAGATCAGGGCTCTAACCTGGAAACAGCAAAACTGTATTTCTTTCTGCTCCTGAGAATACTTCTGCAGTCTATGTCACACTGTTATTTAAGAAACTACAGAAGCAGGCTTAGAAGTAAGGAGCATAGTTTACAGAAATATCCCTATGTGTTATTTGTGAACCGTCAGCCAGAATTTTATTTTTTTCACTTTTTAAGCCAAGTTTTCACCAGGACACCTCCCTAATGCTTACCATTAATTTACACTTGCCATATGCAAGGGAAAAGTTTACTCTTAATGGATATAACTTTTTTTTTTTTTTTTTTTTTTTTTTTTTTTGCCATTTGCACCTAGATATTAGCTGTTCTCAGCTGTTGTTTCTAAAAAATGTGCATCAGATTTCAGCTTGGCAATAAAGATGTTAATTCTTGTAAATTACTTCCATTTTTATGTTGATCTTCCTATAAAAAAGCATATGTGAAAACAGTTGTTCAAGCAAACTCTGTACTAAAAAATTGTAATAGTTACATATGCATGTGTTTTTTAGAAACTGAGTACAAAGTCTCCCTTAAGTAGACTTTTATGGACTTCATGTTTTAATGCAAATGATTTTGCATGTGCATTATATATACACAGATGGTAGTAATTGCACAAAGGAGGTGAGTTGTTTTTGCAAATAAATCTCTGGCTTTTGTGCTCATTATCACATCCCAGAGAAGAAGGTATGTGTGTTTGTTAGTTGGGTTATATTGCACAGATCTGTTGCTGCAGCACAGTTTTACATCCCAAGCTCCGGTGTATTCATACAAATGTAATTTCTTTACACCTCATCAAGGTGCTTTGTTAATAACCCTATGTGCAGTCATATTTGAGACAAAGCTTTAAAATATGACATTGTTACTGGGATGGAGATGCAAATATAGTTTGTTATAACTATTAAAAACAATCCTAGATCTACTCATATTAGATAGTATTTCAGTGACTGATACAGAGAATTCATTTTGGATGGATTTTTTTTTCCTAATATGTAAGGCAACAAATCTTTTCTTAAAATTCTTATTCCAAATCAGTCTCTAACCACAGCATTTATAAATGTCTGTTGTAATTTTTTTGTTTCCAGGGGAGACGAGGCAAACCAGGCCTTCCAGGAAAACCGGGGCCACCAGGACCACCAGTGAGTAACTAAAGAGGGGAATGGGAGATTTTCACTCTGTCCTTGGACTTCGTTCACTCTTTTATAGCAGGTTACTGGATCATAATTATAGTTTAAAATAATTGACCTGTGTGTGTGTGTACTCTGCTGTATCAAACACTTACTACTAGTAGACTTTTTTCCAGCATAAATAAAAGGACTGGGTCCACAAGTAGGAGGGACTACAGGAGGGAAAGAACAAGATGGAAACTTCAGCAGAGGAAGCAGAAACTGGCATTTCAAAGGAAGACTGGCCATGCATGCTAGCTGTGAATACTGTGCTTTCATTTCCTTTGCAAAATGCGTGATGCTCTGTAGAAGAAGGGATAATTTCTGTCTCAGAGGGGTAATTTGAAAGATGAAGGACTGTGTGAAGCATGTGCCAACTGTCTGAATGATGGGGAGGATTATACCCAGCACTGGAATGAGCACTCAGCTGTAGTTCAAATGAGTTGACTGAGAATTAAAAAGATTAAGAAATACATGACTTTATGAAAGGATTTGTAATATGAAGAACTAAAGGGTTTAGCTCAGATCTAAGAGGTTTGGGATTTTCTTTTTCTTCTCTATTTTTTTTTTTTTAAAGATAAAGGATTTAAAATTCAACTCAGGCCTGAATGTATATTAGTCTTCAATGAGAGCAGCCTTTTTTTGTTAGAGGAAGACTTGGTCATATTTATAAAATTCTCCGTACATTGTATTGTAAAAATGCTGTCATGCACAAAGGCAAAATAGCTATTTGTGGATTAAGTAAACTTCTGCTGCTTTACATTCTTATTATAAAACAAAAAACTTATAATTCCTTCTTTTGCTTACCTTGATAAAGGCTGTGGTTTGTGCATCTGAACATTTGATTCAAATGTTTCAACCTGGTCTAACATGTAGAGAAGAGAATAATGCACTGCTGCATGGGATACAATGACTGAAATGAAACAGATGTCATCTACCCTCATCCAAAACAAAAACCGCATACATTTCATAAATAATTCTTTCTTGCAAAATGTGTTCAGAAAGAGGTGTTTATGATGGAATTCATTTATCCTGCATAAAACCAGTTAAAAATCCCTCCCTTTCACTCCTTTCCCCTGCATACAGTCATATTGAAGCCTTGCATGTTTGAGTCCTTTGCACAGTCCTAATGCTGAAATGGTACTGCAGATTGCAGGAGGCCAAACAGAGGAAAGGACCGATGCAGAATCTTTCTTAATGCAAGTGCCAAATATAACCTTTAAAGGATAAAAAAAGCAAACCATAGCAGAGGTCAATGTTAGACCTAATCTACTTAGCTTTTTGTCAGCTAGTGAAAAGCTGTGTCTGTGTTACAGATTTCTGCCATCCTAGATTTGCTGGCAGGTCAGGCTTGTGAAGATGTATGATCCTTGACAGATATACCAGAAATCTTGAGAGGAAGCTAAATTGCACTTCTATTACTGAGACGTAGCTCAGATTTTCTTACAGCAAATGGAAAGCTCAACTTTGTCAGCATGGCAACATCGCCACAAGGAACTCTGTATTGGGTACTGTAGCCTAGTACTACATACAGAGAAGCATTCTTTAAACAGCTATGGCCTAAATATTGGTTTAAAGTATTTGTTTCTGGTATAACTCTCTTGATGCACTCCTGGCTTTGAATACAGCTATACCACCATCTTGTGTTCCTTTTCCAAGGCTGAGAAGATAACATGTAGAAAAGGCATACTCTAAAAGCAGTAATGCCTGCTAACATGCATTGGCAGGATCCCCATACTTCAAGTGCCACATCTTGTATGCACCAAAGAAACATCATCAACAGGATCCATCATTCCCCCTCTCTTTTTCAAGGATCAAACTATATTCAGTTTTGCTGTGCTTCCAGTTACCCTTCTCTCCTAATAGTAAGCAGCTTCTTCATGCACATGGATGCATTGTTAGCCCTTACTTTGGCTTTTCTGAAGTAAAACAGCATAGTCACACCTGCAGTGTGGTTGCTGTCATAACTTTGGCCTACACGGGAACAAAGTGGTTAACAGATTGACTGAATATGTGAAAATTAGACTGTCCAGTATAGGAAAAAAAAAAAAAGGGTTTTGGCTGATGTTTCAAAAAAATAGGACATTTGTTTTTGAGAGAAAGAAAATTCAGTCATTAATTGTTAGGGCAGCTAGAGCATGCAGTGTGTGTTTAAATTAATAAATTTACCTAATTTATTTATCAGTTTATGCCATGATGTTGAGTATTTAATTTAGATATTAGTACTGCCAAGTGCTAGTACTGCCAAAAAGAAAAAAAAAAAAAAAAGCATAAAAACATAAAAACTGTGACAAGAAAATACAATACTCAAGGTATTTATTATAAAGGACAGTCCTAATAACAATGTGCACATATGGGGATTTGCAGGGAAAAGACTGGGGTAAAATTAAAGAAAACTCAAAAGTTATAAAAATTGCAGTCCACATGCTGTGCTTACATGTGACAGGAGTGTAAAAGCATCTGCTAATAGACAAAAACCTACTTGTAGTATGGCAGCATTTTAGACTTTTCTAACCTTCTCTCAATATCTCATATTTTTTCATATTTTTTCTTTTTTTTTCCCTAACCTAATTTCTGGGGATTTTTTTTTTTCAGTAAAATTAATGCTTGGTGTGAGTTTCTAGTCCCGTAACATCATCTGCATAGCTTTCATTAAAAACCTTTATCATTGTCAGAAACATAGATTGATTGGCATCTGGTAATGAAACTCCTCACTTAAAGTGTGTCTTTCTATGAAATTTCTTCCAGATATCCTTTCTTTTGTGTCATTTTTTTTCCTTATCCTTTCTTTTGGGCTATTTTTTTTTTTTTTTTGTCTTTGGAACAAGTATTGTGATCACAAAAGGCGAGGAATCAATGAGGATTTTGACTGATCAGCTATAAAAAATATTTTTGTAAATTTATGGAATATATTCCTCCTTTGTATTTGTTTAAAGTCTATTACATATCATAGACTTTTAAGGTGTTCTTTGATTCCCTTCTGGTTCAGAACTGGTAGTATGCGTCCTTGCTGTCTGCTGTTGGTTTTGAGTACTGTTTTGTTATTTCAGTTCAGGAGAGCCGAGATGGGAGCTCACACCCGTCTCAATCCAGCAGGTAGCAATTTGTGAATACAAGAATCCAAGTAGAGCAGCAGCTCCCTCTAGTGCTTTTTGACCTTTTCTCCACTTTTAAAGCTGGATAGCAGTGAAAATCTTCTGTTAAACACACTATTCGCTTTGCTCTCACAAGCATTCTGTAAATTGTGATTGTAAAATCAATATCTCTGTACCCTTCAAATGTATTTTATGTGTTTGCCTACTTCCATTTTCTTCTAAAGTCTTCTGAAAGAGAGACTGTCACATGCTGTTACCCTGCTCAGCATGGCTCTTCACTGAAGTTTAAATGCTGATTTTATGAAACAAAAATAATTACTATGATAATAGGATGCTTTAAGGTTGTAAGAACAGCATTTTGATCAGACTGCAGAACTGAGCTGATTGCTTTCTTCTGCCATGGCTACTAACTAAAATTCCATAGGATTCAGCAACACAGAATGGGGTCCCTGATGTCTGTCACTGTTGAGGTTGGGGGTTTATTGATTATTTATTTTTACCTTTAAATGAATCAGCAGGTATAGCGATTTACATAGATGGGCTAGAGAACAGAAAAAACGAGTTTTACTCATTTCTCCATTGAGGGTTAACTTTATCTTTCCTGTCCTAATTTTCTCTTTCTCTACTGGAACTGTTATGACTGGAGCAATTCCATTTCTTAATAGCTCCCATTTTAGTGAGTTAGCTTGTTTTTAAAATCAAGAGTGCTAAGCTAGAGTTGTGCTACAGACTTGCACCGGGATAAAATAAAATTCTTTGAGATGAGTCTGACTTCTGCCCAATTATTCTTTAGCAGAAGTGAAATGTTATCAGCCTGGTTTGTAAAGGTTAGAAGCATGAGGACTGTCTGTTCTGGCCAAACACAATCTTGTCCAACCTACCTGTGGCCAAGGTGGGAAAGAAACTTAGGGTGTGTTAAATCACAGGCTAGTAAACTGTAATCACAGTTCTTCATTCTCTTAAACTGAAACATCCAAAGCTAAGCTATTGTTTTCACACAATAGATATAACTGATTAATTTCACAGTTGCTATAGCTTTTGAAGCTTATCATTCAGTTTATCATTTAGCTTTGCAAGAGGCTGAACTTTGTCTTTTTTTATCTTCTTAAGTATTTTTGCTTGGAGATGAGCTTTGTGTTACTCCCTAAAGTTTTAGATTAAAACAGGGTTTCACTTTTGACTGCATTGCATGTGATGCAGTGGAGGAGTTCACTTGAACTTCTTCATTTAATTACATACACTTTTGGTGTTGTGATTCAATACGTATGTCAGTGCCCTCAAACTAGTTATCTTAAGTAGCCAGCAGTTCACTTTGGAAATTTCATTTCCTCTGCCTCAGGAAATATGTCATTCCTCTACCAATATTTTGGGAGTGAGTGAATGTTATCACTTAATTACAATAAAGAAAAAAAATCAAAGCAATGATAAGTGAAAATTGTCAGTAGCATTTCTGGTTTTCCTGGACTTTCAGCTGCTTCTTAGAAGAATATTGGAAACGCTTACATTATAGTGTGGGAATGGCTGGCAAAGGTTGGTCATATTGCTTGTTTCTATGCATTAAGGTTTTTTTTATCCATATCAAAATGTAATTTATTTCTTGTGTCCTATTGTGGCAGATGTTTTCATCATTCTTTCCATTTTCTCTTTGGAATAGTTATGCAATATTGTACATCTGCCCTGATGAGTTTCATGATGTTTTGCATTAAAATAAGCAGAAAAACGGTGTCTTATTTTAATGTACAGGCACCAAAGTTGAAATGCAGGGGTAAAATAACTGCACTGAGTCCCTTGCAGGCTGTGTTCTCTGAAATGGCCTATTATTGAGATGCAACCATTGCAATTTACTTGTTACCCATTTTATGCATGGACTGTGAGATTGGGTAGATTTTTTCAGCAGTCTCATCTTTGCAGAAATGCAGGTGAACTATAAAAGTTAAGGGAGTAAAATACATTGTAAACCCCAGTAATTTCACCGTTTGGAGCTATTTCCCTTTAAGCACCTGTGTTTCTATTCCTGCCTTGTCTGTAGAAATAACATCTCAAACCTGTTTGCAATTTTGGAAAACAATCAGGACATATTTTCACTTCTTTTCTTATTCATACAACTCTACTCTGTGTGCTTTGCTTCTCTCAATTATACAACTTGATATTAGAAAAAAAAGAAACCCTGCTCAAGTGAGCTTCAAAGTGGCAGATGTGCAAAATTCTCATTCAAAAGCTAGAAACTGCTGGTACAATAATTCTTCAACTGTTGTTAATTTCATTGCTTCTCCACTTTCAAACCAATGCTGCTGGGATTTTTTAGTCTGTAGAAACTTCAGAGTAGATTGTGCAACTATATAAATGTAGTGAAAGTGTGGAAGAAAGGACACTACAGTTTAGGGAAAAAAAGTCTTGAATAATATTTTCTGTTGTTGTACACTTGTTTTACTAGTTTTTTTTTTGTTACAGAAAATTGATGGAAATATAAAATTATTAAATTTATTTCAATTTTTGGAAAATACTAAACTGGTAACTCAAAGGCTGTGGCATACTCAAGAATGCAACCCAAATGCTTAAACTTCTCCTTGACTGTCTTAGTCATGAGACATTCTGGGGATTTTTAGGGATATGTTTATTTTCCAGAACTGAGCCAATGTACTTTTAATCCTGTCAAAATTTATTTATTTATGTACAAATAATATCTGAGAGTTTGGGGTTGATGGCAGATACAGCATTAAATTCTTACTGGGTTGTGTGGCTGCAGCAGTTTTCGTGGTGGAAAAACAATAAAAGAAGCATGGTACATGGTGTCAAATGCAAAGGGAGAATAAGTTCTTACTTTTGATTCCTTGCAGGATTTCAGAATTCTCCAGGAATCCTGGGTTCAAGGATTCGCCACAGCAGGTTTACAGTGCTGATGTTGAGATGTCTGGGCAGTGTCATTATGCTTCAGTCCCAGTTCTGATTTGCCAGCTTTGTTATGGATGTCATAGTAAAAATTCTGCCATTAACTTCAGAAATCAGAGTGGAGTGAGATCATAGTGAAAACATCACGAGCATGTTGATCTTATTTTTAACATAAATTTGAAGTGACATTTCACTTTGAAATAACAGGAATGCACTTTTGTCCCTTCCAATGTAGGGAAGAAGGAGGGAGTGAAACACCTGAGATGTTTCATGTGGCTTCCAAGTTTTCCTAGTATCCACACTAAGAGAAAAGCTGCAGAGGGTAAATTGTAATTACAAAAAGCCCCAGAGGAGGAGAGTTGCTTTTGTGCCTCATCTGTGTTACATCCGTGTCAATCGGGCTAAATGACTTACCTGAATATATTGTAATTTTATTAATACAGTTCAGTGTTTCTTACAGCCATCATGAGTGGTTGTTGTTCATTTTGCATTTGTGAAAGCTTCAATTCAAAGAGAGTAACTATGCTAGTGTGTAAATTTAATTGAGTCTTGGTTCATAAGAACTGACTGAACACTTTCTGTGTTCTGCTCCATCTACCAAACTTAAAAATATCATTGAGGGCATGCTTTTTGGCAGAATATGCTTAAAAATGGGGGGATTTATTGTCCAAAAATACTTTTTCCCAAGTACATTTTTCAATTTTTCTATCCTAAATGTTCACTTGATCAGGAAGTTCCTTTTTCAGTGTTGAATTTCTTGATGAAATGTGTATTTAAATAAAAACTTGCAATGCTAATAAAACTAGGAAGTTAATATTCTGGAGAATTCTTGCTTTCCTCAATTTCACTTACTGTACTCCCATGTTAAAAACCTAGCTGTTTATTTACACTAGGAGCTGCTTCTACATCAAAACTTGTGCTTTGAGTTAGTGGAAAGAGTTTTAAAATGCTGCAGAACAAGAATGTTGTTCATACCAGAAGGGACTTGTATTAAAATTGATATAGATTTCATTCTGCCTTCTCTGACTGACCAATTCACTTGAAAATAAGTTGCTGGTTTTCAAAATTCAGAGATTTAAAAACTAACTTTCTTCTTCCTCTGTGCCAGAAAAAAGAAATGATGAAGTTACAGAAGACAATTCACTGTACATTAAAAAAAAAAAAAAAACAAAAAAAAAAAACCAACCTTTTACCTCTCTACCGCTCTTAAAAAAAAAAAAAAAAAAAAAAAAAAAAAAAAAAAAAAAAAAAAAAAAAAAAACCTTTTACCTCTCTACTGCTCTTAAAAAATATATATATATGCAAGCAAACATAAAAATAGTTAAATTAAAATGACCTTCTGATGCATATTTTTCCATATAGGGCCCATCTGGACTAAAAGGAATCCTGGATTCATTGAACAAGCATTATAATGAGGTATGGAGATTTCATTTTGTGTCTGTGTGGGTTTATGACTAAGTAGTATCTAAGGTAGAAATGACTAAAGTTTTGATTCCTCATTCCAAACCACTTTCCAAGCCACATTCCAAATTAATTCAAAAGGGAATTTCTTTCCTGCCCCCTTTCTGCATCCCTTTACAAGTTTCAGTCCACACTCCAGTCACATTCCTGCCTTGTCATCTGTCTTGCTGCCATGTGTCTTGCCTCCCATCCATCTTCTACTTACTTGTTTTTGACTGGTAAAACTCAGAAAGGAAATGTGTGGACCACCTAGCTGTTAGTGTGAAGCACCAGCTCCCCATTTCTAAATTTAATTGCTTTAAACTGTACTTGATGTTTCTTTCTTGACCAACTCTATCATGAGTCTAAGAGTAGAATAGAAAGACAATGAGGCATAATTATGAAGAGATATGCCAGCAGTTCATGAGAATTGTCCTCATGTTTGTATTGCAGACTAATAAAAATACTGTGTCAATTACAAAACCACCTGGAGCTAAAAGAACTTAAAAGAAAAAAAAAAAAGTTAAAATTGCATAGGACTGTGTACAACTTGACAGAGCTTTTACATTTTTACTGCAGGTGTTTCAAGTCATTTAAGCTGTGGTAACGTCTGCCATTGTATGAGAATAGAGAAGTTTACTTAATTGATTTGGGAGTAACCTCTCTGATCAGAAAACCATTTTGTTCAAAAATTCAAGATGCACTATTGCAGCATTATTTCCCCACTACAGTGGTTAATATGTGTATCACAACTTAAGTCATGCAGGTCAAGCCTAGAGGGAATTAATTTATTTTAATATTAGAATGCATTAACTACACATGAATAAAATGCATGTGTATTCAGGGTATTTTTCTTATTTAACATTCCCAGATGAATGCTAAAATCTTTCCTTGAACAGGGAATCTGGAGTTAAATTCATGTCAAACATACCTTTCCAGCTGCTTTTGTCACTGAAGTGATTTCTTTGATATTAATTATGATATTTAATCCATCCCAAATCAGTATATCACCTTAGAAGCATGTATTAGGAATTAAGCAGAGCATTTTTTATGCTTACAGACTTAGTTCCTGTATTTGGTCTCCTGCTTCATATATATGTGTTGAAGTTTTACATATTTTGGTTTTCATGTTTGGTTTCCTTACCAGTTTCTTTTTCCTGCCAGAGAGCTTTTACGGATACCAGCACTGTTTCCTCTATTGATACCATATTTTTGTAACTCATTCCCCACCTCTGCCTTATCAATCTCTTTAATCCTGATAGTCCCTTCAAGGTTAATTCTACAAGAGAAAATACAAACAGTGATGCTCTCCAGGAAATGACACACATCTGTCTCTAAAATTCATGTTTCTTATAATTATAAGGCTCTAAGTAATCTTAAGGTGGCTAATATTTCCTAATTAACAATCTTCTGGAAAAAATGTAGACCAGCTGGTATGTGTCTATAAATTCATTATCTTTTAGATCCTGTATTGCTCATCAACTTTCTTCTTACTTCAGCTGTCTAGTTTGAAGATTTTAGTGACTCTGTCATAAGCAATTAACTGTTCAACAAGGAAATGCTGTTTGATTCCTGATGAAAGATGAGCTGGCTTTCTGATTCAAGTAGAAGGTTCTGAATATGCAAACTTTTAGTTAAAGTTGACTCCTAGAGTCAACTTAAGTCTCCAACAACAAACATATTAATTCCTATACATTTTAGAATGAGATTGAGATATTCCCATCAAGCACAAGACAAAAGAGGTCTTCAAAGAAAAAAGCAGCTTCTCTGCTTTGCCATTCAATCACTTAGGCAGATGTATGCACCAGTAACTTGTATTTTCTCCATGCTGTTACGTGCTATGACAGAAGCTGATTTTGTCCACAGCTCCTTGGAGACATCAAGCAGTTATTCACATTCCAGTATTGAATTTGCAGTGTCCCTCAGTTATCAGTGGTGAAATGATATTTGAGTCATGCTCAGAGGTTTTTGAGGTTTCTTACAGCACAGGGAATGGTGGTGTCATCTTGCATCATTTTATCCATGTTCTCAAGGATGTCACAAGGTCTTCTGTCAGTTTGGTGTTTCAAGTGTTTTAGGTATTGACCACATTTTAGTTGTTATAAGTATTTTCACACTTTTTTTTTTTCCTGAGAATATTAGTATGACTTCTTTGTGTTGGTATTTTTAGGAACCATAAGAAACTGATACCAAGAAATATGGTGGCTCTTAAGACCCATCATAATTAACAACATTTTTTCTATTTCTCAAGTTTCTCTGTTTCTTATCAGATTATTTGCTATTTTTCTGATTGCTGTGTGGTAATTTCTGATTGTTGTAATAAGTATTGGTAATTGTACAATGTATTTAAAGAATGTATTGCAACCAGAATTTTTCTGGGTCAGCATCAATCACTTTATCAGTGGGAATTTTAAGAAGGCTGGAGTGCAAGTCTTTAAAAGCATAATTTACTTGATCCATGTATACAGTGAAAGAGCACTATAAATACAATTGCTGATTGCAGCAGCAAATTGTGCTGAACAGCAAACCAAGATCAGCAGTCTTTCTTTAATGAAGGTGAGAGGAACCTGCTGAGGATAAGTAGTAGCATTGATCCTTAATGGGGTGGGAGACAGTGCTGGAGCATTGCTTCCCTCATTCTTCCTGTGTGCCTGTTTTTACTGTTTTTATATTCCTTCTTTGCATTTTCAGCATTAATCAGATGCTTTGCTTGTGTTCAATAAACACATTTTGTTCTCTTCTTTTTGCCAAGAAACTAATTCTGCCCTGTGTGTTACATTTCTTCAGAGATGGGTACACAATGCCTCAGAATTTGCATTTTTGTACTCTCAGATCTCTATTATCCTTTGCTTGGGTTTTCAAGGCCTCTGTTTGTCATCCTTCTTACTTACCAGTTTTCCATATGTAGATATAAGGTCATTTAGCTGAACTTGCTTCTAAATGTCTTTGGAAAGAGCATGTAGATAAGTTTAATCAAAAATGTTATCCAGCACACAAAAATAAAAAAATAAACCAAAACACAAATAAATAGAAACTACAACACAATCTGGTCAGGAAATGTTTCAGAATCATTATAATTTGTTGTAATTTTTACACTATTATGGGATAATTCATTATTAACTTTCTAAGATTTTTTTTTTGCTTTGGTGTATTTTTCTTACATTTGGGTTTAAATTACCTATAAAAATGCAAAGAACATAAGCAAGTTACCTATAAAAATGCAAAGAAAATAAGGGTGGTTATTTGGTCTAAAAGCCTTTTCCCCCTTTTTTCCTCCATATATGCAAAAAAACCCCCACAACTCAGTATAAATCATAATTTGTAGCGTACTCATGGTAACAGACACTGGATGATCAGCCCAGTGGTAGTCAACCACTTCTCATCAGTACTCGGGTATCTGGGTATCTGCATCTTGTTCTGAAGGTGATTTTGATAATTAGTATACTCACAGTGTTACAAACCAAGGAGAATCCATCGGGAAATTAGCATTTCTACAAAAACTATTGATTTTTTCAATTTATATTCAGTTACCATCTTCTGAAAAGTTACTGGAAGTAAATAGTGACATTTTCTGATCTTTGTGCTAATATTTCTTTCCAGAGTGATACAAGACTACTGGGAGTACTTGGGATCCCTGGACTTAAAGGCCAGAAGGGAGACGTTGTAAGCATTTGGGATGAATTTGGAGAAATTTCAAAGTGCCTACCCAAACTGTCCCTGGCACCCTCAACACAGTGCATTTCATTTGATTTATCTCAATGGGCTTTGAAGGAATAGATTTTTGAGATGACTGGCACTTTGATCTGTGTAGACCAATATCCAACTCATCGGGTTATCCTGCAGTGGCAACATATGATCCTTTCTCCTCTAGCATAAATAGCAAGGGGAAATGCTGAAAGAATTATGTATGGTTTCTATAATGCCATCTGAGAAGTCAAATGAGCTGCCCTGCCAATTATGTGGGAAAGACTCTGAAAAAGTTAAAATTCAGAAAATATTTTGGATAGTAAATAATGAATATTTAAAGCAGTTTCTCTGTAATGGAGACTTTCTATACCAAAAATACTCCTAGGCAGCTTCTAAAAATTGCGTGCAAGTATAATTCTGAATCCACACCATATGGCGCTATATTGTTTATCATTATCTATCCTGTATAAACAGCTCACCCATATTTTAACAATTGCATGCCTTTCAAACTTTTAGGAGAAGAGACAAGTGCTCTGGATATGTGACAGAATTTGCAACATTTTATTGAGAAGCCTGCAGATCTTCTATAGAAAACAGCCGTTTCAATTAATTTGCAGCTGTTTAAGCTTGATTTTAAGATCTTGTGGCCCACACAGAACAAAGTACAGTTAAAGAAGAGAAGGGGGTTATTTACATTTGCCAGAATAACATGATTTTAAATATGATTAATTTTGTTAAAAGGGTCAAAAAGGAGAATTGGGAATGACTGGTGCAAAAGGAGAAAAGGTGAGTTAATTCCTTTCTTCTGTGCTCATGTTTACTAGAAGCTGACGCAATAAACTGATTATGAATGAAATCTTGTAAAATATACAGGGGATCAAGAAAAAATGTTGGGAAAATATGGGAAAAGTTGTCAGTCTCTAAATGTCCTTAGTACTTTATTCAAGCCCCTTCTTGGGAGGCTATTTACACAGGCAAGTAAATTTCCCTGTTCTACAGCTCACAAAGCCCTTAGCTTTAAAAGCATTCAGACTTTTGCTTAATACCAGTTTAAAATTATTTTTATATAAGTTTATGACCAGAAGCTGCCTCATTAATTAGGTGACAGTCATACTTTTTCAAGTTATATGGTCTTCAATATCTGTATGAAAAAACAAGAAGATTTAAATTATTAAAATTTACACATTAACATTCTAATTGAGTATATTTAAGTTTTAGTATAAATTTTACAGTATGATTCAGGATGTATTACTTGATAACAGATGTGTATTTTGCTTTTCTAGGAACGTGTACATAGTTCTACTGATTAATAGGTGTTTTCTCATTCAGCTGTGAGGCTTCTTGGTTTCTTTGGTCATACCTATAAAAATAGTTTTCATGCAGGCAGAAACAGTATTTTTACTCCCTTGATATAACAGATTTATGATTTTGTGTGTTATAAAGAGCCTGTGTTTGAGAATTTTTCAGATTTGGATGCATGATTACTCTCTTTAGTTCATGTTCCTGACCCTCCTTTGTGCTCCTGCTTGAAAGGATCACAGATGTCATGGTCTTGGCATTAAATCAACATCATCTCTCAAGTAAACTTTTGTAGTACATATTCTTGTATTTTAGACAGTTTTAGAATAGCCACATCTTCCAGGCCTCTTCAGCAAAATCAGACATATGTGCTATTTACCATTTTAAATAAATCTGTTAACCCCTTTTCTACTTTTCCTTAGGGAGAGCCTTCTGAAAAAGGGGACAAAGGAGACCCAGTAAGTGTAGCATATTTTGAACTGCTGTGAATAACGTACATTTGAGATTACTCTTATATCATATTCATTCTGTAATTCTTTTCTTTGTAGACATCCACTAGATGCAGGGGTTATGTGGGATAGCATATGTATTTTCTCCTTACATGTGCATCAAGGTCTCCCAGGTTATAAATAAAAAACAGAGGTGTCCTGTTTTTCAGCATTTCTGTTACTGTACTGTCCATGAACTGAGTTTAAAGTATATGCTGTTTTTTTTTATTCCCTGAAGGTTCTTTCTTTCAGCTCTTCCAGAAAGTTTTATGTGGCCTGATCTCTACTGTTTTGATGCCACCAGCATGGCATTTAACATCAGGCTGTTCTTGTCCAGCCATTTTATGTGTGCATAACTTTTTCCTTATTTTGAGGCAAATTTTCAGAACACTCATTCTGTAAAAGTCTCTTTACCTATGTTATGTATTTGTAATTAATTATTGTCCTCTCTTATGATATTTGACAAAAGCTAGTTATGCTTTTTAATATAAAACTCAAGGTTGCTGAGATATTTGTGGTTAACATATTATAATAATCAGAATAATACTGTAATAATGTGTGGGTTTGGAGGTGAATACTGGGTACCAGAAGAGATGCAGTGATGAAGAATAACCTTTTGACTGGAAATGCTGTTAAGGAAATGTAGTGTTTTCAAAAATTTTTCCTTTAAAAGATTGGGAAATCTTGCGAAAGGATTAGGTTGCTATGTCTTTCAGAGTTTACAAAAGGCATCGGAAAGTATTTAATATTTTCTCAATATTTAACTTTGCAAAGTGAATTACAATATTTTAAGGTAGCAAATGAAACTCTTATTTGATCCTACTTAAATTTCTAACTTCTTATAGTTGTATTTGCTATTTTTAGGGAGAGACTGGAATGGAGGGATCAAAAGGAAATAAGGTATTTTTGGACTTGTACATGCTGTATACATTCTCAGTATGCATAGCTGATACTGGAAAACATAGCAGTAAACTTGGAATTTTTTGTTTTCTCAAACAAAATCATTAGGGTGAAATGGGAGATCCTGGACCACCTGGTCTTATTGGAAATCCAGGATTGAAGGTAAGTGAAAGTTATTTCATCCAATAACAATTGAATTCTATGCTGTTATAAAAGAGGACTCTACAGCTATCAACTCTTTAGTATTAACGAGCAAAGAATGAAAATAGTTTATATCAAAAGTTTGTGCTTGGATCACTATTGGCTATTTTACATAACATTTATGTTTTACATTAAGTTCTTGTTGCTCTCAGTGTCACACAGAAAGGAATATTTAAGCAAAACTCAGGTGTTATTTTGTCACTTGAGAATATGAGCACCCTTTTTGCAATTCGAAATCCTCTTGTAGCTGGATGTATTCTCTTTATCCCTTGGTAATTCAAGGAGTAACCACTGCCAGTACTTGAGTAGCTCCTTTGTTTAATCCTGTGAGACAGCAGGTAATGTTAAAGCAGTCATGGCCTGGCTTTGAGTCTGTCCTCACAGGCAAACCTCAGGAAGTGTGGCCTGGATCAGTGGACAGTGAGGTCGATTCAGAACTGGCTGAGCAGCAGACACCAGAGGCTCATAGTCACAGCACAGGGTCTAGTTGGAGGCCTGTCACTGGTGGTGTCCACCAGGGTTCATTACTGGGCCCTGTCTCATTTAGTTGGTTCATCAAGGACTTGGATGAGGGAGCAGAGGCCTCCTCAGAAAGTTCCCTACAACACAAAATCTGGGAGGAATGACCAATACCCCAGAGGGCTGTGCAGCCCTTCAGAGGGACCAGGACAAGTTTGAGAGATGGGCAGAGAAGAAATGCCTGAAACTCAACAGAGGAAAGTGCAGGGTCCTGCACCTGGGGAAGAATAAACATAGGGGACAACTTGCTGGAATGCAGCTCTTTGGAAAAGGACCAGCAGATCCTGGTGAGCCTGGTGGGCTCCACCATGAGCCAGCAGTGCCCTTGTGGGCAAGAGGGCCCATGGTGTCCTGGGGTGCATTAGGAAAAGCATGGTCAGCAGGTGAAGCAGGAAAGTGCACCCTTCTACTCAGCCCTGGTGAGGCACATCTGGAGTGCTGTGTCTAGTTCTGGGCTCCTCAGTACATGAGGGACATGGAGAGGAAGAGCTTCTTTACTGTGTGGGTGACTGAGCAATGGAACAAATTGCCCAGGGAGGTTGTGGAGTCTCCCTCTCTGGAAGAAACTGCAATGTGCTATGCTCTTACAAGGAAAGGCTGAGGGAGCTGGGCTTGTTCAGCCTTGAGAAAAGTCAACTGGAAGGAGACCTCATCACTGTCTATAAGTATCTAAACAGTGGTGTTGAAGTTTCCAGGTTTTTTTCCAGTGGCGTCAAGCAATAGGACAAGAGGCAATGGGCAGAAACTGATGCACAGGAAGTTCCACCTGAACATGAGGAAGAGCTTCTTTACTGTGTGGGTGACTGAGCAATGGAACAAATTGCCCAGGGAGGGTGTGGAGTCTCCCTCTCTGGACGAAACTGCAATGTGCTATGGAATGACCCTGCTTGAGCAGGAAGGTTGAACCAGATAACCCGCTGTGGTTGCTTCCAACTTCACCCTTTCTACAATTGTGTGATTCTGTGAAGAAAGTAACTGAAGCACAAACATTCTTGGGAATCTCTCATGATGCCTTGAATTGTATCAAACACAGATAGAATTAGAAACTATTGAATCTAACTGCCTCCCAACAGTATTCTTGTTGGATAGTATCTGAATTTTAGTTCGTGAAAAGAAGGCCCAGTGAGAATGGATGTGCCTATAGAAGCCTCAAAATTGTTGTCATAAAAATGACTCTTGAAATCTTGATCTCTTTTTTTTTTTTTTTTTTTTTTTTTTTTTTTTTTTTTTGTCTTTCCCTTTAGGTATTCCCATTGTATTTACTTGTATTTGCTTTATATACATACTTTGGATTTTGTACATATCAGTCCACAAGATGGACTGAACTAAATGTTAGAGTAAGGGAGAATGAGCAAACTCATTCTCCCTTACTCTAATGAGTACTTCTTACTCCATGTGGAATATAATTCTTAATGCCTGATGTTTTAATATATTCACATATAAGAATGCTTTACACCATATTGCAGTAGTTGATTGACTTCTACCTCAGGTGTGTATTGTATCATTTCACAGGGACTGCAAGGCCCTCCAGGACCTGTTGGACCCCGGGGACTGCCAGGAGAAGTTGTATGTATTGTGCCATTCCTCCAGCTGTAGCTGCGGTGCATGAGCAGTTAGCCAGTGAAGCAGTGCCACAGAAGTCACCATAGCTGCTCTTTTTGTGGGTGGTACTGTAGCTATCAGGTTTTGAAGCACAGTAGGATGGGATGCCTCTCTCAACAGGCCATTATCCTGAGTTTCTGTAAACCTGTGCTTCTGACACTGCAGCCAGGAGTAGGTCTGGATATTGGGGTCACTGAAATGAGAGTTTTTACCCTTCTTGATTATTTCTCCCTTGTTCCCCTGTTAGCATTATGTTAGTTGGCTCCTGGCTTCTCATTCCTGCCAGGAGATCATTGCTTGGCTGGGATGGTAAAGCAACAAGTTCTCTTAGGTTGTGTTGTGCAGCTGTACCAGGCACAGATGTTACTGGGCAAGGCTCCCAGAGATCTAGTGTGCTTGTGGGTGCAACACTGGTGGGCTGGGAGTGTCAAGCAGTGGTACTTCTCAGCAGAGTTGGAATGTCCTGTAGTCATTGTGCTTTTGGGTGCTCCCAACTGATTGGGAGGTCTGCCAACTGATTGGGCAAGGTGGTGTGGGTCTCCTTCATGGGGGTTTTAGTGTCCCTGTAACAATTATGCCACTGGGCAGCAGCCTGATGGGTCTCCTGGCTGGTTGGCATTTCTCAGACTGGTAGGCACCTATCCCAAGATCCAGCACATTTGTAACACTTGTGCCTCTGGGAAGAGCAAGGGTAAAATGTCAACCCAGTCTGGATTCTCCAGGAAACATCTTAAACTATTAATCACGATTATACTAAGCTTGAAAGTGCCCTGGGCGTTTGATTTGATATAGCAGAAGCCTCTCCTGGGGTAGTGGCTGCCTGTCTCCCTTCCAAATTATGGCACAATTCCTCTTTCAGCATGCAGACAACTATTTTCTGCCTAATTCCCTGTGTTTCAGTCCGCAACACTAGTGGTGTCACATAACCTAGCAAGTGGCACCTACCCCCTCTTCTTGGTTTTTGTACCTCCCCTCTTCCATAAGCCATAAAATGGTTTTAAATAGCATTTTGGAGGTAAGAGTGGTTAGATCTGAGAAGGGGATCAAGAAAAGCAGACAATAAAAATATTATCTTTAGCCTAGTAGTTCAGCAATTCACTTAAAAAGGACTGAGATTTCGATCATTACTCGGTGTATGTGGTTTTGGTTTTTATCTTTTTTCTACCAGCAGAAGCATCTAGAAGATGGTGTTGCTGCATTTTGTCTTAGGACTTTCTACACATACCCTGAGAATACATTGTAGAAGATTCTCATTTTGACTCTTTTATTTTGACTTTTAAGCCATACACTTTATTAGGATTAGAATACCCTTCTGAGTGGTACAGAACTGGCAGACTTTTTATTGGTGACCTATTAGAAGTCAGGGATATAAGTAAGGTGACCAGTACAATACAGCATCCTCAGCTCTTGACAAGGGAAAAAACCACTAGTATTTAAATTTGCATGTAGTCACTTTATACTGTGTTACTAATTGACAATCTTATTATATCTTATTTTCCTAGTCAGTTGAGGCATGTGTTTTTTCAGTTGGGTCTGATTTACCTATCATCTATTCAAAAGTTTGTAAGCCTTATCTGCTGTGCTTCTTTTTATGTATAAATCACCAATCCTACTGTGAAAGATAACAAAATACTCATTTCTCTCTTGCTTGTGTTGCCATCATCCCACTTGAGTTCATAGTTGCTGCTTTTGAAAGTGGTGTTTTGATGAATCTTTGAGCAAGAGAACATTATGAACAGATAAATACTAGTTATAATATATGTAAGTCCTAAATATAGATGATCCTGAAGACTCCTATCTGTGCACACAACTCTAGTATGTAAAAGCATAAATTTAAATGTATTATAGAGATATTGTCCTTACCTATAGGCTCCTTGTTTTTTTCTCTTCTAAAGATGAACCATGATAGATTAAAAAATATAATAATTCATTTTATGCAGTATGGTGAAAATTATGATAGTTTGAAAAATTGTTTTACATTAACTTACATTGTCAAAGAGTCATCCTGCAGATAAGGATTGCTTCTTTTCCTAAGAAACCACTTGAGCTTGGCCCAACCAAAAAAAATTTGATTTGGGAAATCCTTAGAAAAGAAGAGAGAGAAGAGGGGCTGTATGTATTTTATGCCAAAAAGTGATAGGGTAGGCCATGATCAGTAAGCATAAATTTCCATTTCCATAATGATTTTGTGTTGGTATAAGCAGAATATTCTTCATTAGGGTACTTTCTTTCTTATGCTTTTAGTTTGGATGCCTGGGTGAAATGAGTAGCTGTCTGTCTGTATTAAGTACAGAATGCAGCAGAGAAAGCAAACACAGCTGCTGAACATCCACTACTGGCATGAAAATGTTGTCATCTGTTATGTCAGTGTGCACAAAACTGTGTTTTACACTGAGAAGAAAAATTCAAACAATATGTGTTTCCTTGTCTTCTTCTTAGAGAGTTCATTTTTCAGTCCAGCTTAGATTTCATATTAAGATTTTACTGTTCAGTTTGGGCAATTTTATCCTTTACTGTGAAAATTACTGGTATTTTTAACAAAATGCTTGACTAAATAGTTGGTTGAATAACATTGAAGGGTCATGGAAAAAGTTTTCTGTATTTGTTGCAGTGTTGTGAGAGAACCCAATTAAGCCTTACTTGTTATTTAATAGTTTCTATTTAGATTTTAATCTTTTTCATTTATCTTAATTTCTCTGCATTTATCAAAAATCCTTCATTAAAAGGACAAGGGAAAATACAGAAGTTAAAATCAAAATGTGAAAGATGAGAAGATTTAGACAAGAGAAAGACTGGAACAAACTTTATTTACTGAAAACATTTGACTGTCCATTACATATCTAAAACATTTAAAGGGATTTGTTTGATTAACTGACGTGAAGGAGTAGAAATTAATTGAGGCTTTTAAGATACCAGTTTGAGTAATTAACTAGTACAGGAAATCATGCAGCCCTCCATGGGCAAAAAAATTTAGACACTTACTTAAAATTCAAGTTTTTATGTGCTACTTCTTTCCTTGAAAAAACAGTTGATTTTCAAGACTTGGAATTACTTTGAAATAGAAGAAATAAACCTTTTGGTCTCTGCAATTCTCCCCCAGTAAGGTCCAGAAAATAATATTGATTATTACATTTTAACCTAAGGAAAAATTATTTATATATTTAATTATGGAAGCATTTATAATTAAATATATAAATCATTTATAGTCTTTAACATTTGGGGTCAATACTAGTGCACAGTAAATATTCCACTGTAAACTAATTTTCATCTGTATTTTTATATAACCATTAAGGGAATAGCTATAAAAATGTACCATTATATTTTTATTAATTCCAGGGCTTACCAGGAGATCCTGGTGTACCAGGAATTAAAGGAATTAAAGGAGACAAGGTATGTTTTAAGTGTTTTTTATTAAGCTTGATATGTTAAAATATTTTAAATTTTCACTTCAAGAGTAACTTTCCATTCTTCTGTAGTGCATCTGTGTGTGGCTGCTGTGTGAAGTGAAATGTACCAGCAGCAACCCCCTGTGTCTTGGAGAAGAAACATCTCTGCATTTGGAGATGGTTCAGGCCAGTTTGGCAACCCAGCTGCTCTTTAGATGAATAATTTAAGTAATATTTCAAAGAGATTGGACTGTGCCCTTACATTAAATCTGTGCTGTGCAGAAATGTCACTTCAGGACCTGACTACAGAACAACCTTTTCAGGGTAGTGTCCTACCCAGACTAATGTGTAAAATCCCACTTCACAGTCAGACATATTCATCTTGGCAGAGCTCTGGGGCAGCTACACTGGCTCAGATGTAAGCTAAGGCTGGATCTCCTTAGGACATTGTGTTTTGCTGTGTAGAAATCCCTTAGTTAGAAATCAGCTGCATCAGCAAGAGCTAAAAATTATATGTGTATATGCTAAATGTAAAGAAGGAGAAAAAAGAGGATATACAGGTGTGCTCTGAGCTATGTGATGTGTTGTGGTATTTATACACTGTGGGGTACAAGGGAAACCAATAAACTCCAGTCTGAAGAAGTGAGCTGAAAGAAAGGCTGAGAAAATACCTGGAACGAGGACAAAAATGTACTCATCTTGCAAAATGGGAAGTGGTAGATTCAGAATCACAAAGGATGTTGCAGGAGTCTGCAAGAGACAAGAGGACAGCATAACAAAAGGCACAATTTTACTGCGTAAGCAGCACAGTTTAGCCATGTGGAACAAGAGACGCTGCATGTATTGAAATAAGAGCAGAGGTGTAAAGTGGAATACACTGAAGACCCCAGGTTTAGCATTAGTGGTTGATAGCTGGGGAGAGACAGCTGTTGTTTCAGCTGTTGCTGTGAATTAGTTGGCAGGGTTTAATGACAACCTGCATATTAGAAGACTGGGGAACAAGAAATGTAGATCAGATGAATTGCAAGCATGGAAAACCAAGAGAATACTAGTTATTATTGATGGTTATATGATTCATGTCTCCAATTCTGTAACTTTTTGAAGGAAAATATGAGGGTATTTTTTCTTCTCTATATCTTTTCAAAGTACTGGCAGTTTCTGTTATAAACTTGATAATATTTGGAGTTTTTTCACAGGGGAAAATCCTCACATTTCAATTAGTGATTCAAATTTATTTTGTAGGGTGACCCTGGTGGAATTGTGGGACCACCTGGACATCCAGGTCCAAAAGGCGATATGGGGCCTCCTGGGCCAAGTCTTCCTGGAACACCAGTAAGTCCATAACCTGAAAAATCTTTCCTGACTTTATTTTCTGCAGGGGCAACTGGGAAAGAATTCTCACTGTACACTGAAAGAAATCACAGAATGATCTGTGTTGGAAAATACTTTAAAGATCATCTAGTTCCAACCCCCTGCTATGGGCAGGGACATCTCCCACTAGAGCAGGTTGTTCAAAGCCCATCCAACCTGGCCTTGAACTCTTCCAGGGATGAGGCATCCACAACTTCTCAGTAACCTGTTCCAGTGCCTCCACCCTCACAGTAAAGAATTTCTTCCTAATAACTAATCTAAACTTAGTCACTTCCAGTGCCACAAAGCAAGTATTTTTTATTGTAATTTCAAAATCTATTTTACAGTGGTGTTATAAGAGTACTAAAATACAGTGTAAGTCTATTAGTCTATTAGTGTAGTCTAGAAATAGTGTTAGTATCACATATGATTCTAGTGACAGTGGCACTAACAAAGGAGATATATAAATTTGTCATAGTTTATTTCTAAGGACTGGCTAATTTTGGCCATTAAATTCATCTATTCTCTTGGATTTCAAAACATAATTTTTTTTTTTTGTGTTTTTTTTTGTGTTTTGTTTTGGATTTCTTTTAGGGTCCCACTGGTGTTCCTGGAAACCCAGGTCCAAGGGGGCCAAAGGTATGCCAAATACATTATTTCTGTTTCTAAAAATATTTTTAAATTTTATTTTATTTTAAAAGATAATATGGTAGCTTACATTTTCAGAGCTGTTGTGATAGAAAGCCTTGTGCCTTTCACAGGGAGAAAGAGGACTACCTGGTGTACAGGGAGCACCTGGGGAGATGGGGCCCCCTGGCATAGGCATTCAGGGATCACCAGTAAGTAAACCAACACCCAGAATTTGGGCTTCTTGCTGTTCATCACTGAGCAACTGCAACAGGCAAACACAGCACAATAAAAAGCCATGAGCTTCCTTGTGGCCTGATTCCCAACTCCCAGTTTGTTTCAAGGGTTGCTGTGCAGTTTAAATTCAAACATGAAGCAAGTTGACACAAACATCTAAGGCATTCATAGTAAATCATTTGTACAGCAATAACTGTTTCAGTTACTCAGCTTGTTTCCAAGGTTTCTTTTTTTTTTTTAAATGCCTTTAAATAAAGCCACCTGCAGTGCCTTCAGAGTATTCAGCAAAAAACATTGCTGATGTTGATGGTGTACCTGGTAGGTGGTACATGTTATTGCAGGAGTTTTACTCCAGTGACTGAGGCAATCTCTCTTCAGTCAACCAATGGGTATCAGCTGATACAATTCAGTTTATGGACAGTGCTCTGGAATAAAGGGAAAATATTTGTGAAAGGTGACTAGGCATTCACCCTGAATGTCTTAATCTAAAATAATAATACCTAAAGATATTTTTTTCAGTTACAATATTTTCAAATCTGAATTTTAAAAATTACCATTTATATGTAAATTATCTGTTCCTATTCAACTACTCATTAGCTTTTTTAATGAATCTTCTTGCTAAATACCAAGTTTCATCACAGATCATTAATTTTTGGAAATGCTTGCCCTAAAAAATGGGCATTCACAAAATCTTGAGGTCTCTAACTTTGGCAAAATTACATGTGGATTTAAAGCCAAACCTTAAAGTAAGCCTTTCTCAAAGTGAAAACTGCACAAATGTCCCACATTCAGCATTTTTAAATGAAGTTCATCTCCCTTATCCCAGAAAGTGTAACTACTGATTGTTTGGAGTTTTCTTACAGGGTCCTAAAGGTCCAACTGGATCAGCAGGTGTGCAGGTAGGGTATGAGTTTTCTCTTTAATACAAAAAGCATTAATTTAGTTTAAGATTTTTGCAGGAAAGGTTTTCTTATATCCTAAATGACCTTTTGTGCTCTTAGGGCCCTAGGGGACCTCCAGGATTACCAGGAGCTCCAGGTACCCCTGGTATTAATGTAAGTGACAATTTCATATATATACAGGAAAAAGTAATGTGTACCTCATCAATGATTTAAGGCCATCAAGTTTTCCATTTGTTTCTAGGGCACTCCAGGAAGAGATGGAAAGCCAGGACTACCAGGCCCTCCAGGTGATCCTGTACGTATAGAGGGAAAGCTTTTGCTTTTGCTTTGGTGCAAATATATTAAATTTATGCAAGGTGAGATAGCATAGCAAGCCTAGAAAAACCGGCGATATGAAGATAAAGTAGAAATACTTGGGAAAGATAGGAAAACAGCCATGTTATGCAGTTGGCCTCAATAAAACCGAGACTGTGTTCATGATGTTTCTTTAAGCAAGAAAAAAATGCTTAGAATTAGTTATCATGCAGTTAATGCTTATCAAAAATCATGGATCTGAGTGTCACTTAGCAGATTATTGTCAAACTTGGAAAGAGAGGTCTCTCCCATGCTCAGTTGTTGTCAGTGATTTAATTTGATTTGGGTAAGTAGATAAAACTCTGAAATTGGAGTGGGAAAGATTGCTTGCTTTTTGAAGATGTAATCAAAATTCAGAGGCTGTCTGAAGTCAACAAGATTTAACTCGAGACAGATGAGGATAAAGTGCTTAATAATGAAAACCAAAATCCATAAGTAGAATAAGTCTGGAAGGCACAGTGCATTGCAAACTAAATGGAAGTAAAATATTTGATGCTGCTATTAAACAGACAGGTCTAAATGGTAAAACTCACAACAGGATAATTATTGCCTTTTGCTCTCTTGAAATACTCTTCTCTTTGGAAAGAATATTTTTTCCAGGAAGATGTAGCAAGCAGGAGTGAATCTGGAGAATTAAGACCATTTTAACACTTTCAAAATCCCACCATAAATCATACACTTATTCAGAGTTCAACACACAGATTTATGGCTCTGGAGAGTGTGTTTTGAGTCAGGCTGGACTTGGCTTACACCCAGAGCAGGGGAGCTGTGTGACACAAATGCAGTTGGTTTGCTCTCGTACATGTGCCCTTTGCAGCTGGGGTTGGGACCCTTCCACACTGAGGGTTGGGGTTCTGTGCCATACGTTGATAGAGCAGCTAAAATAAGAACATTAGAAAAGAGGAGAGACTGGGGAAATTACACCTCTAGTCCACTAGGTAGACCAACAGGTGATATGGTAATAGGCTGCCTAGCTGAAAAATGTCCTAAGGAGAAGCGTGAAAATCAGGCCATGTAGTTTTTTTGTTTTCAAGTCTTGCCACAGGTTTTTAAGAGCAGCTGATCCTGTCTAATTACAGTTTACCTCTTTGCAGAGGATGGACTCACACCTTACATAACTATGTCCTCAACTTATGCTAGTTGGTGTTGTCTCACCCTAAAAAACAACTCTGCTTTCAAAGGTGCTTATGCCACCCTACAGATGGTGTACTGATTATATTTCTGGTTAATTATATTCAGCAGTGCATCTCTTGAGCTGATCGTTGACACTCATTGTTTTTAACTGACAGTCTTTGGAATATGCTAGAGAAAGTGCTTCTATTTTATTTTTCTTCTTCAAGATGGAAAGAATTTAAACAGGCTGAACAAAAAAAAAAATGTCACCTTATTTTGAATGTGTCTGATTTTATAGTATGTCCAGGATTGATATGATTTTAGATTCAGGAATTGCCAGACAAAATGAGAATTAGTAATTGGAGAGTCTGTAAATTAAGTTGATGACAACCAAGGCAATGAGTTTTTAACAGGGAGTCTTTAAATATAAATTAAATGGCAGGTCTTGGAAATCTGGGATCTGTTTCAGTACAGTATAGATCCACTGACTGGTCTTTAAATGGCTCAGCTTTAGTATTGGTAGCAATTTAGCAGTGGCACAAAAGAGTTACACACTAATTATTAATTCTTAAAGGCAGGAAAAAATATTGCATATGTTGCCTTTGTTGGTGTAGCTGGATTATTTCCAGTACCTGAGCTAATTTATTGAAGTTAGCTTTGGCATCTCCAGAATTTGTGCTACAGTTGACAGCAGAGTCAAAGCCTAGGAGAAAGGAGGAGGAAAATAATTGAAGATAATCAGGTGAGAATACAAGACATTCCAGTAACATTGAGCTGTTGCTGATGTGCTACAAAAACAATATTAGTACGTTCAGGAGTTATGCTGTTGTCATGGTTTGAGATATTTCATTGCATTTATAGTTAAGAATTACAATTGAGAGGTTGGATAGACTGTGATATTTAACCATATCTGAAAACTTGTTTTTTCTTTTGACTGTTCATTAAAAAGTAGATTCAACCAACATATATATATAATCAGTTCTATGTGTGATGATGTAATGTTTAGAAGCAATGAAAACACATCAGAATTAGTAGTGCTTTGTAAAACATTAACTGCAGATGCCTTTTTTAATTTCAGGTTGCACTTCCCCTTGTGGGAGACATGGGTGCTATACTGAAGGTAAATTTTTCAGAGATTAAATGTCCTTTTTTTTTGCTATAAACATGCTTTTTAAACAAACACGTGCACTTGAGAGCTCCTATAGGTTCACTTTTCGCTTACAGGGCTGGCCTAAAATAGTATTGTGATTTTTTTTGTTGTTGTTTTTGTTTTCTTTTTAAAAAGACTCTAGAAATATATTTTATGAAATTTTTCAAAATAATGTTTGAACAGCAAGGGAGGTAGTAGCCAGCAAGTACCTATCCAGCCCACAATATGAATTGCTACAAATACACCCTGGTTTCCACTTTACTTTGTTAAATAATTTCAGTAATACACCAAATGATGAAAATAGTCTAGAATTTCTAAGATATTATTTTGAAAAATAATGAAATTTGGAGTGTTCTGCAATATTCCGAAATGAAAATTGGGCTCAGGAGTATTTCAACATGAAAAGCACACATCATTCCACTGTCCTTTATTAATACATGTACTTAGGGTTTATTGACTTTCCTATTTCCAAATCTGATTTATTTTAGCTCTTTCTTTTTGTTTGCAATTGTGCTGTCTTTCTGCTGTACATTCTCTTCTTGTCAGAGCGCTCTCTCTTGCTGCTTCTTTATGCTTCATGTTTCATTTCTCGGTGTTTTGCAGTTAGCACTTCAATATGACTGCAATTTAGTTGGCAAATGCTTCTCTCAGCAAGCAAATGCTGGGGTCATTTACTTTTAAATAACTAAAGATTTGAAGCTGGAGAAAGTAACAAGTAGCCTTCATCTCTAAATAATCCTTGAAAGGAAGATGCTCAAACCTAAACACAGGTGTGTCTGGGGCTATCCAAAATAAAGCTAAAAACGTGTTAGCATGATTTGAGTAGAGGGTGTGCGAGATGGGGAGGAAAACAGGGAAGTCTCTCTGAAGAAGTACATGGTTTAGAAGAGAGCAAGGACTGAAGAGAAGGCTTTGGGTTAAAAATGGAGGCTTGGTCAGGAAGGTAGGAGGGAAGCAGCATGCATAGATCAGTCTGCATGGATCAGATCTATGTCCTAATAGTATTTATTTGTTGCTTCATCTGTCTGCTCCACAGGGTGATCCTGGAACAAGAGGTCCTCCAGGCATTCCTGGCAGAGAAGGACCAAAAGTAAGTTTTGAAGCGTTTACTTTTCATTGCTTTGGTTCTTGTTAAAAGCAAAAGGACAGATTCTTACCTTTGCGAGACTTGACTTTTTTGTCTCATCCATATCCCTGCAGCACTGGGCAGCCTAAAAATTCAAATTATTTTTATGTTTCAAGCCTCTTCATGTGTCAGTTTGCCTTTTGTCTAGGTTGAGTGAGCAAAATAGCCTGAGTTGAGTCCCAGGCCCAGATAGCTTTTCTGTGTCATGGCTCCATTAAAGCTGGCTGATCTGACTGCCCAGCAGTGCTTTTCTATCTATAGACTCGTTTTAGGTGAGTCAGGCACATGAGAATCCTGCACTGAAGAGGCAAACTTCCTATGTCTCCCTCAAGTGTGCAACACAGCTGGACCAACCCTGGGCCCTTGCACCCTGTTCCCATGGGAGCAACACAGCCATTTCTCTGAGACTTGAAGCCTCACTGACATCAATCGAAATCCTGCTTCATAAAAAAAATAAATAAGATAAAAAGCCACATGGTTTGACATACAGATGTCTCCTATCATTGGGACTAATTCCATGGAAACTAACTTTCTCCATTTCAGCAAGCATTCAAGCTCTTTGGTGTTAATATTTCTATCTTAATGTCTTTTGAGTACTTTGCCTCCTAGGAACAAACCACTCATTTCCTTTCACCTCGTGGGAAGCTATATTTCAAAGTTTTCAGATGGTTTTGAGCCTTTGCTTTGTGTTTTAGGCACTATGGCTGTAAGGGCATCAAGCTAGCATTTATTGAATGTATATAAAATGCCCTATAGAGCATGAAATTCATTGTTCTCTAATACAAAATATTTGTTTGAATGTTATGTTTTCATAGGGAAGCAAAGGTGAACGTGGATTTCCTGGGCTTGTGGGAGAAAAGGGCGATGAGGTAAAATTATTTCATTTCTACAGTGGTAGCATTCTTATCTGAACCTGAGTAAAGATCTAGACTGAAAGTGAAATGCACAGAATGTGATTTAGTTCTTTAAAACTGCTGAGATAGTAATGTAGTGCTATAAGTAGCCCTTGATTCTGATTTTTCAATAGGATTGAATATCACTATTCAGTTAAAAAACAGCAATTTGATTTTCATCAGTGAATTTTTGCTCATTTGTATATTTTAAAGCCTCACATACATTTACATGCTAATCTTTAAGGATATAGGATACAGCAATAAATAGGCTAATGCCGAATATTTTCAGAAAATACTTTGTGTCTATAACATATTTGCTTTCATTTTGTTAGTTCCTCTTTAGAATTCACTTTTGAAAACTTTCCATTAAGCAAATAATCTGATGGGAACACTAATAGCAGCAACTACTATTAAGTGGAAACTGAAAAATATTTGAATATGCTAAATGTAAAGTATTTACAATATTTTGCATCTTATATTACATTCTTAGAGTTATTTTTATGTGTTTATGGAGAAGGAAAAAAAATCCCAATGACTTGTGGTGCCAAATCCAAAATAGCTGCTATAGCTGTCATTTTCAATTGAAATACTTGCAGGTAACATTTCAAGAGCAATATCAGTGAAAAAAAACCAAAAAAACCGTCACCACAGCAGAAGCTATTAAGCAAATTAATTTGGATAAATAAATTAATTTCTTAGTGGCCTTAGCCAATTTAGGAGTTAGAATAAGTAGCCCATTAAAAAGTATGTGGTGAGCACTTTGAAACTCCAATATACTTAACTATGGTTAAAAACATGCTACTCTCTTTTAATTTGGGAGTGTGCTTACAAGGCACAGCACCTGGAAAATACAAAAGGAATTTAGAGTGTATTGATTGAGGGGTTTGTAATTTTTTATAAGCATTTCACATTTCTTCAGCACTAAGGCCATGATACCTTAAGAATTTTTAAAGAGTAGTAGAATAAGAGAATAGTTTCCAAAAAAAAAAAAAGTGTTTATCAGTATTCTTGGCTTACAAAAGTACACAGTTGTATGTGGAAAAAAAAGATGCAGCTCCTTCTACTGTTTTGCCCCAGAATCTAGCATGTTATCAGCCTAAAGTATCATGCTTACTTTTTTCTTTGGCTTTATATGATATATAGAGCTCATTATATAGACCTCACACCTCATGTGCCTCCTGAGGTGAAATTCAGAACATACTCGCTAAAAGGATGGAGCAGCCAAAAGCAAATTTCATTCAGAATTTTACTTAAAAAATAAATGGGAGAGTAACACATACTTTGTGTGCCATATAGGATATCTAGCAGTCAGCCCTAGGAGGAATGAGGCATTAGCAAAACAATTTTGACAATTCAAATACTATTAAACATATGAGACATAAATAAGATATTGCAGGGAATTAAGAAGTTAGTAAGCTGACAGCAAGTTTATGACTGGCAGGTTTTTTAAAGGAGTATAGAGAAAATTCATTGTATATTTTTCATTAATGGTGTGTTAATAAGTTCATTGTTCATATGTTTCTTCACCTTTTGAGAGCTGGTGAACTCCTTAGCTGGTGAACTCTTATATTTTCAGTGTTTTGCAACAGCTTCTGATTATGACATGGTGAGAGTACAAATGAATCTTTTTTTCAGAAACATGTATGAAAACATTTTAAAAGTAACTTCTTTTACAAATTTCAATACTTTTATTTTGATCATTTTTTTGGAATGGGAAGAAATGGGAAGAAAGATAGAGAAGCCTACCTGAAGCCCTTTGAAATATGCTCATTAACTTCCATATACTTTCCAATCACCCTTTAATCTTTGTTGAATTTATCTTCATTTTCAAAGCACTTTTTTTTTTTTTCAGGGGAGGTTTTTTTTAAATATCTGTAATAAGAATTACAGAAGATGTTCCTTTGGTTTCATATTAATTTTTCATGTAACTGTACCATTAGAGTAAGGGAGTTCAAAAGGAACAGAGAGCACATTAGCAGTTACCTTGCCACTCTGAAAAGCTGCAGAGGTGAATCAATGTCCTCTGTGTGTAGGAGCAAGAAAGAAAAATCAATGTCTCTCCATCTCTACATTTTTGCTGATTTTTTTCTCTCTGAAGATTTTTCCCTCAGTCTCTCCCTCAGAGCACCAGTTTCAGGGTTCCTGACCACTGTGGCTTTCTAGGCTGCCTCCTTAGCCATTCCTTCTTAAACACTGCAATTCAAATGAGAAATACACCTCTTCTGAGGGGATTTTTCTTGTCAGGGGATGGACAGGTGAAATCAATCACTGCTTGGAAGAATCTATTTCTCTTTGTGGATTATAGGGAGAACCCAGAGTGTTAGCTCTCATTAGTACATCACTTTCACATGTCTAAAATTGCACCTGAGCCTGGTGTGGCAGAGGAAGGACGCTCAGTGACATACAGGCTTGTCTTAAATCCCACCTCTCTCCATTGTAGTGAGTTGCACAGCTGTTATGTTTAATAAGTCGATACTAGAGTCCATTGATTTTCAGACAATCAAATAGAATACAAGCAGGAAAGTAGATCATTAAATACTATGTAAAATGTCATGTTCAATTACCAAAAAGCCAAACCAGAAATGAAGCAGAAAGTACCTTTTCATTTAGATAGCATCAGGTAATATTGAGAAGCCTGCTTAAATGTCTTCTTATCAGAAAGAAAAAAAAGCCTTTTAATAAAAGAAAACAAGCCTGCTTAATGGGTTAAAAAAAAAAAAAGAAAAAAAGCCTTTTAATAAAAGAAAACGAAAATTAATCTCTAAGGAAAAGCTTGACATCTGTTCTTACCTGCACAACTAAGGACAAAACTATTTACAAATATAGGCTAAAGATGTGAAAGTTTGAAGGACAAATAGTGTTTATCAATCAAGAAAAAAGTTGCCTCTAACCTGGTTCAATGATAACCTGGTTCTCCTCCCCACCTGGTGGTGTGGTTATTTTTTTAGACATTACTAAAAATAATGCCTACATTTTAGAAGAAAATACACTCTAATGCGGGTATAGTATTGCTGGACATGCTGAATAGAAGTATTTTTGAAGTATAAGTGGGAGAGGAACTAGACATGTGCTCTTTTCATCTCCAGGGTCTTCAAGGTGCTCCTGGACTGCCAGGTGTATCAGGACCCAGTGGCCCATCCGTAAGTGTGTGGTATCACCTGTGATCTAATTTATCTCTGTAGGGCTTGCTATGACTGCCTAGATCTATCCAGTCCTTTCTTTTATCTTTTAGGAAAGTAATGATAAAATCTTACCCATTCTGGCTCTAGTGAAGTAAACTATACTGCTGTTGATGTTACTGAAAATACCATAATTGTCTGGACTCAAAGTTTATGGGATGGAAATAGATTCAAAGTTTTGACATTACTTGAGAATCTGTGAGGTTACGTGATTTATAATGTGCAAACTTGTAGTGAAATGTGTATTTTTACCCAAGTTAGAGTCATGTTAGTAATAAAATCTAAAAATAATTCCAGCTAGTCATTCTGAAAAAAAAAACTTAGTGCAAAAACAAAGTAATTACTTGGTTTCACAATTCAAAACCAAAGAATGAGAAAAAGCTGACAATATTTAAAGACACTGAAATATATCATTAAAATTGTTGGTATTACTGGAAGGAGGTCCTCTTTGAAATGTTTTCAAATATTCTTTTCTACATATAGGAATTACATTAGTTAGTTTGATCATTATTTGTTCCTTAGTTTCATAACAATACTATTACTTCTTTCAAAAATTGTAGCACATTTAAGAAGTATAATATGGAATACATAAATTGGTGTTTAGCAGTAAAAACTGCTTACCAAGATGTGCCAGTTAGGGTCACCACATTTAATTTGCCAAGGTGAAAATGCAATGGTGAACACGAGTTTGACCCTTCAAAGGACTTATCAGGAAGACACAGCTGTTGTATCAAAGAGAAGAGAAATATTTAAACCTGAAGGAGAAGTATAATTAGGCACAAACTACCTCCAAAAAGCATGTTTTAAAAACTTAGTGACACTACAAAAATATAGTGCGTCATTTTTTCCTAACTTACACAAACAATTCTGTGTTGTGCAGGGAGTCCCAGGAAGACCTGGACATCCCGGTCCAGCTGGAGCAAAAGGAGAAAAGGTATTCCTTCTTTTTAATCTTGGCACAGGTCTGTGAAGGTTTTCAATCCCACTACACTGTGTTTTGGGGGTCTTTTAAACAAGTGCAAGAGTAACAAGAATGTGGGACAGATTTCATATTTCTGTTTGTGTTTCACTACAAGTGCTTTCCCTGAGCGGTGCTGTGCATATGGGCTTATATTTTGAAGTGCAGTCCTTGTGGTATATTTAAGTTGCAGAGAATTTTCTTCAGGCATAACGCATTATATAAGGTTTAGGAAAGTGTAAATATGTTTCTGACATAGAATATGACTAGTGACTTCTTGCTGTGCTTCTCATTCTTTTACCAATATTATATTCAAAATAGTTATACAAGCACTGAAAGTTATTGGGTGTTAGTTATTCTGAAAATACGTAAGCTTCCTTTATACTTAATTTGCACTCTCATATACATATATATTATATATAAATATATATATAGTATGTATATATTCTTTATATCTATATATACATATATGTAAAAACTGCTTTTTTCAAAATTTTATATGCTCTTTTATCAGGAACTTGATATTATGAGGTCAAATTCATTTCTTAGGTACTTCAGATCAGAGCAATACAGCAGAGACAAACTTTGCTGCAAAATACTTTCTGGGACAAGTTCCACATTTTGTGTATGAATATAGCTTTTCTTTCAGTAGTACTCTGGAAATTTCCAGGCATATCTCTGCCACTTCCACGTGTGGGATGCTAATTCCCTACAAAACTTTGGTATTACTAAGAAAGAAAACTGTTTTGTAAAGCTCTGAAATTATTTCTGTATAAAATTTGAATGAGAGTTGTCTCCTTGCAGATCACAGTAACAAAACTTTACCCCACTTATTTCCTTTTTATCTAACTGAATGCAAAACACAAGTCTTTGATAGTTCCTCGTTCACAATTCACATACTGGTGGGAATAAGAAGCCCCTGCTCTACAGCTCGTGTCTCATCATTCTAAAAGTGGAAAAAGTCAGATGGCTGAAGAGTAATGAAGTAAACTGAAATAAAGCCCGAATAAATTTCTCCTCTGTCCTTCATCTGGGACACACTTGAGAATTGATCACATAATGTGCTTTCTAAAATAATAGGATTTTAATTCCCCATGAAGTTCTTCAAACCACTCTTGGGAGGCTGGCAATTTCTAACAATTAGCAGGGCCATTTGGAAATTATCCTAGTATAAATGTTTAGTAAGAATTATATTTTTCTGCTGAGCTAATTATTGGCATTGAGCATTTAGCTTGATTTTTGCCACCTTAGTAATTTTAGATTTGTGACTTAATTGTATCACTGACATACATTAAATAAGGGCCAACAAAGCCAGTGAAAAATTCTGACAGACTTGTTCCAAATTATATAGAGTATTTATCTGAATTGTAGTGATGACATTTTGAAAATATTGTTTGGGAAATTTTATGTTGAAATGTTTGCAGCTCTCTACTATCCACAGACCCTATGATTCTGCTGGGAAAAATTCTCAGCAACTACATAATGCTGAGATTATATATAATGCTCTATATAATATAGGCAATTCAGTACACAATAGCAGAACAGGCAGAGATACAGATAACAATGGATGAGTATTTTACAATAAAAACAAAAAAAAATATTCATTATATCTCTTAATAACAAAGATTCTTTTAAAAAATCGTAATTTATATTCAATATGTTTCTAAGTAAACTGAATTTCTGAAACTGTAGCTCTTCTTTATTTACATATAAATGACCAACTGAGGACTGGCTTTTGCAAAATAATATACAAAGCCTAAAATTAACGTTAACTTTTATCTGCCGGTTGCTTAGAAATTCATATTAACAACTCTTTTTTTTTTTTCTTCCTCTCCCTCCTGATAAATATGAAATGTTTCCCAACCCAGGTTACCACTGTTGTTTTGCCATAAGGAAGTTACTACACATAAAGCAGCAAGTAACTAACAAAATAAAAACTAGTACAAAGTAATGATTCATGCCTTACTTAAAGCTAAAGCAGGAACATTGCAGGAGAATTTATTCTTGATATTACCTGCTCTTATTGACTGTATCTCTTGTTTATTGTTATTGTGGTCATCATAGCTTGAGTGTGGAATAGATGTGGCCAGTTACAGTAAATGAGTTACATCAATCTCTTGCTGTACTAGGGTAGTGAAGGTTCTCCTGGGAAACCTGGACCACCTGGGCCTCCGGTGAGACATTTTGTTTTATATCTTGAATTTATATTAGGAACAATATGCTTGTGAGTAAAATGTAATGTAATATAAAGAACTGAGTGTTGGTCTAATAAAACTTAATATTGCAGGAAGGTAAAAGTGTCTTTTTTCAAAAGGTTTCCGTATTCCAATTTTTTTTCCTTGCAATTCATCACTGAGTAAGTTCAGATCACTAAAACCCTCTAAGAATCCTGCTCAAATTAGTTAACCTTGGTATCCAACATTATTAGAGTAAAATTGACAGCTTGGATACCTGAGATCAGAGAACCCAGGCAATCTAGGGAAAGTCTGTGGAGCTCACTGGACTCCAAATTAAGTGGAATAGTACCTAACACAAAATTTATTCTGGAGAATTATAATAATAAAAATCAAAATATGATGCACACTGATTTGCAGGTTCCTTGGTTTATAATTTTTTTAAAAAGGCACAAGCTGTGTTGGTGTATATCTTCTGTTCTTCTGGAATGTGGAATCTTTGGCAGATTGAGAACAAAAAGGATACCACAGCTTTGCTGAACTACAGGACTTGAACAGGGCAATAGTTCTGCCTTTATAATTTATAAGTGACACTTACTTGGTTTTTATGCTTTAAAGGGTATGCCTTACAATGAAAGAAATGGAATGAGCAGCTTATATAAACTGCAGGTATTTCTCTTTAATGTTAATTGCTTTTTTTTCAATCCCCACCCAATTTTAGCCCAACTCAACTTTTAAACTTGCTGTTACAGGGAGGAGTGAGTGTTGCAAGTTATCCGGGTCCACCAGGACCTCCGGTAAGGGCTGCCAGAAATCTCATTTCTAGTAGCTAATGACATGGAAACAGAGGAGGGTTAGTTGCATGGAACTGGATTTTATTTGTGAAAAATTTCAGTAATAAGGATATGACTGGTATGTAGCATACATAGTGTGATTTTATGTTTGCCAAGCATTTTAGCCCATTTTGGAGACTGGTTTATTTTGGTTAAATCATTTCATCCCAGCAAGTAAAGGCTGCAGAAATAGTACATAATTTGGTATTGGACACTTTAATGAAAGTATTTTTATATTAAAAATGTGTAATTTTGTACTTATAGTTGGTGGAGGCATAGTTTGGTTGTCAACAACATTTGGTGCCAGAAATGAGAAGCTCAGGAATTCTGATCTGTGTTCTGTCACTGATTCACTACATGTAGCTACAGTGCAGGAAAATGTGTAAAACTAAGAATTAGATTGTGGAAGTAATATAGGGGTGGTGTCTTTCACACAGCAGATGCAGCACCTTGCAGCTGGACACTGATGCTTTGGTTCCATGGAACTAAAGATACTGTGCACTTATTTACATTCTCCTCCTTTTTAGCACCATAGGCAAGTCCTGTTTTGAGGTGATTTTCTCTTTGGTAACCACAGTTATGGGCTGGCACTGAGCAACAGAGCTGTCTTTCTCTGTACTCTGGAACAGCAGAACAAAACCCAAAATATTACTAAGATTTTGTACTAAATTAATCAGCTGGGACTGGAATGACTAATGATGCTAAAGGCACTGCATTAGCAAAGTATATATATAATGCAGTCATTAAAAAAACCCCATCTTATCATGTAACTGTTCTTCTTTAAATGTGGCTTGGTTTTTTGGGTTTTTTTGCAGGGTCCAAAAGGGGATCCTGGAACAGCGGTATGTATGTATTTTTTGGTTTTGATAGAGAATTCCCCAAGTAATTTGACACATGGCACTTCTGAAGGACAATAAGAAACCCAAACCAAAACCTCTCAGCAGTGACAGCAAAAAATGGAGTTGTAAGACTGTTTTCTAAAACAGTTTAATAATTTGTTTTCAAAAAAAAATTCACAAAGCTTCTTTTTTTGTTTCACCATAATGCCTTTCTGTACCAGCACCTAGTTCTGTAATTCTGTATCACATCTTTCGTCAAAATTAAATCATTGAGCTAAATACTCACACAGAGACTCTGGGAAAAGCTTAATTTGTAAATCAGTAAAACGAGGCATAACAAAATCTGTTTACCTAATAATGGTTAGCTGTTATAGTAATCTCAAGTTAAATAATCTGCTGTTTCTTGCTCTTTAACATTTCCCATGTTGAGTAAAGAAATTCTAATGTATGCAATCTTTTAACTGAAAAAAAATTAAAAACAGGGAGACCCAGGACCAATGGGATTACCAGGACTGGAAGGACTGCCAGGGGAAAAGGTAGGACTTTTAAAAAGAAGGCATGATTTCTCAGTGGCCACTATCTGCAGCTAAATGTTTTCTGAAGCCTTGTTTGGTTTATTTCTCATGTGTAAGTTAATGTTTCTATGAGAAAAATCTTTGCATACTTATTTATATTTTCCTTTTTTGCTTTAGCATGGGTGTAAATAATATACTCACTGAACATAAAATTTCATTTTCTGCAAATGGAAAATTGTGTGTAGGAGGCCTTGTAATATTCTTGGTAGAATACTACTATACTTGATGGTAATATAGTTAATATTTTCCTATGTATGGTTCTTGTTTCCTCTTCAACATCATCTTATGTTTACAGTCTGTCTGTCTTGTTCTCAGCCTTTTGCTTTCTAATTGTGGAGGCTGATTACAAATTTAAAGAAAAGATTTTTATAAAAGGCTAAAAAAGTCAAGTTAAAAATATTCATTTCTAAATATAGTAAAGTACAAAACATTTAGCAGAGATATAAAAAAATCTGTAAATATGTTTTCTGTCAGCAAAACCAGTTTGATTTTCCCCATATCTTCTAATTTAGGAAGAGAAAAGCGTAAATTTTTTTTTGCAAATGAAGTGTTTTTCAGTTTTGTTGAATTATGTTATTAAATGACTTCATGCAAAAGTATTTTACTGAAACTTATTTTTCATCACAAAGAAATGTAAATTAAAAGTTTCCCTCTCAATATCACTGTGCATTCCTCCTACTTGTTCAGTCAGTGACAAAATCTAAGGTAGGTATCTGTACTAGATACTTAAATTACATGAGATGGTTATTGCTCTGCAATTCTACAACTTACAAGCAATTAAAGGCTAGTCTGATTTCAAAATGAACAAACACAGGGAGACATTACAGGTCTAACTGAGACAAAGTGGGGACAGGAATTAAATAAAGGGAATAAGCAATGGATCAGATCACATAAACCAGCTGAGTGAGTGTTTGGCCCTCTCCCAAAGTAGAAATATAATTTCCTTAACTAAATTTGGTCAGAATTTCATATTTGTGGTGCAAATAAGTGAACAGAATCTCAGAGCCTGACAGCCCCTACAGTATAGTGCATGCTGGATTTTAATTTGGAGTCATGGTGCTCCTCTGTGTAGCAGAATGTCAACTTCTACAGACAACATCGGCTGTAATTTCATTATGATTTCATGAACTGCCTTAAGGCCTTCATGTCCTCTGGATAAAATTATTATGTCCCCTCCCTCAGCTGTGCTGACAGTGGCTGGTGCAGCTGTGCTGCAAGCCACCCTGCTGAAAAGACCAGAATAACCCTGAAAAGAAAAAAAAAAACAAACCATGTTGCAAGGGAAGTGTTAGGCATTTCTAGTTTCACTATCAGGGCCAGCATATAGGGAAAATACCACAAGTCCTGGGTCTGGAATAACCCTGGGGCAGAGTGCAGGGCTCCAGGCAGTGTGTCCTGCCCCTGCTGTCCCAGAGGTGCATGTTGTGTTCCTCACTGGGTGGCTGCTGCAGCCTCCAGAGCAGGACAGGCTGAGCTGTGTCCCGTAAGCTGCTTCCTCCCAACACCAGGTCAGATGTGTAACTTGTCATCTTCTACACTGTGTGTAAGGGAGTTAAGTGTTTCTGATCAACAGCAGTATCATTGTGCATCTGAACAAAGTGATGATGAGACAAACCATCATTTCTTATAAGAACAGAAACCAGAAATCCCAGAACTTCCTGGGGCTCTTATGCAGAACACAACGTGGCTGTAGCTGTGTTTACAGAGCATTAGTACATATGCTCCAGGTAACATAAACCCATCTCAGAAAAATACTGTCCTGTTGGTATGGCTTCAGTGGTGCCAGGGGTTTTCTGACATAAATTCAGAAAAGGGGAGCCTGATTTTTTCACATTTGTAGCCAATGTTACAGAGCATAGTGCTGCAGACCAACACATCAGCAGTGGATAAATACCTCTGGGTAGAGTTTTACCACTTGTTGAGCTCTATCGGTCTGCTTTGGATTACAGTCCTGTCAAGAAAGATGAATTTGTCCCTATAACTCATCAGTTCCAGCCAAAAAAGCAACACTGTCCTAGCTTAAAGCATAGATGAAGGTGGCTGTGTGCTGTAATGAGAACCCTTGCCCTGAAAGGGCCATGGCACAAGCAGAGGACATTGGCTTGTAGTAAATGGTTAACTAAGTAGAAAGAAAGCAAATACTTTTTTGAAAGTTACATCTTAAACATGGGTATGTTGATATGAAAGTGAATTACCCTGTGTAAATTTTGGTCATTGCCATGACCACAAATTATAATTATTTGGAGAACTACAGATAAGTCAGGGACTTTCCATCCCTTTTCAAGGGAGGTCTCATGCAGAAACAAAGGGAAACATTATATGAGAGAACCTAAACAAAGGATTTTGGTTACTTGCTCAAGTCTGTATAATAAGCCAGTGGCACAGATAAATATTAGCATTTACCCTGGCTCTTGTCCTCATTTTCAGTTCACTTCCTTGGGTTTTAATGGGAATCAACCAAGAAACTTCTGGTTTGATTGTTGTAGTTTCAACATAGGTTTATCTTTTCTTTAGGGTGACCGAGGACCAGCTGGAGCACCGGGAGTGTCAGGGACACCGGTATGTGTATTCTTTAAAGAAAACTCTGGTTTTAGGAGCTGAAAAAACAGGTAAAGCAAGGTGCTGAGCTGTAATCTCAGTCACTGTGGAACACCAATGCTTGGCCTATGCTTTATGTGTAGGTATGAAGATTATGGGTTTTCCCTAAAGAAATTAGGGTTTTAATAGCAGAAAGGGTTCATATTATTATTAAAATGACAAGAGTGAGTGAGATGAATGCATGATAAAGCCGTAATTCAAAGCTGCATATGCTTTGTTAAGCATGAGGTTCTTCTCATTGCCTCTGTTTAATACAGATAAAGACATTTTTTGTGTTCCTGGGCATGCACAAATTTCTGAGCATCTTTCTATCGCAAAGAAAAATCATGAACATTAGTTATTGCACCCCACAAGGATCTGCATATCAAGTCAATCAAACATTTGCTTTAGGGGAATGCTTTGTCAGTTATTTACATATGATATTCAGAGGAGTTTCTGAAAGTCATAGAGGAACTTTGTTGTAGGTGCAAGTAAAAGTCACTAATAATAAATTGAAATTATAATTATTCATTTGTGTTCCTAAAGGAAATGAAGATATTAGATTGCATTCACAGTTTAATAAAAAAGTTTATCCATATTTCAGGAGGCAATATGGAGTTATTTATATGCAAATAGATTTATTATTAAATTTTGGCAGCTACAAATACATTCAGGAGCTATTTAAATTATAAATATGTGTTTCATGAATAAAGAGAAGTATGTGTCTACACACTCCCATTTCCATTAGCCACTGATTTAGTCTATTTACTGTGAGTTCCAAGAGAGAACATCATCTTAAATAACTTAATTTCATTGGGTTTTCCTAAAAGAATTGCACATTTAAGGGGAAAAGTATTTCTCTGAATTTTATAGCAGATGTAAGAATTTCAAAAATTGTTGTTCTGAAACAGATTTTACACTGTTAATAATAACACTGCACAGTTGTGCATTTCCTATGAATTTCCCACTGGATATCTCCCAAATTATTGGATGTTCTCTATTCAAGTTGGATAAGAAATATTTAATGAGGCCCCTTATTCACTGATGGAGCTGCATTCAGTTGACTATATTTAGTTCTAATAAAATCCACTGAGATAAAATATTTCCCCCTGAAATAAATTGTTTGTTTTCACATTTTATGCTAAGGGTTTTTAATCAACAAAATAGTAGATATGTGAGACAAATTTTTTTCAGTAGTCTAGGAGGGGTTTGAGACACATCCACATATCTTGCTGGAAAAGAATTTGTCTTCTGTACCTATCATTATTCCCTAGATTGAATAGTGGACCCTTTTTCCCATCTGGCAATATAAACCTCTTCTTTTCACTTTGGTGCTGAGATTGCTGAGATTGTCAGGGAAGCTTGGCCTGAGATTCTGCAAGCATTGCCACCAGTGCCTATTTAAGCACAAACCCTCAGTGCTGCTGTTCCCAGTGGTGTCCCTGGTGCTGATGGGTTTGGTCTCTCACTTGTACAAGTCACCTGAGGAGCTTGTCTAAGGATACTTTCAGGAAATGTAGGTTCACGTTGTTAAAAGAAGGGCATCCTACAAAAAAGAGATACTTAAAATCATCATTTAAATTATGTCATAAGAGAGGATTGTGAATTCTGTCAGGGTGAACATAAAATTACAATAAAACTGGCCCAAAAAGATCATGAAGAAAATTTGCAAAAGACATTAAGTGAATAGTAAAGTCATATACCAAAAAAAAAAAACAAAAAAACCAAAAAAAAAAAAACAAAACCAAAATCAGATTAGAAATTACCTGAAGAAAAAAAACGTTGATTTTACTTATACACTGAAAAGCTTTGATCTGACTATGACTTCTCAAGATGGAAATCATGGTGTTGTAAAAAACAAAATTTCATAAAAGTATCTCAGTACTTTTAAGTAGGGTAACTACTTAAAAGAAGAGTAACCAAAACCAAGTGACCAAGTAGCATTTAACACAGTGCCTGTTCTTTAAATATGCAAAAATCTGGTAAAATATTTCTTTTTCCTTTCTTAAAGCATTAATGAGCAATGATACCATGAGTATTTCTCCCATATATATATATATACTCTATTATTTTTGATATAGAGGAAAATTTTATTTGGCTTCCTAATAATATGAATCTGTAATCTCTTTTTGCAGGGAAAGCCGGGATCTCCTGGGTCCCCAGGGCTGCCAGGAGAACCTGTAAGTACAGATTTGAGTTCTGGATTCTAACAATAGCAGACAAATAATTCATCTAATGCAAGATTTTTCATGCAGATTTATATGCGTGTTTTCTTCTTTCTTAGGGTGAAAGAGGACCTATAGGAGATATAGGCTTCCCTGGTCCAGAAGGGCCACAAGGAAAACCAGTAAGCAATTTTATACTGAATTTATAATTTGCTACAAAAAGATGTGGTTTAGTTTATCAGAAGTTACAAAAGAAAGGGCAATACATCTTGCTTTGTGTTAGAGTAAGTAACATGTGAAGAACACACAGAGCTGCACTGCAAAAAAGAATTCCTGGTATTGTGGTGTTTTAATAGTTAATGTTACCGAGATGTTGCCTTTGAAGGTCTTATGAAGGTCATTTGGCTCTTGTTGACATGAAGTTTCCTCTTGTACTTTTTCCAGGGGGAGAATGTGAACCCAGGCACTCAACACAGTCAGTAAAGGATGGGGTGACAGAACAGGTTCTCAGGTTCAGTTTAGATAGAGAAGCGTGTGCTTCATGACAGAATAAACTTTGAGACTCTTCTGTATACAGGTGGTGCAATGCTGCAGCTGAGGCATTTACTGTGCACTTAGGAGATGTCTAATCTGCTCCCTTTATGTAATAAAAGTGTGACAGCAGTGTAGCCAGCACTGTCTGAGCTGGTTGAAAAAAACTAGTTTATATTCTAGAAGGGGTTCAGCAAGGGTAGTGCAGGACTCATTATCTCTGCTGATCCTTGGTGTTTTTGGATGAGCATGAGCAGCAAACCTTGGCAGCTTGTCAGCACATCTTCACATTACACTTCTGCCTTGAAAGAAGACACGGTTTCTGTAGCTACAGCAGCAAATTAGCCCAAGGTGCCTAATCTGTGCAAAACTCCACTTTGTGGTATACGAGGAGAAAGAAATATTCCTGCTGTCTCTGCTCATACAAGTCATCCTTTCTCACTCACAGCTGTGAGTTTGCTACATGTGCAGATCCATAAATATCCTATTAAATTAAACACTGCCAGAGCATTTATCTTGCAATTATCTGGCATTGTACAATTGTTGATATACTCTCTGACATTATTTTGGCCCATATCATCTAGGACTCTCAGATCATGGTGCATTCCAGTCTGGAGAATAATGTGGGCCTGGAACAGTTTCCAGCAGTTGCTATGAATGCAGTCACCTTCTTTGGGGAAGGAAATGGCTTTAACCCATGAGACAAAAACTGTGCCATGCTGCAAGTCCTAACAACCAAAGAATGGATCTGGACTTGTAATTGTAAGGCATAAGCTCTGTAAGAGCAGAAGGGTAATTCGGCACCAAGGCTAATATCTAGAATCTCCTGTGGTTGTATTATGACTTGCTGCTACTGAAAAAGTGCATGTGCATATACAAATATTCCAAATTTGCAAAATTTCCCTATGATTTGTCATTTGAAGTTGGATGATCATTAATTTGGTGCACATCTTGATGCTCTTTATATTTCTATATTGTAGCCACAATAACACAAACTGCTGCTTCTGCAGCTTCAGAACATTGGCTGATACAGCACTAAATGCTGAGCTTTACCCTTTACACTTTAAAAACATGTGAACATATTAATTTTTTTTCTTAGGGAATCAATGGAAAAGATGGATTGCCAGGTCCTCCGGTAAGAAAAAATGCTTTTGTGTATTTTATTCCTCACAGAAACCACAGCTGTTAATCCTAGGCAGTTGCTTTCCGTTCTTCTAACACATGAATACACACCAAAGCCTTTAACTAATAAATTTATCTTTTTTCAAAAACCATTTTTCAGGGTGCTGTGGGGAGACCAGGAGACAGAGGACCCAAAGGAGAACGTGTAAGTCCCTATTATGGTGATTTTTTCTCTTTTTACTGAGAATATAAACACTTCATCAGCACCTATCTTATAGGCAAAATCAAGAAACTAATTCTCTGTGAACTTCAAGCAGTCACCTAGACATCTAAGCGGTTTATTCCTAGACACCACTTCAAGGAATTAGAGTTGATTTGGCTTCTGCATTTAGAGTAAAAGCACATTTTATAGACTTTCTAACACAGTTGGCCTGGACAGTGTAAAGTGATCAATAGGCTGAAAACTGGAAAGCAGATAATCCAATTGTGCTGTTGTCAGTCTTTGCAAAAGCCACGAACTTGCCCTGTTGTCCTCCTTTCTATGTCACAAACGCAAATCATGTTTTGTGTAAAACAAGCTTGTCACACTTAGGCAGGAGGAATGCCAGTGCAATACCTGACTGCTCCCCAAACTCTTCAGGCAGTTCTGTTCATGGTAACAAGGTTATGGTGGGCAGGAATGATTATGGAAGGTAAGAGATGAGTTTATATATATATAAGAAAGACAGTCTTCTTATAACATTCCCAAAGTCCTGATGTCCTAATCACATGGCTGCCACATTTATTTGATGAGTCAGAGAAGTATCTCCCTGTTTAATCTGGAAAAGGAAATGCTGCTTTATGACACTGAAGAGACATGAGGGTTTAACAATTATTACAATTATCCCTTAAAAATTTATCTGTTTGCAACCTTCTGGTTTTGCCTTTAAGGACACAGGCCTGCATCTGTGATAGAGATTGCAATCATTACAAAAAATAAAGTCAAGGTTTCTTGCAGCCATTTTTATTATTACTGCTGTACAGCATGCTCCTTCAGTTTGAGACCAGCTGTTGTAGTTACAGAAAAGAGAAGCATCAAAATTGGAAGGACAGAATAAAACTCTCGAGGTTTTCTTGTCTGATATAAGAATGTCCTCATATAATCCATTTTAAGAAGGAATAAGCCACCTGGGCTGAAATAGTTTTATATATCCTTTGAGTGACTAAACACTGCTGTTACTACTACTTTATAAACTGAATTACAAACTAGATTGAAAACATGTTTTATACCAACCTGTTTTCTAGTGATTTCAAAAGATACAAGTGCTAGTGGCTCGCTCTTTTTTTGCTGTTATGTCCATACCTTGATCACAGATTGTGAACCTGCTAGAGTAGAGCAGGTAGAAACACAGGAAAAACAGCAGTTCCTTCTGCACAGAATTGGGTACAAGATAAAATCCAAGAGATAGGAGAATGCTAGAAAGGAGAAAGGCTGAATAAAGCAGCACCTTAGGCAGAGATCACAAAACACAAACGTCCTGAATTTTGTACAATTCATAGTGGAGAGTTTAAAGAAGAATCTGGAGGAATATATGACCTAGTTTATGAATTTTTACAAGGACCTTTTTCAAAACATGAAGAAAACACTGGAGGCAGTTAAAAAATACTTGTTTGAAAAGTTGCTGTAGTATTTGATTTGCTTCCTACACACTGGCAGCCTGTAAAACAAGGATTGTTTATAAGAAAAGGATCAGCTTCACACTGGCATAGTACTATGATTCTAGAGAAACCTGCCTTTTTCTTTATCTCTGGTAGAAGATCGTTCTGTACCTACTCTGCAGGGTTATAAATCTGAGAACTTATATATCACAAAACCATAGAAAGGCTTGGGCTGGAAGGTTCCTTTAAAGATCATCAAGTTCCAACCACCTTGCCATGGGCCTTTCATCAGACCAGATTGCTCTAAGCCCCATCCAACCTGGCCTTAATATATTTCCAGGTTTAGAGCATCCAAAGCTTCTCTGAACAACTTGTTGCAGTGCCTCACTATCCTTACAGTGAAGAATTTCTTCCTAATATCTCATCTAAACTGAGTCTCTCTCAGTCTGAAGCCATTACCCCCTTGTCCTGTCACTAAATGTCCTTCTTAAAAATTCCTCTCCAGCTTCCTCCTAATATCTTTGGGTACTGGAAATAGCTTATATTAACTATAATTTTGTGTAAATGAAGACATAAAATAGCAGGTTTCTGAAGAAAGCTACAGGAAATGTCCTGCTGTCTTTTGCCTGTGTGAATTTGAGCACCTGAATTTTACCTATGCCATAATTGATATTCCTAGTTCCTTGTATAAGGGCTAAAAACTTTCTATACTCAAGTTCTGTCCTTGAAAAGTGAGCTACAGAGTCAAGCTATTCTTTTTGTAATTGACTTCAACACCAAAAGTGCAAGAAAACAAAATATATTTTCAGAGACGAGGTTCAGCCTGGAAAATCGTCTTCCCTGCATGACTCAGTCTGTTTCTGAACAGTCAAGAATTTTCTCTGTAGTATTCTCAAGCGAATTTTGAGGTTTGTTCCACTATGTGCAACAGTGTTTTCTTGCTGCTTTTATTTTACACAGGGAGATCAGGGTATTCCAGGGGACAGAGGTCCACAGGGTGAACGAGGGAAACCTGGTCCATCAGGAGAGAAGGGGGATGTGGGTCCTGTTGGCCCTCCAGGAGACAGAGGCTATCCAGGATCACCAGGTCATCAAGGTCCCCCAGGCTCACCAGGACCCCCAGGGTTTCCAGTAAGTAAATACAAATTTAATTTGGTTGCTTGTGTATTCAGACAAGTTATGAAGGTAACATGTGCTGAGCAGTGGAAATTCATCTAAGAAATAGCACAGTATTAGAAAAACTAAGGATTTCTCTCGATAATTTCGTGTTCATTTAAGGTGAAAAAAAATATACCCACATGATCAGGCAGTTATTTTTAATTATTTTTTAAAACATCTGCTATGGATAAGATTTAATTATTGATTTCTTTAGTTCCTGCATACCAATATGGCTACTCAGTATTGTTAATTTTCACATTTTCCATAAGATTAAGAGCTACAGTCTGAGCATTTATAACTAGGAAAGAAAATGAGGCAGCCAAAATTCATTCTCAACAGAAGAGAAATCAGCATTTAGAAAGGCAGTGAAATCCTGCTTGCCAGTTGTAGATGTTTTGATTTGTCTGCATGAGCACACAGGCACGCACATCCGTGTTATGGCTTCCTTTTAACCTCAATCAGGTAAGGTAAAGCTCTAAAACACTTTTCCAGTGAAGTTACAGGGGCCATGGTTCTGGTCAGCAGTGCATCAAAACAAGTAGTCCTCATGGCAGGTGAGAGTCAATCAGGTAAGGTAAAGCTCTAAAACACTTTTCCAGTGAAGTTACAGGAGCATGGTTCTGTTCTGGTCAGCGGTGCATCAAAGCAAGTAGTCCTCAGGGCAGGTGAGAAGTTGGCAAATGCTATGCAAAAGTAAAGCAGAGTTTTGTCCCTGCACATCCTTACTGTCTTGTGCAAGGTAACTTCCATACTCATCACATCCTGGTCATCTTGGCAGCTAGGAGTGCTTCTCCCACTTCATGCCACTAGTGTCTTTACAATATTGCAATGTATTTGCAGTAAAGTGGCCTTTGCAGTAAAATAAATAGCACAAATAAATTAAAACATTTATCTATTGGTGAAAGGTTTATATTTGTAATGCTAATTTGAGCATTTCTTATTTTTGTAGCATCATAAATTGTCCTCTGTATATTCTTTCTGATACATATCACCTTTCTTTTTCCTCATCAGGCTGATGCAATTTCACTTGAAGAAATAAAAAAATATATCAAACAAGAGGTTCTTAAGGTATTTGAAGGTAAGAAAAGGAAATATTATACAACTAAATCCGAAATTCTGTTCTAAATTTCTTTTTATTTTTTTTATTTTCTTTTTTAGCAGGTACCTTGTTGCTGTAACTGTGTTTAACAAGTCCAATTTACATTATTTTGTTCAAACAATGAGAGGTTAGAGTATCTGTTGAACAGAGTATTTCCTTGTTCAAGATGGCACTGAGGGTAGTCTGCTCCAAATCATAATAGCAAACAGAAGTATGTGTCATTGCAGATACGTATATGTATCATATATTACTGCAGGTACTGTTTGTCACAACATACCATTAAGATACTGAAGTGTTACTAAAGCAGAGACCACAGATATACCGAATTATTTTGCCCACTTAGTGGCTGACTGTCTAAATAAGAGAAAGGTTCAGTCACATAGCTCCAAATTGCTGTGCAGTTTTCTCAGCGAATATCCCTGCTGAGTTCCAGGACTCCCTGGCAGACCACCATCATCTGGCACAGTTTTAGGCAAGTACCAGATTCAGCCAAGGCCTTTGTATTATGTAAGATTTCTTAGATGAGTCCTTACTCTGAAAAGGAAATATTTTTCTTCCCCAGCATTCCTTTAGTCATGGTAGAAAAGCTGTGAGCCAAATAGGTTTCTGAAACAAGCTTCTTCTTGAACACCCCTTAACAGTAGTTTCTCTTCTATTGCAAAATGCATTTCTTATGTCCTCAATATGCTTTGTTATTCTGTCATTAATGTTTGTGGACAAAATCATCTTTTAGAGATAAAAGAAATTATGTAAAGCTTGACACTTCTTAACTTGTTCAGGCAGTTTTCCCTTTATAAAAAGGCTATAATTTTGTCTATTATCACCTTTCCCCAGGGTATATTATCACCTTTCCCTCAGAGTTTGACCTACTATATATTTCAAGAGCAGTCTGTTGAGTGAAGTCACCTCCTTTTCCCATTCAGATAGAATGGTAACAAATATTTAGTCTATTCACAAAAAGAAAGCATTATAAGATGCCCTGCCTACAGGGAATAAAGTAGTTTTGTCTTTATAGCAATTCCATTTTCTACACCTCACTACTGTTCCCACAGATCTTCCAGTTTTGGCATTGTTTCATTTTGTTTACTTTCTATCACCTTCCTCCTTTTTTGTTTGATGTCCACCGTTCTCTATTTTTTTTCTGAAATCTTAAAACACCACCACTGTAAATACCCACTAAATTGTGGAATGTTTAGAGGTTTAATCTGGTATAAATGAGACAGAGCCAAGGTTAGTACCTGTTTTACCTACCTCTAAGGAGCAGTAAAATATTACCAAGGACACTTTATCTCACCAGCATAAAAATTTCTGTTCTGAAATATCTGCAATTAATAATCTTTGCTGAGTGCTTTCAGGTTTTTTACAACTGTTTTCAGTGTTCCAGCACATTCCAAGAACTGTTCACAGGATTTAATCTCTACTTTGCAGCTGAATATGAGTTACAAAAGTAGAAGGTAGCCCTCCAGCAGTGTGTTAAGTACTAATTATTCTGTCTATGTGTTTTAAGTACTTCCATGAACAGGAGTCAGAAATCATTTGAAATATTGGAATATGTTAGTAATAAAGAGTAGTAATAGAAACTTTAATACAAATTAATTCTGATTGTTTCAAAGGGTAAAGATTCTGACATGAATCTGAGTTGGAACTGAAGGTTTCAGTGCTTATTGGAGCATTTAATACCCTGACATTAAGAAGAATTAAACACCCTACTTACAGAAACTTTAGCTGAGGCTTTGGGATTTTTTTTCCCCTTTTTTGCTAGGAGATTTCTTACCAACTTTTTCTTGTGTTTTTGATTAATGAAGAAAGGATGAGTCAATTTGTATCCCAGCTGAAGCTGCCTGCTGCAATGCTTGCCTCCCAAGCTCATGGAAAACCAGGGCCCCCAGGAAAAGATGGATCACCAGGGCCCCCAGGAAAAGATGGTTTGCCAGGGCCACCAGGAGAACGTGGAATTCAAGGTAAGGATTCCAAAAAATGTTCCTTTTAGTTGTATCTTGAAATTCTTATACACTTGCTAATGTTTATTAAATAAGCCAGGACTACCTATCTAGCTTTCTAATGATTAACTTTTAAACTTATGTACTTATGTTTTTCCAGACCACATCTAAATATTAACCCATAGTAAATGTGTGAATTTTACTGATTAAAAACTCCTAATCAGTGCATTTATTCTAATCAGTTATAAAGTTAATTATTGACAGATATCTAAATCTGACAGAACTACTGTAGCAGCTATTTTTTTTCTACAAAATACCTGAATAAGGAAGAGAAACAATGCCAACACTCTTTAGATTCAGCTTCATATTGAGAGGCCATCTTATTTAAGAAAGAAAATTTTATCTCCTGGTCCAACTGCTCTCAGCTCAGATCCTGAGAAAATACAGGACAGGAAAAACTGAAGAAAAATATTCTTCTTTAAGAAGCAGTGAAAACTGAAGTATTACTAAATTAATTTTTCTTACAGTGAAGGAACCTATTGTCATAAAAGAAAAAATCAAAGTAATACATTTTTCACTAACTGAAGGCATCAGCTATACCTCAAACAGTAATTTGTGCATTGCAATGCACTTGGACAGTATAAGACGCATTTCTGTGAACTACTTTTACTGCAAAAATGTCTTTTACTGCAAAATTAGCTCTGAGGGATCCAGGTTCATTGTAGTTGTGCTCTACTGTAGAGCCAGCCTTTCAGAGATTAAAAGAAAGATGAGAACAGATTAGAAGGAAAAAAGAATTTATAGATGAATAATATATTGTGGGTGGGTAACATGTAATTTGCAGTTTATCTGTAGGTAGTTCTTTATTATCTTTTGTTAGTTTGGTCTGCTCTGGAGTCAGAGCAAGTCAGAGTGGAATGAAGAACATGCCAGCAAAGCTGAAGATGTGTGGATCCTAAAGCTATCAGAAGAATAAGGACTTACTAACATTGATAAGCGCAAACCACTGACAGAAGCTTGAAAAATGTGATGAGCTCAGAATGAGAAGAACAAGAATAAAGGATCAAGGAAAACAATAAAAGGCTTAGAATCTTACAACACTGACTGACTGCATCGTTACCTAAATATTCAGATCACTGCAAATAGTCACCTTCAATGTCAGTGCCAGATTGTTCAATGATGCTGTATGTACTGGATAGTCTTAAACGCTTCTGGGAAGAGAAACATTGCACTAGGTTTCATTTCCAGCTAGTGAGCATCAAGACTAAAAGATGATAGCTATGCTTGAAAAAAAAAAAAAAAAAAAAAAAAAGAGCTGCTTTTCCATACCTTATATTTAAGTAAAATAGTGTCCCATGTACACAGGATTTCTATTTGTTTTACCAATATGCTCAATACCTGTTTTTGATTAGTAAAAGGTAAGCTAAGTGAGAAGCCCTTAATTCTCTGATACACTCAGAAGATATAAAAAACTACACTTCCAAGGAAAGAAAACCAAAAGTTTACCTTGCCTCTTTTTTATACTGTGAATAAGAGACTGTCCTGTAAGAGGTGCACACTTACAGCCTTCACACCTTCCTCAGTTGTGCATGTTACTTCTTTGTGCCAAGAGTAAAAAGAAATTCAAATCTCTGAGCAGATTGAAAAGTATCTTTTTATATTCCAGCTTGTCTTCAGCCATAAAATACATAGCAAACAAGACTTCTTGGTGAAGCACGTTACGTGCATGTGTGGCTGGGCCCTTTAAGGTAGCATGCTGTGTGCACAAGCCCTAATACAGACTTGGTATTGACTGATAGACACTTCCTATTATATTTCTCACTTGGGTGTAGCCCAGACTGCCCTGTCAACTCCAGGGATTTGCTGTGTGCAGTAATGTGTGGCAGAGTGAGTCACTTGTCCCACACAGGCAGTGAGAAGATGTGGCTGCTTGTGGCAAGCAATTAACAGGACCTTTGTGAATATGTCCTGTTTGTGATGCTGCATGCAGAGCCTGCTAGAGCCAGCCAGATGCTACTGTGTGTCTGGAGAGGTGCTTAATTTCATCTGTGGATTCCCAGGGGTCCCTGCATACACCTTCAGTGTGGTGCTGGTTCCCCTGGAAACTGGTCAGGAATGATTTAGTCGGATTCCAACAGAATCTCCTCCTGCACAGCAAACTAATAGGTAAAGGGTTAGTCCCAGAAGCAAAAAAGAAAGATACTAACTTTTGGACTTATAGGCATGGTTTTCAAAAAGTGTATTTAAAGAATTGCTAGTCTCTTATGCAGAGATTCATTCCCTTCTAAGCAAGTCCAGAATTTTTACCTGCTGGTCTTCAGTAAGACTGTTCATAGTGTTCCTCACAACCTTCCCAGTGGTTCAGGTAGATATAATCAATAGGATGGTCTCATTAGAAATATAACATGCAAGTAAAATAGAATTGCAACTTCAATTGTGAAACACATAATTGGTATTCAAATAGCAAAAGGAAGATTTTTATAGACATATACATATATATATATATTTTCATTTCAAAAATAACCTATGCAACTGCAAGCTGATGCTCTGAGGCAGGACTAATGGTAAAATGTACAGCATCTTTCCTAAGGGAGAACAGAGCTCTCTGGTTTTTTTTGCTCTGCATGAGTTTTAAGGTATGTTAATATCTCCTAGATAATAAGTTTATTTCAAGACTTTACAAAAAAGATATATCAGTCATCCATCTGCAAACAGTCAGCCAGCTTGTCATGTGTTAGATCTAGCTCAATTAGCTCCACTGACTTAACTGGTTTTAAAATTGTAATAGTAAGTGAATTTTGGTTCATTAGATGAAATGCACCTTGTGATAATTTAACAATCCAGAGATCCTTTATGTTAATATGATTTGATTTTTTTTCAAATAGAAAAAATATTCCATCCTAGTTAAAATTCACTCTTTCTGTCAAATTGAGGGAATTATTTTTTTATCGGTCCTCATAACTTGTGGTAGCCTCGAGGAATCAAAAAAAATAGCTCAGCTCAGAAAATAAAAATACCATGCAACGAATAGTGAAAGCTCCTTATCTTTATTGGCAATCTCTGTTGCAAAGTTTATGTCTCTTATTATCATTACTAATTTGTATGGTGGAAGCGTGTAGAAATCTTGGCTGACATCAGGAACCCATTGTATTGAATGTTGTCTATACACAGTCACTCTTCTGAAATAGCTGCACTGGTTTCGAGAGATACCTCCTGCAAAATATTCTCTGCTGTGGAGGTTAAAGTTGAGCTGTTTTTCTTTGGTTTGAAACCCAGCTGTTCCCTCTCAGCTGAGAGAGCTCTAAAACACAGAAGGAATTCAGAACATGTATTGGTGGCTGGATGAGAGGCCTTCATCTTAGCACCCTCTCTGTTGCTTTGCACTCTTTTTAAGAACACTGAGTATTTGCACAGTAAAGCATAGTGGATACTTTGGTCTCATTGTTCCCTGTGTTGGTAATCTCTTTGCCTTGTATTTGTATTAAAGAACCTCAGATTTCTCTAGATACTTGAGGTGTTAGTTTCAGGTACTGCATAGTCCATGCTGATGGAAGAGGGTCTACATGGTATGGGTGCAATAGAGCAGTATAAATACCTTTTACCTCCGAGTTCATGGACATGAACATGTGTCATTTCCATGTAGAGCCAAGGATGTAGCAGTAGTGACACTTTTAACCGTGATGTTTGTGGCAAGCACCAAAGTGAGAGCTGAATTCCAGCTGTTACTACTCATCTATGAACAAAAGCTTATCTGTATGAACACAAACTTGCAACATACTGCTACCAAGTGTTTACCATACTGCCCACGCCGGGTACATGTTTGTAATAACAGAACTTTAGGGTTGCAGAAATCACAACAAAACTTCTAGAACCTGAGTGAAAGGTTCTGCTAAAACAGATACCTTTTGAATTAAGCAGGTGCCTCTTACTGGAATTGTAATTCTACCAGGAAAAGTAGATAGCATCTTATATGTGCCTTTACATTAAAAATAATAAATTAAGTCTGTTTTATGTGTATGGTAATATTTTCCTTTGACTGTGTATGAGTTTGTCAGTCTAAGCTCAGAAAGAAGGTGATATTATCCTCTAGAGGTGTAATCATGGCCCTGCTTCTGAGCAAAATATACCTCATTAAAAATAAAATATTTTTCTGCCAGAACTACACATTACATTGTTCACATTGTTTACATATAAGTCTGTTTATTCATATTCTTGCATTCTATCAAATAAAGCCTTATTGTTAGACAAGGTATTTGGAAATTTTTGTATTGAACTTCAGTGCTAGCAGAACTCACCTGCCACCATGTGAAAACTACACCCTTGCATGTGTATTTGCCTACAGCCAGTAATGGTTTATCACTACTCTGGACCATGCTGCTCTTTGTCCTGTTGTAGGGGTTTTTTTCCTTATTTTCTTGTGTTCCAGTGATGTTTACAGAATCATTCAGTCTATCTCAGTCATTTTCAATTACCGTGTGTCAGAGACCTGCAGTAATGTTTATCGTGGGGATTGTAAATGTGATGTATGGTACCTTTGATTTCTCTCTCTTCTCCATAACTAAAGAAGTGCAAAACAAATGGTTAGTGGCAGCAGTCTGTTGTAAAATTAGAGTTAACTGGGTTTGTAGTGGGAAATGCATTGTAACTGTTGACCGCAAATTAAAAAACATTGAGAAATATAAAATAAATAGGACATGTAATGGATCCTTTGGTTGTATTATTGAGCTTTTCAAAAAGCAGCAATATTGGAAGTTGCACGAGATATTTTGGAACAAACCAATTTGATGTAGTTATAAATATTACTGTGGTCATTGAAGAGTAAATCTGAGATTCAAAATCCAGTACAAATACCTGCATATTCCTTCTTCTTAGTCTTCATAGCTTGTGTGTGTGTATGCTTTGTACAATTCTGCTTAACATAACTCAGTGACCAGAATGCATGGTTAATTTGAATTTGGGTTTCTGTGAGATTTTAAACTGTTGATTTCCTATAGTTATGTTATGTATGGCACTCTGCATGCATTTTGTAACATTTTTGCCTCACTGTAATTTCCTTGTTGTGATGCTGAGAGGAGTAAAATGATTGATGCTCTGTTTTGAAAGCTGGAATGATTGCAACAGATAACAGAATTTATATTGAAGTGTATAATGAGCTTGTGTGTAACAGAAAGCTTGAATGCTCTGTGTACCATTCCTACTGCATTGTGTCTGAGCAACCCTGAATTGGTACCCACAGCCCTCAAAGTAATTTCCTTCTGGAACGTCCTGTAAGGTGGCAGTTGCATAAACCACAGCACACTGGCAAGACAGCCTTTGCCATCCACCTGTCAGTGCCAGTAAATCTTCATGGGACATCAGGTGGATTGACATGGCTGTGCTCTTCTCTTTAAATTCAAACTAAGTAATAGTTCTTCGCAAGAGGAGGAACTCAGTACTTTCTTGCATGGCATAGGTGACGCTAAAAATATAGTGGTCCCTGAAGCAGGAAGATTTTAATTCCAAATGTGACCAGAAATCAGCAAATTAATCCTAAACTTTTGTCACCTTATATGCCAGCATCTGAAGTGCTGGGTACAGAAGAGTTTCCTTGTAAGCCCTTTTGAAGTAAGGGTTTGTGCAGATTTAAAAATACCTTCATGCTTTCTCCTGCATAATAAAGGTACATTCTTAACTTGAAATAAAAAGGAAAATATTTTACTGATAGCAACAAGTCCTCTGCTCTAAAGCAACCAGTTTCCAACTAATAAAACTTTTTTAAAAGTTCAACAACAAAGAAGCAGGGGCTGGGCAGGAGTTGCAGCACCTGAGAAGATGGAAGCCATTTAGATAAATTCAAAACTATGGCCTGTGAAGAAAAAGGACCCAAGTATTCAAAATATGATTAGTAATCACATCTTGTTAATGATATACAGCTACTTGGGTCAAAGTAAGCTTCAAACCCAAAATCTGCACAAGGTCCAGAGATGCCTCATTCCCCGTAAGGGCAGCTGGACAATACTGGCCAGGGAGTGGGTCTTCTCTCACATGCAGGGGAATGTCTAATCATACAACTACCAGTTTAAAGTCTAACAAGAGCAAGTGCAGGGATTTATGCAGAACAGAGAGGGTAAAATCTGCATTTGGCTCCATATTAGAGGAATTTCAGGTAACTTAAAATCTTGGGGAAAGGTCCAGCTAGTGAACAAAGCAAGAGCCCTTTGACAGATGAAGTAGCAGTTACTTCTAGAAATGTTCATATTTTCCAGAAGGAATTTATAAACTTAAGAGCTGTTTCAGAAAAAAAAAAAAAAATTAAAAAAAAAAATTTAAAAAAAAAAAAATCAACAACCAAACAAATTCTGAAAAAGAGAACTGAGCATGTGCTTTCCCAATTATATTTGCCTTGGTAATTTCGTGCCAACAAGATATACAGAAAATCACTACCTAAAATAAGAGGGTGCTCTTATTTTCATATCTTTATTCTGTGTAGGTTATAGAGGACAGAAAGGGGAAAGAGGCGAGCCTGGAATTGGACTGCCTGGTAACCCTGGACCACCCGGCCCTGCAGGTACAAGTCTCCAGATCTATTTCTGCTACTGTTATTTATGAGCTAACAGGCCTTTCTCCTGTTTTTAACACTGGTTTTTACACTCCTGCTTTTCCTCCCGAGCTGGATCGCAGCGTGAGGTCAGCCCCACCTGCCTCCTTGTGGATGCGCTGGAGTTCAGCTGATGTCGGTGATGAAATGCAGGGCACTGCCCATGCTCTGGTGAGGACTCTGCTAATTGTGGCTTTGTTTTAGCAGCTGCTGGCCTGCCAGGCCCACCAGGAGCATCAGGCTCACCGGGACCGCAGGGGCCGCCTGGACCCAACGGGAGGTGCAATCCGGCAGATTGCTACTACCACGTGTCACAGACTCGCTCACGCACCAGCAGGAAATAAAATCCCTCTCCCCCTGACACTTGGGTTCACGGTCACTCTTCACTCTTTCCAATAAGTTAATTTAATTTTTGAAATATTTGGTGCATTTTTTTTTCTCTCGACACTGCATGGTATATAGATAATTTGTAAGGCACAAAATTGAGCCTTTTTCTATGTTATTTGCAGTGTCATAATGATGACATGATGTCATATATTTTCCAGAGTGCATTCCATGTGTTGTTTCTCATATTTATTTTGCTTAGAACAGAAAATAGGCCCAAATAATTTTCATAAACTTCTTTCTTCAAACAAAAAATATTTTATTATAACTTAAGACAGTATGTATGCCTCCATATGTAAGCTGGCTTTATTTTTCTTGCTGGTGGTGAATTTTAAATGGAAAAAATACATTTCTGAAGTTACAGAGCGTACTCGTTCCTGGCGAATGCAGGACCTGAGCTGGAACACTGGGAACTCTGTTCAGACTAAACATTCATGTCCCTCAATGAGGCTCCAGCACACCTTCTGAAAAGGGTCTGCCATGGTCCAGGAATGCTCCCCACCATGTCACAGTCACATCCAAGATGGCAAAGAAGGAAACGAAGATGTGGTTATGGTCTCCTTATCCCATCCAACAATGAGCTCCAGACTGACTGGAAAATCACTGGGTGTAGCTCCAGGAAGTGTCTCTCCTGACTGGATTTTGTCCCAGCTGGGGGCTTGTATGTTCTTTTAGTCATGGTTACATGTACCCCAGATATTAAATGCAAGAGGCTGCTAACAGTGTTCCAGACTGAGAGCTGGCACACCTTCTATCCAGTAGGTGGACTGAGTAAGGCTGCTAAGGCCTGGCATCAAGCTACTCTGCCATCAAGTCTGCCTGCAGCAAAGGTTGACCCCTTGCTTTAGAGCAGAGGCTGGTGAGTACATATTCCAAGAATGGAACTTCACAAGCCTCTAATCTTGGTGATGGCACTGTTTTCCTCTTCCTCCTGCAATATTCACTCCCTGCAATCAGCTTGAGAAGAACATGGAATCTGTAGAGTGCACCACTCACGGGTCCTATTAACTGGTGACAATATTTCTTGAGTTCAAGAGAAAGTCGGAAAAAAATACAAAACCCTCCTAGAAAAGTGTACTACTGAGAGCAGCAGCATCCAGTTTTCAGGCATTTAGTAAGGGCTGCAGGAACAGACAATGTCAATGATGAACAATACAGAACAATGTGTAAATCCTGTAGAGTTCAAAGGGTTGAGCAAAAGAAAATCTGGAGAAAATAGATCACACAGATGATCCTGAAAAGGAGTGAGTAGGGATGGCTAAAATTTAACTTCTGATTATTAGGACACAGATGATCCTAAGTTAGTCCTGTGGAATTTGTACGGTGCAATAGAAAGTGAAGGTGCTATTTAGAGAACACAGACACAGACACCTATAACCTACAACTTCAAAATGCATCTGTAGTACATAGCCATACTGAGGGCTCTTATCCCATTGTTTGGAAGTTAGTCACTCTCCCACGTCAGGCAGGGAAGTAGTTTTGGTAACTTTGTGCTTGAGCAGTACTGAGCTACCAGGGAAGTATTCTCAAATTGGAAGTCCTGGCTTCCAGAGAAACAGTTGTGATACATTAATCTGGCCGACTTCTGGGTTTTGCTTAAAAGCAGTTTAGGAATGACTGGTGGGAGTCTTTAGCAAAAGATGCACATTGGCATTTGTTCTGAATAGAGTTCTTAGCACTTGCAGAGCAGAGGAAGCAAGATGAGAGCAAGAGGTGACAGAAGTAACTCAGGCAGCAGCTGGGGCACTCAGGATACTTTCTGAAAGGGAAAGCACACATCCCTGACACGTTCATTGGTTAGGTGTTTGGAGGAGAGAATATGCTTGCTAGAAAAGGATGTTAAAGGAAACACAGGGATGGAAGGCTGAGAGTAAACACCTGGGACAGGAGAAGGCAGCAGGAATGAGGATGGCAGAAAACCTGTGGCATACCATGGACTATCTCCTGAAGGAGCTGCACTACACCCTGCAGCTGGGGACGCCTTGGGGAGTCAGGGTGCTTTATCTGTTCCTTGTGAGAATGGGGTCAAAAGCCCACAGGCAAGCCCAGTCCTCACACCTCCTGTTCTTCTCACCCCTCATTCCTCGGCAGGCAATGGCTGTCCCTTCTGCAGGCTGGCACATCCTCTGCTCTGCGGGCAGCAGGCGCCCGTCCTGCTGGGCTGAAGGTGCCTTTGGGACAAGTGGTGCTGCCTGAGCTCAGCTCAACACCAGCTGCTCCCACTCCAGAACTGCTGTGTCCATGGAGCATGTTTTTGTTTGCTCTGTAGAACTGATCACCCTTCCAGTCCTGCTCCTCAGAGCGCCGGGGCTGTGGGAGTGCTGGGAATGGTGAGGCAGCTTGAGACCGAGCACTGAGGCACCGAGCACTGTGCAGGCCACGGGTCTGCCTGCCCAGACAGCACAGCCAGCACATCTCGGTGTTAAACATGGACACCAGGGGAGGAGCAGCCCCACATACTGGTGTCCATTCTCTGAAAGCAACTGCTGGTCAGGTATCTTGCATAACTTGCATAAACATTTTGTCTTTCTTTTTTTTTCCTTTCTTTTTTTTTTTTTTTTTTGTTACTTCTGTAGTAATTCCAATATTTGTAATAATCTAAACATTTTTTACTTCTAAAGTTAATTTTGAACTTCATTTTCTGTGATAATATTGAAAAGGGTGCTGTCTTGTAGTAGTACTTGTGTGACTTAGAGGTTCCCAAGCAGCCCCATCCTGGAAGGCTGTACATAGACCATTGCACCGCACTGGTGGTATCTGTATATTTTGGGGCTTTTAGCTTGCTGAAACCCAGCATCTGTTATCTGCCAGATGCAATTGCTGTATTTTAATTTACTTGAACTTACTGGGAAGCAGAACACTTTTTATATTTGAAGAAGTTTTATTTTTTCATCTATGTTTCCTACAGATGCCTTTTTCTTTTTATAGGCTTAAAGAGAAAGGTCTTTCTAAAATGTATTTGAATGCTTTCAGTTGATTTGCAGGTAACTTTGGTAATTATCTTGTTGCATTTTTTTTTTTTTTTTTTGCTAAAAGCCCACTTTAATTTTCTCATGTGAGAAAACGGGTAATTTTTTATGTGGGCTATCTCAGTACCTATTTTAAGATGCCACGTTCTTCACTGGGGTAGAGCAGAGCTAATCCCAGCTTAACTTTACTTCACACTGGCTTGCTCCTAATTCGCATTTTTAGAATTGAAAGTGGAATGTAGCTGGAAACATGTGTCTGCATGCTTTTCAGGTTTGGCCCCTGAAATTTCTTTGCAGTTTCAGACTGATGTTGTCTTAGTTTTTGGGCAGGAGGCCAGGGAGGGAAGAGGGGATGCTAATCTATTTTGCAATTTGCTTTATCTGTTTTGTATCTGTTTTGAGCAGCTCATGCTGCAGTAATCACTGCAAGGAAATAAACACAAGGGATTATTTTTTTTTTTCCAGTAGCATAAGGTCTTTTATTCTGCTTTGGGTTTGTTTACATGCAACAAGACTCAGAAGTGAAATAACTTTGACAAAATGTTTTTAAACCTTTTTTAAAAGCTCTTGAAGCTTTATCCTAGTTCAGGGTCAGACTTTTCTATTTTATGGCAAGTTGCTTTATCACCTCTTAAAAATGTGTTGGGATTTTCCTTGAATGGCAATGTATAGTACTCAGCTTGCCTAAAGAAAGTACAGAAGCTTCCTCAGAGGGAAGCTTTCCCAAGGCTGCAGCAGACCTCCTGCTGTCCACATGGTGGAGTGCAAAACATCCTTTCAGTACAATTACAGCCCAGGCATTACTGGCCCAGCAGAACAAGAGCTGACCTAGCCATGTGTATTCTCACAGCACAAATGTCCGTGTTTCTGACTTTATTCTTGAGACTTACTTTTTTCTGGTTTTTTTTTTTTTTTCTTCAAATCTCTAGTTTTGCATGGTGGTATTTGCAGAAATACTGCCTTTCTTGAATAATTATTGTAAGATAATATTGCTAAGATTTTATTTGTGTTTATTATTATATTGTGTTTTATGTATGTTGCAAAAGAATATGTTGTGGTGAGACATCTCATTTTCAGGCATCATTTATTCCCCTGCAATGATGTTTGTCCCCAGGGGAGGTTAGTAAAAACTTCAACAGCGTCCAATGTACAATTGGGCAGCAGTTGCAGCCTGGTAATGTTTAGAGAACCAATATTCTTACCTTAAGCTGGATCTGGTTTCAGTGTTAAAAGAACATTGTGATACAGAAACAGGATTGATTATCCATCCTTCCCTTACATCTTATGATTGTGGGTTATGACAAATATTAGATATGCACAGCTTTGTTAAATAAGTGGGGGTTTTAATTAATGGATAATCACACAAAATATTTTGGATCTTCTTCTTTTTCACAAGGATGAAATGGTATTTTTCATGTCTATGTACACTCAATTTTTTTTCTTTTTTTTTTTCTGAAATGTTTATATGAAAGTCTTGTAAAAATCCCACTGGCTAAATTAGCAATTTATAAACTTGTTTCTCCAAACAGACTACGTAAAACCAGTCCTTAATTTTGCATTTTACCAATGCAGTAGAAATGCTGCTCTAATGTGAGAAGAAAAGTAACTCAGAAATCAAAATATTGCTGGTTTGGGATGTGTTCTTATTGAGTTTTTCATAGATTCTGGATGTACCAAATCATGCGATTTTTTCCTGAAACCTGATATGTCCACTACAATTCGATTGTACTGGATGGATGTTTATATTACCTCCATGCATGTAGGTGGGTGTAGGTCATGGAGAGCAAGTTTAAGCTTGACTTTGTCATGGTTGATATTTAAGTGGGAAATTCAAGCTTCAGGATACTGTAAGGAAATGTGGTTTTCAAATATTAATTGCTAACAAATATTGCAGATTCTAGACCAAAATAAGTTTGTAGCTAAAAAGATTGGAGTCTACATGTCTTTTAGCAGTTTTCTTTCTTAGTCTGCTATTCTATAAACACTAATGCATTTAATTACTTACTGCAGTTTTAATGTAAATATATTCTGTCTCCAGTCAGAATGTTTGAAGGATTCTCAATGACACACCTTGGTGTTTTGTATTCTTTCATTTCTGAATTTTATGCAGCTGTCACTGAATGAATCACAGAACATGGCGACTGGTTGCTTCCTTCCTTCCTTATATTTTTGGCTTGCAGCATTTAAGTTCGGTTCAATGGAAATGTATTAAGTGGATGAAAAATAACTTTTTACATTCTTGTCTGGCCATGTACATCTGAAAGAGGATGCTGGATGGAAATGAAAATATTTCACATACTTTCTGTTTGTTGCTCTGTCAAAAATGTCAGCCTTTCCTTCTGTGTCAAATCACGAGAGGGAGGTTGCAACTGCAAACAGGAGAAAGGAGAGGCACAAAGCCACTGCAGTGAGCTCTGGGGAGAAGTCAGCGTGGGTTGGCTGAATCTGGGGGATTGGATTTCGACCCCAGCTGAATTCAGACTTGTGCTTCCTAAGTCTGGTGAAACTTAGAGCTCTACAATCTGGATTAAAAAAAAACAAACAAACAAACAAAACCAACTAAATGCAAAACCATGGTCTTAATATGTATATAATTTATGAAAATTAATATATTCTCTGAATGCAAGTAAACTTCCTGCCCAAGTAGGAGATAATCACTTTTATTCAAGAAACTGATTCACTGAACTTTAGGGAACTGTAGGAATTTTCATTTTTCTCTTGCTGCCCAACTCTCCCTGGAGGAAAAATGCTGATGACATTTTAAAGGATTCTAGGTAATAATTTCACCACCAACTTGATTTCCTTTCTTCCATTTTCATAGTGTCTTCAGAAATTTTGTTTATTTTGTTTTGTTCATTTTCTAAAGCTGCCAGGTTTACTCATCCTTTTGAATGCACAGGCAGCAAGCAAAACAGAACAGGAATAACAAAAAATTGAAGGGAGGGAATAAAACTGAAGCTGTAGCAAATCACACAGGAGTAACTTGCCCTACAAAATATAGATGTTTCTTCTCTACCTGTCACCCATGAGCAGAGGAGATGCAGCAACTGCTTTTTTTAAGTATAAAGGAAGCAGAGGTTACATGGCCAAAAAATAATACAGTGATGAGCAGGTCAAGCAAACACATTTCACACAATTGTCTAAGCAGTTTAACAATATTTGCAAATTGCAGTGTTGGAATTTGGAGCACAGCTGCTGTGTTCTGCCAGGGTGAATTAACACTGTTGTCTCTGAAACAAAGTGTTTCTTGGGAAACCTGGTTTCTTGTTCCTTCTGTCCTTCAAGTAACCTTCAAAATACCATCTGTTGACACTTTTCATATCTGAAGGAAAACAAATTTTGTTGCAGATCTGTGCTTGGCTCTGGGTGAACTCAGATCATGACTAAGTATTCAAAGACATAAAATGTAGTGTAATCCTCCCTAGCCTTGGTTTCATACATCATTTAGGAGCTCCAAATAGTGCTCTAGAGCTTCTTTGGCTACAGAGACTTTGGCTGTGTGAAACATTCAAGATTTTTTGGTAGCAGTTCATACTAAGTTGCTTGAACCCAGTAATGGCTGAGGCAGAAAACTTATATATAAACTCATATATTAAATTCTATATGTATATAATGTATAGGTGTATAATACATCCATCTCTTAGCTCAATATTTGGCATCATGTTATGAATTCTTGCTAATAGAGTGATGGTGAATGGTGTTAATCCAGCTGGCCTCTGGTCACTAGTGGGGTTCCCCAAGGCTCAGAATTGGGGTTGGTCCTGTTCAGTGTCTTATCAGTGACCTGGATGATGGGATTGAGAGCACCCTCAATCAGTTGCAGACAACACCAAGCTGGGTGAGAGGGCTGATCTGCTGGAGGACAGGAAGGCTCTGTAAACTGGGGAGTCTGGACTGGATGGATGGATGGATGGATGGATGGATGGATGGATGGATGGATGCTGAGGATTGCCCCAACCCTTGTGCAGGCCTTGGCCTTGGCCTTGCTGAAACTCGTGAGGTTCCCATGGACCCACTTCCTGAGTCTGTCCATGTCCCTCTGGATGACATCCCTTCCATCCAGCATGTTGGTCACACCTCAAGGCTCGGTGTCGTTTGCAAACTTGCTGAGGGTGCACTCGATCCCATGGTCCGTGGCACCAGCAAAGACATTAAACAGTCCCAGCATGGACCCTTGAGGAACTGGTCTTCACTTGGACACTGCGTCAGTGACCTCAACTCTTTTAGGGTGGCCACCAGGTCTGTCTGTCAAATCCATGTCTCTCCAGTTTACAGACAAGGATGTTGTGTAGGACGCTCTCAAATTCTTTGTCCAGACAGATGCCATTCCCTATTCCTTTCTTCATCACCACAATAACCCTGTCAGAAGGCCACCAAATTTGTTGGCAGTGCCAGGTTAACAGTCAGACCCAATGATCTTAAAGTTCTTGTTCAACCAAAAAGAGTCTATAAACTGGCTATCATTAGAATTTTCTCTGGGTTCCTGCCTATACTGAAGTAACTGAGGAGCTAATATATGTATTTATCACACTGCAATTAAACCTCCAGAACGAGAAGTGGTGACAGAGATCATGGTGGGTAAAAGATTTTCACTAGTCTTCTGTTCAATAAATCTCACAGAATTTTATGATGCTGAATCTGAAGGAGATTAGAAGATTTACTTGGGATTTCACTGAGGTTTTAGGAGCATCTGGTTAAAATTGTTGGCTGACAGTGGCTTGTGAAACCTCTCAATCTCTTTGCACTGTGTGTTCTAAATTTATTTTAAAATATTTTTCTGTATCACCATAGTCAATACATCTTTATTTTAAAATCATAATCCTGTCTTTATTTTCCAAATCTTTCTTTTACTTGAACGTGCTGTTACTAAGAATCCCATCTCTGGTATGTTGTGGTGCACAGTCTACCATTTGTCAAGTACCTCTTCTCCATTCTTGTGTAAGGTTTGGAATTGAGAATCAGATTAACCTACGCATCCCATAAGGACTTACAATGGGCCTGAAGATTTTTTCTTCAGTTCTTTAAGTTAAAACTTGTGAGTCAGCTTGAAAGCAGAAAATCTGTCACAATCTTAAGATGTCCACTTATAAAGATTCTGCATTGAATTGACTCTCAGTGTTGAATTTGTTTGATCGTAATAATTCTTATTTGAGTTTTGCATATGAATATTTTTGCTCCTACATTTCTTTCTATTGTGGAATTTTATGCCTTTTTCAGAATATATTTTCTAAAGCACTTCACAGTTGTATTTAAATGTGGGGGGGTGCTTCTTTTGATTCATATGTTTATGCATTATGTACAGAAAACAATATTTTCATTCTGTTATCAGATGAGATTTTTTTCTTTTCAGCAGTTTTACACACTTTATAGTCAAAATAAAAGTTTGCTGGTGAAACTACAGGTTTTTTTACTAGTGTTTTATTAGTTGCACTACCTATGGAGAACTTTGGAGTACTCTGTCCCAAGTCAGTAAAAACTGACCTAATTAAAAAGTTTTTGAAAACCCCTTTATGTGTTCCCAAACATGTGTTGTGTGGCATGTTCTGGATTTGTTCACAAATTCAATTCATTGCACTTGCTGATTTTGGTGACTTCTTGTAGTATTAATGTAGGAAAACAGGTTTGGTTTGAGGTAGGTTTAACTCCTATTTTTTTCAATAATTCCTTTTGGAGTATACATTGTACCATTGTACTTTTTCCTTTAGTGTCATCTTACATGTTATGTGCAAAATGCAATGCTCCATGGATCTTGTTATTTCTCTCTGTTGTCACATAACATCAAGTCCTTGGAGCATGATCCCACAGCTGAGGACTAGGAGAAAAATCAGTGCTTAAAACAAATGTGCCACAGCCTGTATAGGAAAATTTGGATGGCTAATAATGAAGAGAAAGAAAATATCATTGGGTGGTTTCATTGTTGTCTTGAAGGGAGAATAAAGTTCAGAGAGGTAAAGGCAAACCACAAATAATTTAATTTATATGGAGAGGAACAGAATACCCACATTGCACATTTTCCTCTAAAAACTAAGTATCTAAAAAAGGCAACTTGGGCCATCTAATGGCTGCCTTCTGGCTGTTCTGGCCATCAATACTGAATGCAGCCATACATAAAAAAATTAATTTGGGGGTTTGTAATCTTTTATAGGAAACATACATATTTCTAGGACTCAAAGTTCTGATGACAGTGGCTACTAGCCTTTTATTTTAGTGCCACATATAGCAAGGCAAGCTGCAATGGTCTTCATATGGAATTACAAATGCAACACAAATTGGAATCAAAAAATGAAGAGGTTATTCCACATGGGTTATTTATGGCAACCCTGTGATTGTACTTTTACAGATATTGGCAGCATAAACAGTGCCAGGGGTGGTGGGTTTTCATAAGAACCTCCCACCTGGGTTTCTGTGATTGAATTGAAAAGCTGAAGGAGGTTTAGCATATTCTGTGCAAAACACACATGAAATTACTGTGAATGAAGAGTATGTGTTAGAATTTATTTTATAAGTATGAAAGAATAGATACAGCTGCAGTAAATAAAACTATCCTTTTTTATTTGATGGCTGAAGACATTATTTCACTGTACATCATACACAGGAATTAAGTAGGGGAGGAGGAAAAAATCACAGAAACTCTTTATTAAACAAAATCAAAAATAAAAATAGACAAGTACCTTTTATTTCCCCCCAAAAGGAGAAGGCAGAAGGCAGCACCTGTGTATTTCTGTAAGCACCATTGCTCCAGCTTGTGTTGCTAAACACTCCTTTTGGAAGAATGCACAACCACTGTGTTAAAAATACCTTACTGAAACCCCGGCTGAAAGGTTTGTCCGTGTCTGCATTTCTCCTTCGCTCGTGATTCTGTCCTCAGCTGTCCGTGCAGGATGTGAATCGATGCCGGCACACGGCGGCACTCTCAGGGCCCTTTCACGTTCTTCCCGGCTCTCTGTCCCGCCTGCATCCTGCAGGACGCGGGCTCGCAGTACCCGGGAGGGCCGGGCGGGCCGGGGGGGCCGGGAACCCCCGGCTGCCCGGCCACCCCAGGGACACCTCGGTCACCGTCACGGCCCTCCCTGCCGTAGCTGGCTTTGCCTGGTTCACCTGGAAAAGCGGATGCAGGGCTAAACTTTGGCAGCATGCAACTTGCATAGCATAGCATCCTGTCCTAAAAAGCTGTATGAAGATTGTTTTTCACCGCTGTCAGGGGATTCCCAAGAGTGATGCCAATTAACAGGGACAATTTTCCTCTACCCAGCACCCAATCTGCAATGACATTTCAGTCCCAGTGCTCTCCAGGTGTACCAGTGCAGGTCTGCTGCAGTACAAAGCTCTGCAGGGTACTCTACTCAGCCAACGCTCCTGCCAAGACCTAGGGCAGGGGAGATGCTATTTGCTACCACAGAATTTCATTACCTCTCTGGAAAAAGAAATACCAATTTTTTTTTTTTCACTCAGATGGATGGGGAAATATATGTAAAGATTTGAACTGCTGAGCACTGAAGTAGTTTTTACTCGTAAATCTTCAATGAAGAAAGGAAAAACAGTGATTTCAAGAAGCATCTTCCAGGATAGATTTCTAAAGAAAACACCTCTGAGTTAAACAGAGATGCTTGGGGATCAGTAAATACTAAACTATTTTTTTTCCTTTTTCACAAAAGAACAAATATGAGTAGTTAATCTTGCTAGATGAACACAGAAATGTACAGTAGAAACGGTGATGGAAATAACATGTTTGTGTTCATTCGCTGGCCACTAGAGGCCAGCTGTGCTTCATTCATCAGCAGGAATCTCTCCTGGAGCCATGTTATAGAACACTGCAATTAATTACCGTGGAAATAAAATAATATCTTAAATTGTGACTGGATATTTTAAAGACTGCTGTGCCTGCCAGTGAGATAATCTGGAGGTTATGGTCTTTTTTTTTTATTATTTTTTAAATATAATTACATGTGTATGTAATTTTTATTCATGTGTGTGTAATTGCCTCCTTTTTAAAATGCTTTCTTTACATTTTTTCTAATCTTTCTACACTGAGATAAATGAGGAGGAGGCTTATTGCTTTTTAGTTTTAAGACTGATTTCTGACTGAAGTAAAAATTACTAAGCACTGTCATTTCAGAATTTATTGCTTAATGGACTCCTTTTATCTTTTCAAGGCAGCTTGAAGTATCAGTTCTGAGCAAATTTTTACTATATATCTTCTTTATCCTCAGCCTTTTTTATTTACCTGGAAGACCTCTTGGTCCAGGATAACCTTTCAGTCCTCTGCCTGGAAATCCTCTTTCTCCTCTTTCTCCTGGCTCACCTAAAGCAAATTCATGACACATTAGTTACAGTCTGCCTGGAGTATCATTTGTAGTAAATCCCCTTTCAGAAGTGAACAGTTAATAAGCAGAGAATTCATCTGGCTGTATATATTCTTAGCATCTTTCAATGATGTCCTGGCACATATCTGTGTAAAATGTTTAGGATTTGTTTGGGTTTTTTCACCCATTTGAGTCACACTCAGAAGCAGACAGGTTGGAGGGAAAGAAACCACCTAGAGCTGGACAGTAAGTACCATACGAAATATGTCACAGACCATATAACAGGAATAAACCAAAGTCCCAGGATTTCAGGATATTTGGGATACAGACTGAGGGTACTGGCTTCTGCAAAACTATATAAGCTCAGTTAAGAAGTAAAAATTCTCAAGTGTTGGTCCTCGAGACAGCCAGTGCAGAAGAGACAAAAGGTGGTTACACAGATGACAGTATTCTGTTGACATTCACATAAGGCATAGTTTTACCTTCACAAAATAATTTTTTATCCTCATATAATAATGTCATGCAGACTTTCATTTGGAAACACCCAGAGTTTCTTCAAGCCCATATCTTGCTCCAAACCTGAATCATCTTAGTAAGAGGAAGGTTTTTTTGTTGCTTAGGTTGTAAAGTTCAAATTCTGTTCACTGTTACCTATGAATATATTTGAACCAGGAACTCAGAGTGAAGCACTGAGAGTTTTCAGGTTGGCTTCCATGTACCATCATTACAGCTGTTGCACATGAGAGCATTCATCACTTCCCTTGTATCTGTAATGGTATTGCAAGGTTTACTCTAAGGTAACTCAGAATTTGATGACAGCTAGGTTTTTGTTAGTTATGAGAAGTATTTTGCTTAGGGTTTTTTTTGGGGGGAGGGTGGTTAATGATCTGTTTATTTTTTTCTTTTAATATTAACACACTGTAGCCTGCTGTGTGTTGAATAAAATTTTGTATATCCCATATATCACATTTGTATTTCTCATTTTTGTTTCTTCTGCAGATGACATTACATTGAATTAAAACAGCAACAAAGGTCCAGCAAGGATGCTGTTAAGTTTTGCTTTGTTTGTATTCTATTCCTTCGCTCAAAGGTTTTCCAAATTTCACTTTCAAATAAACCTTGAATCAAAAGTAAACACTGTACTCCAGCAACAGACCAGCTTTTTGCAGAAAGACAATTTTTAAATAAGACCTTCTTTTTGGAAAACAAATCAAACCCACTGCTGAATAGAAACTAATATATACATGGTAATCATAAGGCTTTGCAGAAAATTTTACCCTGTAATTCTCTGGAGGAGAATAGAACCTCTCAGTCATGAACAGAAGACATTTACCTAGATCAAAGACTTTGTGTAAAATGTAAGTCACTTTTATTATGGATTCGTCCTTTCCAAAGAATCAATAGGCTCTGGCACTTGGTGAAATTATGTTAAATGACTCAAGTATTATATGCAAATAAAAAGGTAAACTATTATCAATCCTTTGTAATGTGATAAACTGGGTGTGCTTAGAAAAGTAGACTTAGTGAAGTAATCTGACTGCCTATGTCAGCTCTTGGGACCATGGTTCTTGCAGAAGTTAAGTCAACAGCCAGGCTGAATGGGGCAAAGACAATCACTGCTGGAATCACATGCGGTGTTTGTCATCAAATGACTGCTACAATGTGAGAAAGGACAGCCATCTGCCCTGAACTAGAAAGAAGCAGCTGAGTCAGAGTCCTAATATTGATTTTCACTCTCATGGACTTCTGAGGTTTTGTGGTTTTTTTAGGTGCTAAAAAGCAGATTTCTAAACAAGTCTTGCTGACGGCAGGCCAATGAGCCCTTTAATCACTGTGGTTACTGACACACCAGTTACAGCAAACAGCTTACATTCCTAACTCAGGATCCTTTTTGGACCTCAAGTGTGTACAGCACACATCCACAACCTGTAAACCAAGGAAGGGGGCAACAACAGCAGCAAGACCAAAACAAACAAAAAAACAAACCAAACCCCCAGAAACCAAAACTAAAGCAGTCATCAAGTGAAAGCCAGCTGGAGAATTTCTTACCTTTCGGACCTTTACGACCAATCTCACCAGGGGGACCTTTAAGGCCAGGCAGACCACGGGGGCCAAGCTGTCCTGGGAAACCGTTTTCACCAGCAGGTCCTGGAGCACCTGGTGGCCCTGGTCGGCCAGGAAGACCTGGAGCACCAAATTCTGGCCTCCTAAGGCTGGCTGCCAGCTGAGCTAATTGTTCTGCAATGAGCAGAAGGAGAGAATTATGGAGTAAGTGAACAAGAACGAAGAGATTCCCATGATCACTGAAGAAGACTCTATGTTCACTGCTACAGGAACTGACAGATTACAGTACAGCACCTTCCTTTTTTACTTTGCTATTTACAAAGTTTATTACACAAAAGGTATTATCTTATTATATAAGATATTTATCCTATTTATAGAGTTTTGTTTTTTTTTTTAAAAATACCCTGTTGAGCATTATCAAGAACAGTGAAAGAAAATTTTTAAAACATGAACAGCATATTCATTCTGTAAACCCTTAACATTACAGAGGCATAATAACCCCAAAGACATCTTCAATAGCAAGTAGTGAAAAAAAATTGTGTTTACAGGGTAGGATAAGTTTCTCAACTCAGTAAATTCCATGCACCCAATCGTATTAGAAAAGCTTGACATTTCTCTGTGTGTCAAGATCTCAGCAAATTAGAGTTAGAGTATCTCTGTATTGCTTTAATTTTAAGGTATGTTATCTTCAGAAACCTCTCTCTGCATTCCTCTTCTTTTCACCTATTTTGCACAGTTTTGTTTTTTTTCTGAAACCTGATAGTAAATACAAAAGGCTAAAAAGCTTTCAGTGAAGCTTGTACTTTTATGTATGTAAACACAGCAAGTGATTTGAATACAAAATGTATTTATTTCACACAGCTGCTCTGGTCTATGGCCTGCTTACCACAGCAGTAGTGTGGAATCAACAGGCAGTTAGTTCCATGAGGCTACAAAATATATATTAGTAAGGGACTTCCTCATACTATGCCCACATTTGTGTGTGGAAAGGTTTTCCAGCAGGTCTCCCACTGAGGCCATGCAATTTGTTCTGGGTAAGCATGGGGAAAATCCTGGTTGCCTCCACAGAAATAGGTGATCGCAATTTAAATGCACAAGAAACATCAAATACTTTTTAGCCGATTTACCTTGCATGACTCTCATGCAAACCTGCTTAATGTGCTGATCGCTTGGTTCTTTTCCCTAGGATTAAAAAAAAGGGTTTTAACAAAATAGTTGATGTCACACTTACATTTTATGAGTGTGCCTGATTCAAAAAAATGCTGTCAATAAAGAGTTGTCACACTTTAACCCCAGCTGCCACACCCATGGAACATGGGAAGAAAAAGAAGTTTAATAAATGGAAAGTAAGAAGTAGAGGAAGGGGTAGGAAAAAGGGGAAGAGGAAGAAGAAAATAAAATACAAAAAAACCAATGATAATGCAAGTGATACAAACGAAAGCAGTTGCTTACCACTCTCACAAGTTTCCCCTGGTTACATGGCTGAGTGTGGTGCCACATGGCATGGGATATCCCATTGGTCAGTTATAGTCAGCTCTCCCAGATGTGCCCCCTCCCAATTTTTTGTGCACCTCCAACCAACTCACTGAGTGCACAATGTAAGGAGAAGGAGAGGCTTTGATTCTATGCAATGTTCATGAGTAACTGAAACATCACAGAATGGCTTGGGTTGAAAGGGACCTTTGAAACCATCTAATTCCAACCCCCCTTCTCAGGGCCCCTTTTAACCTGGCCTTGAACTCTTCCAGGGATGGAGCATCCACAGCTTCTCTGGGTGACCTGCTAGTACCTCTCCATTCTTGCAGTGTAGAATTTCCTCCTAATATCTAATCTAAAACTATGCTCTTTCACTTTGAAACCATTACCCTTTTCCCTGCTCCCATCAGTGTGCTACAAATATTATTGTCAGCACAAATCCAAAATATAACCCCATACAAGCCACTAGGAAGAAATTTAACTGTATCCCAACAAAAACAATCCATTAGTCACTAAAAGGTGTTCCAGCTCCTGCAAGTGCAACTATTCCAGCTGATGTCAACTTAACTAGCAAGGTAAAGTGAGTGATGCTCCTTTGTATCAAACACAGTTTGGTTTCATGCACACTACAGGGGTGAGGTGGGCATAAGAAAACAGAGCTGAACTGAAAGCTGGGGCCCCAAGGGTGTAGCTGTGTACAGCCCAGGGTTGCTCTGGTGTAAACCTGTGTCTGATGAGGGGCACACTGTACTTCAGACTGCTGTGGCACTTCAGTTTGGCACGTGCACGTGCAAAACAAGGAGTGTCGTGAGTGAGAGGTAAAGGTTCAAAAGATACCAATTTCATGAAAACAGTACTTACAGCTGGACCTTCGCTGCCAGGCAGGCCGGGGGCACCCTGCTCACCCTGCAAGCCTCGTGGTCCAGGTGAGCCACGTGGCCCTTCCATGCCAGGCAGTCCCCGACTTCCCTCAGGCCCACGGGAACCGGAGTCTCCGGGATTACCAACCTGATAAAGAAAGAGAGGAATTTCAATAGACTGCTGTACTACTGATAGACTCATTCTGACATATCAAAATGGTGACAGGAGCTATTCACAAATGCAAAGAAATGATTGCTGAAATGCAGATGTTCAATAGAACTTCTTATAAGTAAGCCACTTGTGTCAGTAGCTGCGTGATTTTTAAGAGGTCTGCACTCTTACAGGGGAGAAGTAGAAAAATAATCTGTCAAAACAGGTAAATCAGATAGTAACATAGGTAAATCAAACATGCTCAAGATGGCTTTCTGCCCTTGTATATGTCAACGTGGAACATTTCTAGACATTAAGTGCTGCTTAAGGTATGAAAACTCCAGCTCCCTTCTTGTTCCAAATGTCTTTCATGTCCTTCTCTAGAGAGGATCATGGTGTGGGCCCCAGGCTATTTGGGAACACACATTTTTGCATTGTTTACTCTGCCAGAGCTAGTTCTAGTGCTTACACTGGAGTTTGCTGGCAGAGGGGAAGGAACATCCTCCCACCAACTGACATTGACAAACTGCCTGAACAGACGCAGTGCTGCCTTATTTCACTCAGGGAAGGGGTAGAAAGCTATTCCTGACCCTGGGGAATGAAAGGATTGATGTGACTATGTCAACATGTCCACTTCAGTACACTGAGTAAATAAAGCTATAGCTTCTGCTCCAGTAATTTTACTAAGAGTTATTAAATATCATGCAGAGGGTGACCTATTCCAGCAGGCACCTCTGAATTATTGTATTGGGCTTGAGCAGCAATGTCCTGGTAGCAGGGGGTCTACAGGTGTGGCTTCTCTAAGAAGCTGCCAAAAGCTTCCCCCATGTCCAGCAGAGCCAACACGAGCCAGCTCTGAATCAGACCTACTGGCCAATGCCAAGCCAATCAATGATGTTAATAAAGCCTCTGGGATAACATATTTAAGGAGGAAAAAATTATTCTCCAGAAATAATTGCAGCCAGAGAAGAGCATGGTGAGAATATGTGAAATGAACAGCTCTGAAGATACTGAGGTCAGTGCAGAAGGAGGGGGAGGAGGTACTTCCCCTTTTGTTTTACTGCCCATTATCCTGCTCTGACTCTGATTGGTAATAAATCAGTTTCTCCACGTGTGTTTTGGCCGTGACTGTAACAGGTGAGGGATCTCTCCCTGGCCCCATGAGCGTTTTGTTGTATTTTCTCTTCCTTGGCCAGTTTTGAGGAGGGGAGTGACAGTATGGTTTTGGTGCACACCTGATATCCAATCAAGGTCAAACCACCACAGCTGCTCCCAATGCAAGTTAATTTACATCTAATAACCAATAGTAGTAATAACAAAGAAAAATATGGCGCAAAAGAAGAAAAAAAAATCCACCTTAAAAAACCCAAAACAAGCAGGAAAAAAAAAATAATCCTACATACTCACGACTTCCAAATCTACTGGGAAAAAGAAAAAAAAAAAAAGGAGAGTAACACCCTCTGAAAGAGAGTCTAAAGAACAAATTACTCAGCTGTGGTATCAGTTAAATCCATAAGGTGGGACCATTTTGGTTCCAGCTGTGCTGCATCCCAGACAGCCAATTCTAGCCCTATCAGAACAAAACCCAAAGAACATTCTTTGATAGATACATTAAGGAGACAGAAAAATTGCTTTTATGGACTATGCAACCGAGAAGCCATCATTCCTTTCTTCCCCAGCCTGGTGAGTTATCAGGTTCCCAGACAGATTACTCATTCTTGTGAGGGCACTCACTGAGATACAAGCACTGTAGGCTCTCATCAAGTCAAGAGTATTTGAAAAATTTAGGTGGATAAAATTATGGATGTCTCTTCTAATCTATCTCTTCCTCATGTCCTTCTTGTAGGATCTACATCAAGTAAATACTCTTTAGCTTGCATTTGCTTAGCCCAAAAGTTACCTAGATCACTAATAACACAAGCACAGGATTTTTTGTTGTGCTCAGCCTCCGTTCCCCATAGGGAGAACTGTGGGTATTTTAGTATCACAGCTCATACTGTCAGATGCTGTAACAATCCAACTCTTCAGTGATCCTGAAATAAAATAATGAATTCAGCTCTCCAGTTACTTTTTTGTGATATACAAGATCCCACTCACCTTCCACATCAAAGTTATCATTTTGCAGTAAAATACAACAAAACAAATAAAAATAAGATAAAAACACAATAAAAATAAAATAAAGGAAGCTGGGCCATAAATACTTCTAGTGTCACAGACATCACAATCCTGCTGCCAGCTTTTTAACAGTGGCACGCAGCCACTGCACTGAGCCTCCTTTCTATCCAACACCTACTGTACAAAGGGTGCTTTCATTTCCTTGAAAAAAAAAAACTTTGTTGGCCAGAAAACTGCTGCTGAATGATGCTTCTCTTTTATGGAATTAGAATCCAGGAAACTAACTCCTTTTCAAAGCTAATTCATTTTAATATTAACTGTATTCAAAATTTAAACAGAAGAAAAGCTGCTAAAACACATTCCATTTAACTGCGATAAAGAGGTCAGCTTGTTATTTGCATTTTTCTTTCGTTTTCTTTTCTTTCCTTCCATCTATATGATCTACTAGATCTCTATATTTCTGTAACAATGCTATTCATTATACTTACAGCTCCCTTTGCTCCTGGTAATCCCATGTCACCCTAAAAAGAAGACAAACTATATTAGAAGAGAGTCTCCTTATCACAGGCATTACAAATGCAGTAAATGTGACACAATGTTTTTTGAATATAAAAAGAAATTTCATATATTTAGTTGATTTATGCAAAATTGTCCCACAAATAATTACAATTCCTTTGAGAATAAAACCTTTATTTTGAGTGGGTTTCGTACAATTCCTTTATCAAAAACTTTTCTGTAAGGTTCAGATGAGAAAGCATGTTTGTTATCATTGGTTTTGTGTTGCTTCTCTTGGAATTAGACATGACAGCTACACCACAGGACAATCTTAGATCGATTTCTTGGAAACCTTTAAAAGAAGCATTTTTTTAACTAGGATTTTCTAGTTTCTACAAAGTGACAGAACTATGGATATTGGTGCTGTGTTGGTGCTGAAAAAACTGCAACAGAAACTACCTAAAGTTCTGTGAAAAAGCCAAACCCCTACTAGTTCCAACTTCCAGCAATCTTTGTCCTGGCTTCAACAATACCAAAATCCCTCAATCACCTGACTGAGAACAGCAATCCTACTATTCAGTAATTTTTAGGAGTTCCTCTCAACTTTAAAAAAAAAAAACAAAACAACTTTCAAAATCTTTTAATTACCTGTGAAATAGATTAGCATGACAACACTAAAGGAACTTTGAGTAATTTCTGTAAACTGTACTTTCCCAGTTCCTAAATGCCATTGGTGAAATAACTGGTTTCCAGCCAAAGGCCTGTCTGTTAATGAATATGCCATAATTGAAATAGAAATAATTGTTATCCATTTAAAACCAGACTAGCAGGCAGCACACTTAAACAACCCATAATATTGCTTCCTGGGAATGTGTAGAGTGATCATAATGCTCAGTCACTGGACATCTAGCTCACTAAGTCTTTCAAAATTGCAGCCTGTGGGAAAAATACACTCATTTCCAGACTACAACCTGGCTACCATTCTTTGAATAAGGAGCAGTTTACTTCCTTTAGAAAGATCAGTTCTGGCTTTGCTGGATGAGGCCCCATGGGAGCCACTGGACCAGAAGGTTTCTCTTTTGGCAGAGAAACAAATCCTTTTTACCCAAGGGCACTTGACCCAGGCATTACCCATGTCAATTCACAACATGCCATACTCCTGCAGCAGATTAGATAGATAGATAGATAGATAGATAGATAGATAGATAGATAGATAATCACAGTGCCACAGCCTCTTCCCAGTCCATTTTTCCTCTCTGTAACAGTTGTAAATCATATTTCCAAAGAGAAAGTCAATACAAAATGTTTCCTTTAAGTGTGAGTCATTAAGGATATTTATTAACTCTCTTCCTCTTTCACCTGAATTAAACTACTTGCTCATCCTCACTGCCTCAAACACCACGAATTTATGTACTTGTGTATGCATGTACATATATATTTTTATATATAAATACTCTTTTATATATATATAGATATATATATAACACAGGCACGTCTTTTTTTCTTCAAGGCAGTCTGTACCGTATGGTACAACTAAGCGAACCTGTATATTTCAGTGCTTTCCAAACAGCAGGAATAGAGAAATAAGGCAAACAAACAGAACTGCTGTGCTCTGCAAAGGTCAGTTGGTATAAAACCGAAATGTGCCTTTCAGTGATGAAAACATAATGCTTGAAGCACTCCAACAATACTTTATATTTTTAATTTAAAACAGCAACATAGTATTATATGAGGTAAAGGGAAAAAAGCGCCTTACTAAGTCACCCTTTTCTCCTCCATCTCCTTCTGCTCCAGGTGCACCCTACATCAAAGAAAGACATACTGTCAGCCTACAGATTTAGTCAACATTATGTAACATTTGGTACTGTGATTTTCAAATCCCATGATCTCTAACATTACTTACTTGTTCACCCTTAGGCCCTGGTTCACCCACCGAACCCTAAAAAGTTAAGAATAAAAAGATTAAAAATAAAAAGAGAAGAAATCTTCAGAATTTCAAAGTTCAGATTCTAAATGCACGCTAAATGTTATTTGATCCTAAATTTCACATTCATGCAAGAGACTTTCAAAGCTGCAAATTTTTAATAATTACAATGAAACCACTTAAATCTTACTACGTAAGTTATGTGACAGAGTGAAGGCAATACGAGTATGGAACATATAATCCTCTACCACACTGTACAGTAGATATTCTGACTGTCCAATGGTACATCTCCCCTTTACATGATAAATGCTCTTGCAGCTGCTACAAGTCTCCTCTGAGAATTGCTTAGAAGCTACAAGTAAATAAATGCAGTAAGTGTATCACTTTTTCTAGCACCATTATATATTCCATATTGCTGTAGGCTATTCTAGCCCTGTTAGTGTGGGAAAAGCAGAGAGACATCCACAAGAACAGTCACAATCTTGTCCTGCATGCTGTTTAATTCTCGATGACTTTTAGCAAACCTGTGTCTAGAATTATGATTACTGTAGTCAAAGCTGAAGGGTTTGTATCTTAAAGTTATCCTTTCTAAAAATAAATTAGATTATGTTTCATATTAGAATCCTCTAACAAAACATACCCATTTGGACAGGCAAGAAAAAAAGAGAAATAAATTAATGACCCGACTAATTTCAAACATATGTAATTTTTATCTAGAGCAAAACTGCTATGTTTTTAGAACAGTATATTATTTATTTGTATTCTGTTAGAAAATCAGTTACACTATCCTTTTAATATTCTTTCCAGTCTGTGCATGCTCAAGGATATGCATTCCAAATGAACTATAACTGTGCATGATAATCCTGTTTTTTGGCAAACAGACAGAGATGCAGCAGTTTCTCTTCCATTTCAGAGATCCAGTTAATTCACATAAGATATAGGCACACAGACTGGTGTAGCTTTTACAGCTTTTACAGAATTTAATGAATTCTGACATGTCTCATGTTCTTGAAGATGAAGAGCTAATATTAAATTATCCACAAAGCTAAGCAGTATAAATGACAGAACTATTTAACATTCTGACTTTGTCAAACAATATTGAAACTATTTTGTCTGAGTTGTTATCAGCATTGTGCCTTGTTAAGGTTTCCCAATTACACAAAAAAGACATTGGTTTCCAACCTAACATTATTTTGGGGGTTCTTTTTCTCCCCTTACTCTTCTTTATAGCAATAAAACTGCCAAAAGACAAAGCTGACATAGAAGAATCTATTGCTTTTTTAAGCCTGTCCTGCAATGTTTGTATAAGCAAATATAAAAATCACAACTGAAACTACTGGAATCAATTCTACATTGACTCCAAAAATTGTAATGGGGGAAGTAAGGCAAGATGGCAAACTATGAAAATTGTCACTTTTACTGACATACTGCCTATCTATTTTGCAAAAATCCCTCTCAAATAATACTAAAGAACTCTGGAAAACTGCCTGACAGCATGATCCAAAACTGTACCAGGGGCTTCTTTAACTACTTAGCAGCACAAAGGATCATGCTGCAATGCCAAGGTCTGGCACTTAGCTTGATGCTATTTAACTGACTAAAACAGAACCCAAGTGTATGAAACCAATCCAAAACACATGAATCAGAAGCAGCCTAAGTGGTGAATGCTGGGGTTGGGCCATTATCGGTGCTGCATGGGCAGAACCACCCTGTAAGATTCACTGAAGCCTAAGCCATTGCTCTTGCTCTGCTCTGTACTGCTCTCTGCTAGCCTACGTCAGCTGTGTGCCTGATGCACTCAGCTCCATGCCCAAGCTAGTGGCAGTCTGGTTCAGGCTCCAAAGGAGGCAAAGACCTAGGCTGTGACCTCCTTTTCCAAGCTGTGACCTCCTTTTCCAAGCTGTGACCCCACAGGGTGACATGGTGGGGATTGGTCCATGTGGGCTTGGAAACAGGAACACCGAGCCTGCCGTTAGCACATGATATTACACTTGTAACATTCAATCATTGCTATATCCATTGAATTTTGTCTGCTCTCACTTTTACATATTACTTCAGTAAAAATAATTCTGGTGGTATCTTTGGTAGTGATTTATTCTTGAAGTTGTCAACACCTGCACAAGAAAAGATGCCAACAGACAGTACACAATATTTAACAGCTTCGGGATCAAGAATGCCTACTGATATATCAAATGCATGAATTCTACTGGCTTCTAGCTGCTATTTACATCAACTCTTACCATGCAGATACAGCTACACAACAGAACTTTATAGGATTCCTGTGTACAAAACCATGAAGTTTTGAAATCAGAAAGTGAAAAAAGGTTACTTCAGCCTAGAACTTACTCCTAGAAGGGGCTGACCCAAAGAAAGGCTACAGAGATGCCTGACAAGGTTGTTGGTTATTTCCCACCTGACAAGGTTGTTTGTGTAAGACTGATGCAGTTGCAAAAGCTGAAGGGAAGAGGAAGGATACAGTTGCACAGTGCTCTCCAGGCTTGTGACTTGGAGGAGATACTGCAAGTCAGTGCTGCTGGCAAGGCTGCAGCTATGCTAAACATGTCCCAGAAAATTCACTACAACCTCCATGCAACTGGAAAATTGAGTATGAGTCAAGGATATAAGTGGAGAGCTAAAAAGCAATCATAGGATGAAATAATTCCTAGCATAGCACTTTGGACTTTAAGATATTTGCACAAAGCATTAAATTAACCTCAGGTTTTCAAAAAAGGACCAGGCATAAGTTACTGTCATCTGCCAGTTAGATACTCAGAAACTTCCTGCCTGTAGCCTGGATCTCTCTAGATCTGTTTACAGCATCGACATTCTACTTTTTATCCCAGAGATCCAGATGCTTTATATGGCAAATGAGGAAAATCAAGCACCCTTGGAGGGAGATTAACACTGTAACAAACGTTAGGTATTTTCCTTCTACCTTTGCTTCCTTCAATCTCCTTCTGGAGAAGTCTAAAATATGAATCATTACCAATCTAATAAAAAGAGACTGCTTTATGTCAATACTTAAATTTGACTAGAAACATGTCCTGATCTCAGCATTAAAAGAAAACCAAACAAACATGAAAAAAATACCTCAGCAACATCAAAGACTTAGAAGATTGCTTTTAAGTACCTGAATAGCTTTTTTTTTTTTTTTTAAAGCTGCCAAAGATAACAGCAAACTCTATCCAGAAACCCTATGATGTACACTGGGAACATACCAAGGGCAGGACCCCTCTGTTCAGCTAAGACATTCTACAGCAGTTAAACCCACGTCTGACTAACAGTCCAACAGTTTCCTGGTTGTCAGAAGGATGTAAGAGGCACTTCACAAATGTAATTCATTTCATACTGATGTAGACCTGCCTCAAGTAAGGAAGACACAGTAGAGAACTTAATACTTTATATCAAAGATGTCAGAAGTTAGACAAGTGAATTCCATCCTTTGCAGTCTCCTATAGCCAAGAGAAGATAAGAAACATCTCTGGCTTGATGTACTGTCTTCACTAACATATATTGAGCAAAGCAAGATATATTCTGCAGTTATTGGGCCCTGGGGCCAATCCTTCCGTCTCAACAAAATACTTGAAGAGTACTTATATCCTGTAATTCTGCATGCATTCATAGGTGTTGTGTGTGTGTCTCAATCGTTGCATTAGCATGTGCATTTCCATAGGAGGCCCTAAGACATATAACAGGCATCACTACTACTGTTGGTGAGAGTTGAAGTTGCAAAGCTCTATAGTGACCACAGATCCTGACTGACCATTTCATATCTGGCTATGTCAGTGATTTGCAGTACGATTTAGGTCTTTAAATTATTCAAATTTTAAAAACTGAAATAATTTATATACCAGTAATCTTATTTCAGTCCCCTAAGTGGCACTGTCAAGACTTTTCCTTTACACGTCTATGAGATACAAGTAGTTAATGGGCACAAAGAGCACCCCTTTCAAGCAGTTAAACATCTACACACAAAACAAGAAAACATATATTAATTCATGGAAAAACTGAAAACAGTGCTCAACTTGTTGTGTTTACTCCTGACACCAAACTGCATGTACAAGTGCATTTCTTACCCGGTCACCTTTACCACCAGGAAGGCCTGGAGGACCAGGCAGTCCAGGAAGTCCAATACTACCCTGGGGACCCTGTGAAAATAAGTCAAGGATGTAAACTTAGCCAATCTTGTTTAGAATTTAGAACAACTAGGGGTCATACCCTGAAGCAGATAGGGCAAAACCTTATTCCCAGAACAGACTTAGCTTGATGAAAGAGGATTATCTGATGCAAATTGAGCTGATCCGAAGTACGGCACTTTAAACAGAATGTTATTATGAATTTACTGCTGACAATCACAACAGAAATGACTTACAGGGTTTTCTACCCTCCAGTCCCTCAACGACAGACTGGTTCTCTTAAAAATCCTTCCCAAGATCTTGCACTCTGCGATTTGCACATTCCTCTGTAACAGTAGGCTCTTTCAGCCAAGACCTCCCCAGCTATGCCTCTGACTGATTCTGTGTAAATACTGCTGGAGCTCTGGTAAAAGGTGGCATTCATAATGTGCTCCATTCATTAGTTTCACGTAGCTGTTAGCAGAAAGCCTGTCTCTCACTGCTCCTGTTCCCAGGAGCCCACACAGGAGTGTGCCGCTCAGCTTTGCATGTCATAGGATTTATGGGTTTATCAAGTAGAAGAAAAAATCACACACATCTCCATGTAATTTAAGACAGCATTTTCTAACATTAGCACAGTCACAGAGGACTGAAAAAGAAACTGAACCACCACTCATTTCAATGTTATTTTCAGTTCCCTGCATGGATAAATGGGTAAGTGTAGTTCAGATGATACTATAGGTCCTTGAAAGTAAACATGAGTACTGAATATGGAAATAAACTGCTTACCAACTTCCCTGGTAAACCTGGAGGACCTGCAGGACCTGTCTCCCCTCTGCTACCCTGGAAGCAAAAATAGAGGGACAACATTATTTCCTGGAATTCTTCTTGTGATCTGGGAATAAAGTATGATTTTTTTTCTTAATATTAAGTGACTTACACTACTTAGCTGTTGAGTTTAATTGAAACTTCTTTTTCATAGTTCAAAAATACCATAGGCATTAAAACCAGTGAAACTTTCAGAGTAAACATTTTTAGTTAACCATGGCATATAACCTTTATTTGGCATTAAATAATTCAAGTAAATAATTTTGCTGAGTGATTAAGCAAAATGAAGTTTCCTTCATGGGATCACACCAGAGTTACCTGTCACAAACACAATCACTTCATTATGACAACTCTGGCAGGCACACTTAACTTTAGGTTTCTGCTTAGTTTCATCACCTGAGCTCCTTCCTATATGCTACATATTTAAAGCATCTGATCCCTAATGCACAAATGTGAAAAGTGATGAAGTAATGCTTAACAAACTCATTCAGGTTTAAAAAAAGTCTAGAGTGTTATAGGGAGAGGTAACTTTTAAAAGTCACTATTTATTACAGTGATAACCATAAATATGTGCTTTACTGCATCTATTACATCTTCACTTCCATTCAGATCATCATATTTTTATCCATTCAGATCATCATATTCACATTAGTGTTACAACTCCATTTCTTATTGCAGTCACTTGAATACACACTCTGGGTAAATCTGACCTTAAGCCAAATTTGCAAATATTTTAAACAATTTTCAAACTAAAGTATCTTTCTCAAAAGATTTTGTCTCTTATGATTAAATTTTTCAGAACAGCTCAATTTTACAGCTTTACTCTCACATGTACAGACATATCCCTGGACAGATAAATTCAAACAGTCTCCCAACACAAGCTTTGGTCTCATGAAACTCTTCTTAAATTCGCAGTGTGACTATGTAAGCACGATTTGCAATAAAAGAAAGATACAACATTTAAGATCATAAAATGTCAAGAATTTAAGTTATTAGTTATGCAAGTTGACAAACTATTATACAATGACACAGACAATTTTAGATTAAAGCAGATCTTCGCATCATAGTGCTGCATGCAGTGGATAATTTTAAATACGGGAGGGTTTTCATAACAACGACAATATTGTCAAATGTTGTGGTATGCTAAATAAAAGGAGATGGCAGACATGGCTTTTTACCCTAGGTCATAAATGCAATGACAACTTCTCACACAAGCTTAGGAAAGCTAATTCTACAATTCGAAAAAATAATTAGGTACCCTGGAGAGACCACAGAACCAAACATAAAGACTTTTCAATTAATTGCCTTCAAAATATCCAATGGCGTTAAAATGCCTATTACTTTAAAGCACTTTGCATAATTTCTAGAAGCTTTTTTATGTAAAAAAAAAAAAGAGAGAGAGAGAAAGGAAAAGCGTTTCCTAACTCACCTTCATCTTACAACCCAGAACATGCATTACAATTTTATTTAATCACAAAATTCTGAACTACATCTCTGACCTGGAATGCTGCTACATTTCTGATGCAGGAAAGATGAAGACTAAAATTATGATCAACATTAGAATCTTGTTTCTCATATCATTTTCATGAAACCCATATCAGTCATTCATGACCCATAACAGTCATTACTACACAGAGATGAATCAAAAGCAGTATAATCTTCAGAGAGTTAAAATATTATAACAGACCTCTTAAGTACATCAAAAGTTCTGCTGATCACACAAAATTCAAGGAAAAACTTTCATTTTATTTCAAATGCGGAAAAAATCTTTTGTCAAATGCACAGCACCGGCAGTTTGTCAAACACAATTCTTTTCTAAGGGGGCAAAGAAGGAGGTTAGTTTACAGAAGACCAGAATACAAATGCGTAGTATCTCCTTGTAATCATTGATATTTTGTCTGTAAGGACAGATTATTTCAAACTATGGGCCACCACTGCAAGATCTGCAGCTGTGTTTTAGCAAGTAAGAGAGTAACTGGAACCCCAAGAATGAGAAATCCCATCCCTGGTATAACTAGAAAGACTGCAATTCTTCCTCCAAGTTATACCAGACTAGGTTATACAGTAAGATGCTTACTCATAGTTTTGAAGAAAAAGAAAGGGCATCTTGAAATGTCCTCGTGTAAACATTTAAAATGCAACATAAGTCATGTCCTAGAAGCACCTTCATTTTCCCCACAGCCTGTAGGAGGGTTTCTGTATCAGCTGGTTCAGGTGTTGACATCTGTTCTTGGCCAGATGAAATGTTCCTCTGTGCTGTAAGTCACTACAGGCAGGAATTAGAGCAGAAGGCAGTTTGGCCACGTCCTCAGCCTACCCTTCCCATACAGCAGCCCTCTGTATAAGAGTGCATAGCTTCAGGCCACCCACAAACCAACAGGCATGCTGCACTGGATTTAGCAAAAAGACTACCAGAATCTGTATGGTTTTATGCACTTTTGACACACTTCAGAATCTATGCTTTTCCTAAATATGCTTAAAGAGGGAAAGAAGCCACTCAAGTTTGGAGTGAGCTGAGACAGACCAGCTTGCATCCATGCTGGTGAACATTCCATGCCTCTAGGAAACGGCATGTGCAAAATGGTAAGTGTGAAATGGTGGCACAGCACTGCAATCTGAACACCACCAGATGTAGCCTTTCCACAGCTCCTGTGCTAGACTGTGGTTACCATAAAAATTACCCTCCATTTGTTTCTAGGCACAATGGCTGAACCACTCAATAAATGTAAAGATTTAATGTCTTTCTCACAGATCTGTTATATTAAGCCTTTTAATGTAACATACATAAGAAGACCTTACAGTATTTACAGCTGACCTTCCCTTAAGCTCTCTGGGATGGTTTTCATCCTCACTGAAATTTTGAAGACTTGATCCTTTTGTAGAATTCTCACAAGCAAACAGTTACAGAATGCAATCTCATGCTAAGAGAGTTTCACTGGCTTATTGGTTTCCTGTTCATCAATTGAGTGGAACAATAACAAGAATGAGAATACATTCCAGGTAAGCGGTTGCCCAGATAACTGAAACAATAATTACAATCACTTGAGATGGAATCCACAGCATATACTGTAATAACCCTTTATTTAAAGTTTTTACTTTAAAAATTTGTCACTAATTATAAGTAATTTGCTATATATTATTAAATATATGCCACAGGACTGCCAAATAGAATTAATTCTGTGCAGAATAAAGAATTAAAAAAGTATATTTTGGATTTTTCAAACTTCATATTCAAATTTTTTTGCAAAATGTAACCCATTTATCAACTAAACACTTATGAGACTTAAACTTACCAAATTTTTGTCATTCAAGATCTCAGGGGAAATACTCATTTAAGTGCAAGGATTTATCCACAGAAGCATCACCAGGACTCTTTAACCCTCAAAACAGTATTAAAAAGCATCCAAGTATGTAAACTAATATTTGATAGAAGAGTAAATATACAAGTTACTTTCTCTGAGACTTTAAATGTAACTTTGCAACTTTGCCAGAGTAATAATTAGATTGTGCTGCTCAGGATAATGGTAAGAGGTAGATGTAGCATGAAATGTCCCCTTCTCTTAACAATGCTTTGGGCAGAAGCAGCAACCCACTAGCTGTCATTCCCTTCATAAGTGATACTGTGGCCAAGTCTAGAGGGCAGAGACCTTTCATTCTGACTGTGACTACAGTGTTAGCTGAAGTCCAGGACAGCTTTGGTACACTAACTCCATAACAAATCCATTTTTTTACCCAGGTTACTGTCTATACTGCTTAGGAGAAGGCAACACTGTGATATCTGCTGACATCCAGAGGTCTACCATGCCCAAAATTCAAAGAAAGTTGAGGAGGTGGAGGGGTAAACAAAGAGGTACAAGACAAGAACATGGCCATGTTTAAGAAGACAGGGTGGGTACCAGGAGAAGGGAAGAGGCTTGGAGCTTATAAAGTTTGACTGGGATATGTAGTGTACAAGAATGACAGAAAAAGTGCTACCCTGTACAGACCATGCTGTGGAATTGGGCAGGGTCAAAAAATTTTGTCACATTCATCTAGAGGCTTAGGTTTGCTGGATAAAAAGTACCAGCCAAGATGGAAATGTGCCCTGCCCTTTTGACTCTGCTATAAACACTCTAATGCTAAGTAACCCCTTTAGCTCTACCTTAAATGTAAACTATGACACCACTTGTGGAACATCTCTGAAATTATGTATAAAAAACATGTCCACTAATTCCTAAACATAGCATATAAACTGAGACAAGGACATTTCATCCTACCATTAAGAGCTACAGAAAGTGACATATTATTTCAGTTGCAGTCACATAAAAGGAATATGATAGAAAATCTACATTTTAATTACTATAACTAAACTACATTTCAGCATAGGCAGGACAGAAATATCTCCAAATACCAGAAAATTATTTAGCTGAAAGTAACTTAAGATGCTGAAAACAGCATTCTCCTCTAACTTTAAGTTGTGTGACATTTGAGTAATAAATCCAAGGTACTCTCCAGGTTTTCTCTTTATAGTGAGGCACTTCCAAAGAGGAAGTCAGTCCAGCTGACCAGGGCCCCTCAGAAGTCTCTCAGAGGGGCTATGGTATCAAATCTTGGGCAGCTGGATATTTAGTCTGTGTTGTTAATGTTGGGAAAACATGTATTATTTCCTAATTACAAAGCAACATGTATGAATGCTGGCCTGCATATACATCAAGTTTGCTCAATTTGCTAGACACATGTTGAACTTTAAGCTATTACTTCAATATTACAAGCTCATTGCAAAACCACAGGGTGCAATACAAGCTCTCAAAATGTTAGCAATTTATAGGTTAAATAATTGAAGAAAAGCAAGGGATGAAAAAGCAGAGGCAGGGGTCAGTATTTTCTGCAGAAACTAAATTAGATTACTAAATCTCAGCAAATATGAAAGAAAATGGTTAAGCAGCTTAGAGAGCATGACTAAATTCCACTGATTAGGAATGACACTCCCACGTTGAGAATTCCATCCCTTGGCCCACCTGCCACGATGACTGACTTAGAAAGGTTTAAATCACAAACGAGTTTGGTAATTACTTGGATTGGTTAGAACAATGTGAAGTAAACATAAGGTTAACCAAGAGTGGGGTGGAGAATATGTTTCATTTAGAAAGAAAATGCAAAATTTTCACGTTGCTCCAGTTGTTTTTCCAGTTTACTGAACATATGAATAGCAAAAGGATGGTTTTTTTTCCCTACCCACTCAGTTGCAAGTTGAAGTTTTTTTAAGGAAAAGCAATAATAGACTAAAATAATACTTTTTAAAAGCAAATTTCTCCTAGGGATCTATGTCAGAGGTGACAAAAAAGTCTCCTAACACATGAGTATTCCACGAGTTTTTAACCAGAGCTAGTAATCTTGTTTCCAAATATTTAGTATCTGCCCTGTGAAAGTTTACAGATTCACAGAGGGCCAAACTTTGAAAAGCTTCTGTTTAGTAACAATATCTTCCAACTACATTCCAACAGCTGTTTAATAATAAAATACACTGAAATAACATGGTTTATGACAGAGGACTCTACAAGTTATTTGGCAAACAGTACAAAAGTATTATTTGTCCCACAGAGCCACTGATGATAGTGCTCTCTTGTGTAACCTTTCAAAAAACTACACACTAGTTGAGGCGAAAATTTTCTCTCAAAAAATGTCTTTTGCGAGTAGAAAAAGCTGAAAAGCCCCATGATTTTTAAATATAACACAAATGCAGGCATGTAGGTTTTCCCTAATGCAAATACCAGCCTGCTGGCCATATCAGCAGAGTCAGCCTTGTTATCCCACCACAGACCTTCCCCAGATGTCCTTTCCTCTGGAGTTCCAGCCCTGCTGGAGCTACCAGCCATGTTGTCTCACACAGTTGCAATGGAAAGAACAGGGGTAAGTGAAATAGGGGAGTGAAGAGGATTCCATGTGCCTGTTGCAGTGCAACCAATATATTAGGGGACTGCAATTCCCCATATCCTGCGAAATATCAAGGTTTTTTCTTTCTCCAAGAAGTAAGTCCAATCCCTCACAACTTCTACCTGAGTCTTCTATATCAAGAAGAAAATGAAGCTAAGGGAGAGAGGAAAAAGGAAAGAACTGCAGATACTTATAAAGTGGGTAATTCAAAATAAGAATAAATAGGCCAAAAAAAAAATCTGAATAGTAACCATAAATTCCTCAGGCTTTGAAAGCATTTGATTGTGCATCTTTGGTCTAAAACAAGCAAGCATTAAAGCTGTGAAAAAATTTCAAATTAGGAAAGCAACAAAAAAATTATATACGAAAAATTCTCTTTATAACAATTATAATTTAATTATAATTGCTTTTCTCAACTTATTGCCAAATTGTCTAGTTTTAGAAGTTTGAAAATCATGCCACATAGAATTATTTAACTACCAGATTTTTTTTCCCCCTAGAAATAAAAGGGCAGATTCCTAAAAGCTGAAGTTCAAATGTATCTGCTGCATGTACATGCTGCAGAAGAAAGAGAAAACATTCTTTATTCTGCCCTGGAAATAAATATTGACCGAGCTTAGAACAAAGCTCTCTGAAGTTCAATAGTTCAACACTGCATTCTTCCTAAATAAAAAACCCTCATCATTCTCCTTTTTTGTGTAGATGTAAAGTGTTCCTCAAAAAAAAAAAAAAAAAAAACCCAGAAAGTTATTCCAGTCATATGCTGCCTGAAGTCTAATGCTGCCTCTCTGATGAGAGCCAACACAGTCATTATCCAAGGCTCTTTATAGCTTTAAGGAAATACAGATGAGAAGTAGCTTACTGCTTGATGGACTACATACAAGCTTACTTCATAACCAATAATTTACTTCTTTTCTCCATGTTGTATTGACCAAAACTCTTCTTTCTATGCTTTGGTTCTAATATTTACATGTTTTCCAAAATGAGTGCACTTTGTAAACACAGAGAAAATAAAGGCAAGGAATCCAGATGTCTTGCTGGTCTCTAGAATGATAAAAAGAAAAATCACTGTATTTAATCTGCTTCAAGTATTTCTGTTCATCTACAGGGTTACTAATAATTAACCTCGTGTGTCAACCCCTGTTCTACAGACTGCTGATTTTGTAAATTCATGTTCACATTGAAAGGATTAAAAGAATAGTTCAGCAGATTACAGTAAATTATCAGAGTGGGCAATTACTTTGGTCTGATTCAATTATAACTCTTGTTCCTGTCACAAGTGTACATTATCAGCCTAAGAACAGGGCTGAAAAACTTCTCAAGTGTACCCAACACTTTTAAATACAAAGAACAAAAATACAGACAAAAACAAAAACTTGTTTGCTGAAGATACCTGTATTCCATCCTAGTAAATGTTCTTATCATCCCCTGTCTGTATTATCCTTAGGCAGCTGTGGACACAGCAGCAATGCAAAGACTGTCCAAAATAAATGTGACCTCATGAATACATCTAGCACCTGATAGCATAAATCACAGGGGGAAAAAAAAAAAAAGAAGAAAATGGGATCTGTTACTTGGGTGACTGCTGGTGTATGTTTAGGAGCTAATTCTGATGAGCTATTCCTGATCCTTACAAATATATCACAGACAGTACCTCACTAAACCTTGTATGAGAATAACTCTACAATTGCATGAGCAAAACTTGTGTCATTGTTACAGCAGAAGCTCAGAAAATTCCAGGAAGCCATCCCCAGGGTATCAGTGGCAAGAGGGAAGCCTGGAAAAGGAATTGCTTACAGTGCCTGAAGCCTGGTTAATGTCATCAGAGTGAATATTTGAAAATATTTGAAGAAAATTTTCTTCAAGTCACTGATCCTCTCATCCCTCTCCATCCAGAAGGATTAACAGCAAAGGGAAATTAGATCAGCCTTATGCAGCTTCAAACCATGCCAGGTCCCCTCTAGAGAGAATCAGAAAGCAGCGATCTGCTCCCTCCAGAATCCACTTGCTCTTTGTCCTCAAAACTGAGCCTTAACAAATACCATCAGTTCACTTTTCTTAGCAGATTTATTTCCTGCAGAAAGCTACCTGCCCAGCAGCAATTTCTCCAGTCTTCCAAATCTTTCCAGTGTTAAGGAAAATCTCCAGGGAAAGAAATTACAACAGCAGCGTTTCCAATGAAAGATAAATGCTATTCTTCACACCACTATATCGATGCTAATAATGCCAACCAGACTGTTGCAGCAGAAGAACAGGAGGTTTCTTCCAGCTTTTCGTCACAAAACACACTTATTTCCTCTGTTTTGGCTTTTACTGAGCATATTTAAATACAAAAACAAGAATATAAACAAAGGTTAAAAATTTAACTTGTCACCAAAACCAAACACAATCATAGGACATTACTGGACACATACAGGACTGTATTTCTCTATGTGATGATGCACATCCCCTTGGTACAGAAGGTGAAGAACTGGCATTTACCTCAAAAGTTAGAACTTATGATAAATACTAATTTTATCTTGTGGCTATAGCTTCAGCAGCCCTGCAATTTTACCTATGCTCAATTAGGAATTGATTCCATACTTACTGGTGGTCCCCGGGGTCCTGTTGGACCTGCTTCTCCCTCTGGGCCCTGCTGACCCTGTTTTGGGCAAGAAATTTGAAATGAAATAAATTTGAAAAGTGATTTCTTTTTACACATTTTTCTAGACCTTTAGTATAAGATTAATGGTTTTACCTGTTTACCAGGATTTCCCATTAACCCTGGCACCCCAGGAGGACCTTTATTACCCTGTTGGGCAAAAGATGAAAAATATTAGCTGAGCCAATGGTTTGCTCTTCCATTTTAAAATAAAAAAATAAAATAAGTAAAGCTATAAGGTCTAAACAAAATCAGCCTTTGTTAATTTTTCAACTTCTGCCTTATTTTTGGTGTTCTTTTAACTTTTACCAAACCTTTCTATCTAATTTTTCAAAAGTCAGATTTCAGTTCCTTTGCTGTTTATGTGCTGACAAATCCCAAACAGATTTGATTGCTGCTTTCCAATCACAGAAGGCAATATCACTCCATGTAATTTCAGACAAAAATCATGTCTCAGTCTAGTTTTCTTTTTCAATTACTTACAGCTAAAGTCAAACACCACTGTCAGAAACATTCCATGGTCTCAATCTTACCATTTTTTTAACTAAATTGAAATTGATGCTGCAATTTGGTGCTACCTAAATAGAGATCACAACCCCTGTGATTGAATCAGCCTAGGGTAGCTATAAATATTATTCTTATTACAAGACTGTTCATTTCAAAATGTAGTGAGGTAGGAACTCTAACAAAGATTTCCACAAATTTGAAAAGAAATGGCCTTTTTAAGGTATTATTTAATGCCTAGAATAATGAAAACCACATAATGCAGCACAAGTATCATGAAAAGATACAGGCCAAAGTTGAATAAAAACTGTATTTAATTCTTTCAGCCTACGGTTTGTCTCTTAACATGAGAAGGTTAGTACAATTTCACTGAATACTTTTGAATTTTAGATACTTTAGCACTTTATTTCTGCTTTAAATAAGAAAGACAATACTCAAGACGTTTTACCTTTGGGCCAGGAATGCCTTTCATACCTGGAGAGCCTGGGAAACCCTGAAAGAAAAAAGATTTACATTTATTTATTTTTAAGGTGACTGGAAATGGTGTTAAAATAAAATTCTCTCTCATGCTTGAGTATTTCTAATCCTTTTATTTGATATTAAAGCACTTTTATTCAATAAGGGACCAAGCTTGAATTCTTTCTGTGTACAAAGTAACAGATAAGGAGTACTATTTTTACTTCATAAATTGCAAAAGGAGCATGGATAGGTGAGGAGTTGTGACTTTTTCTGTCTTAGACTAGAAATACATGCTTATCCCAGTATGCTGAGACTGGAGGTGCAGAGTTTTACAGATACCTTTGGACTTTTTTCATTCCCTCCTCTCTTCTCTGCAACAGCTCATAGCAAGCATACTTTTACTAAATTGTTTTCCAGGCTTAGGATTTCATTTGTATTACAAATTTATGTCTAGTTCTGTTTTAAAACATCTCCATCACTGTTCCTCACAGCAATTACTCCTATAGCAAAGTGTTTTAAAGAGGATTATATTTAGATTTGGTACAGTTTAGATTGGTACAGTTTCCAGACTTAGTTAATGCACGAAGATTACCTTCTGAGAGAGCCCATAAAGCACCAGTGATTCCCTGTAAGTTCCCCACAGGGAATACACTGGAGACCTCCAAGACACCCACAGAAAGAAGCATGAGCATGATGCATTCCAGATGTTCTGAGCCAGCAGAATATCAAAGGATGATTGTTCATGGAAACTGCTATGTCAGACTAGCAGCTCAGCTTTTCCTGCTCAGTTTGGGAATAGCTGGGCCCTAGTCAAGACAATGAGACCAGCCCTAATTATGGAGTCACACCAGAGGATCCACAGGGTCTCAGGTAGGAGAAACATAAGAGTCACATCCTGGCCACGAATGTTTTGTGAGGCCAAGTTCCCCACAACGGCACCTTGAGAAGGTCTAGACTGCTGTGCAAAGGTTTTGCATACACATAGCAGAATTTCGCCTTGCATTACACACACCCTCCCCTGAGCCTTTTGCTTAGATTTTCACTAGAATTACTCCAACATCAGAGTCAAATCACCAATACACAGCCTTTCTATGATTTGAACTGAGCCTACCTTTCAAAGGTAAAATACTTGATACTTACTGGCAATCCCTGGAGCCCTGTATCACCTGGAGCTCCAGGTTTTCCTGGTTCACCCTGTAAAACATTTTAAGTTCTAATTTATGCAAAGCAAACATGATGGAAAATTTTATTTCTGGAACACAGAGTTGACATACTTTTGGATCTGTAGTACAGAAATGTTAATTCAATTACCCTAATAATGTGCATAAAGCCACGAGCAGCAGCCACAAATTAATGAACAAATCTAGGGCACTATCAAAGCTCATAAACAGCCCAACTGTGTCTTACTTTAGCTCCAGGCATGCCAGGGATCCCTTCACGGCCATCAACTCCTGGTAAACCCTTGAAAAAAGAAAGAAAAAATTATTGTAACTTTGAAAAGATTTTGCCCAAGCACTAATATGCAAAGTAGCATTGAATGAAGCAAATAAATAAATTAAATATACATACAGGCTCTCCTTTAGGTCCAGGGAGGCCATTTATTCCTCTTGTACCTTGAGGACCCTAAGAATAATAACAATATTTGAAAATTAAGCTAAAGACAATGAAATGGCAGACTACAAGAATTTCAATGCATACTCATTCAGATACACATTATTTGGAGAGTACCAGTTATGCACTGCTTATATGCTATTAAGTAACTAATGTTTGCAAGTCAACAATAGTCAAAATGTGTCTGGGCTCACCCTTTCTCCCTTTGGACCTGCCTCTCCTAGTGGACCTCTCTGTCCTTGATCCCCCTACAGAGAAGAAAATATTTTAGAAATAAAATCAGAATAAACTTACTTGTATTTTTTAGCTAAAACTCTCAGAAAATCAACAAGTACAATTCACACTTGGTGAAAGTAGACAACTCAAAGTAACACTACATTTAAAAATGCAGTATTTTAAAACTGCAGTTGACAGATATATTTTAAAAACCACATCTCAAGCCATCATCACCTGAGATTTCAGGAGTGTCTAAGCAAATTATGTTGCACTGGTTTAACACAGAGTTACTAGCTATTCCAAGCGCAAATTCCAGCTATGGAAGCAGAGAGCAAGGAGGAATTTAAGAAAAAATACCCAAATAAACAGCCAACCACCCCAAACAAATAAAACACATACACAATAAAAACCTCCAACAAAAATTGCCCAAATTGCCCTCTACAGTGTTTTGTTCCAGTTTGATACCTGAAAAATTCCAAGCCACCCTAATGCACTGCAGGAAGAGGAAACCATAACATACTAAGTCAAAATGGGTTCATCTACCTCAAATTCTTTGGGAAGATTAAGACATTACTGACTTGACATCAATAATATCATTTATTCACCTGTAGGGAATCAATAGAATTTGATTAATCAGAAGCTTCTTGGATTCACAGCTGCAAAGCTACACTAACTGGGAAGTGTTTGACAACCCCACACTCTACTTACAGGTGCACCAGGAAGACCTTGGGGACCAGGATCACCATCAAGACCACGAGCTCCCTACCAAACAAATAGATAACACAAGATATTAAAGCGAACTGCTGGAGCAGTAACAATTTATGTGTCTTGCTTTGCTAGGAACTGCCAAGTCTCTACAGATGAAATGGCTTTATAGCTCCAACTAAAAAAAAAAAAGGCCATTTTCTTCATTTATCTTGATTTTTAAGGGAGATATGAAAGCAAATATATTTAAATATTAAAAATTATCAGTCAAAAAACAAGTCAGATAATTCTCTAAAAAAATCTAGGAAGGAGGTAGACCTTTACATGTTATTTTAAAAAATCTCTGTGTCTTCTTTAAATATACTATATCCTTCACCACATAATAGAATAACATCAAATTATCCAGAGAAATCATCAAGTATAGTGCTGCTATTTTTATCACATATGTTTCAAGGAAACAACGCAATCACTACCCTGTGTTTTAAAAAAGATTTAGAGAGAACACAGAACTCCTTAGTCAAGCAGATGTAGTAAATGTTTCAAGTAGACAAAATATTACAGAAAATGTAGACAAATAACTGCAAAGAATTAGAACACACAAAGGCCAGAAGAGCAAAGTATAAGATAGTAATAGCTTAGCAAACACACCAAAGATGTTAGGAAGGATCATTCATGAGAAGATTCATAATCAGGAGAAATTTGATGTTATCTCTGAAGACAGATGATCACAAGATTTACAGGATTTGACTTCTGGAGAAGGAGACAATGGCAGGATTGCTGTCCTGTCGGAATTTTTTACTATATAGATTTAACAAGATCACGAGACTACCCAGGTTTGAAATAACAGACGGAAACACTTAGACAAACAAAAGGAAAATTGTCCAGCAAAGTAAGAGTCTAATAAATATTAATCCCACTGGCAGCAATTTAAGACATAGAGATGTCAAAGAATGAATGGGAAAAAGAACAAACTCTCAATAAAAACTCCTGACAAAAACTGGAGTGATGATGGAAGTAAAAGGCTTTAGGAAGATACAAATCACAGGAGGGAGTACTTAATAAGTCTTAGCTTTAATTTAAATGTGCTATAGTTTATGATTGTTATAACTTGCTTTCTTGCAAATTACAGACTTGCATACATGCAAAACTACCATAAATGCAAGCATTGGGGGAAAGAAGTAAAAAGAACGTGCCCTTCATCAATTAGGACTGAGCTACCTTTCTTCCTAACAAGAAATGCAGTAGCTATGGAAATACAGCTGGTAGAAGAGAGAAAATACAGGGGAAATAAAGTAGGAGCTTAAATAAGCTTTTAAAGCATTCAGAATTGTACTTTTTTTTTTTTAATATAGACCATTTTACAGAAAGAAAGGTTAATACTCACTTTGGTACCTTTAGGTCCCATTATACCAGTTATACCTCTGATACCTAGAATGCCCTGAAATAGAAAAGTATATTCAAATTATGCTTAATTCTTCTCATCAGAACTGTCCTAGTTTTCAGACAGGAGACTCAAGAGTTCTACACCCTTTCTTTATGATTATTTTACTATTTTCTTAGTACTAAAGGAGAAATCCAACTGCTGCTGTATTAGAATTCTTAATTTATATGGTAATTTGATATTTTACTAAATTTAGAATTTTAAAAAGAATAACAGAACTATCAGGCTGTACTGTAAAACCACAAATACACCATAAAGACAGAAAAAAACCACTGATTTTTCTTCTTGGTTGCCTCAGAGTTGAAGCACTCTCACCTACAGCTTGTGTGAAAGGAACATGTGATGACCAAATCTGCAAAAGTGCTAAGCTGTCCTAAGTGAGGAATTGGACAGATGAAGGAGATTTTACAGAGTTCCAGAGGCAGATAAAGAAAGATAAAGGCTTTTGAGAGTAGAAGTGCTAAGTTTATGTGTCCACTAAGAGGCTAAATTGAGTAGACATCCTAATGCAGCAGGATGTATCATAACTATCATCACAGCTGTCATCACTTTCCTTCAAAAGTGTCTTGTGGGACATTTGGCTTTACTGTCTTCCTCTTCCCAAGAGACTGACACTGCCTGAGATGTCTCCTCCCTGCAGAGACCAAACCCCCAGCCATAACATGCTTGTCCTGCAGCTGCATTATCAAAACAGCTACAGGCACTTCCCCACAGCTTGGGCAAACACAGCTCTTGAGCAGATTCTACATTGGCAGCCCCTACTTGCTCCTCACATAGCTGGCTGGAATCTTGCACGGAACACTTGAAGCATTGTCAGCCTAAAATGTGGGGAAAATCATGGTAATGCAGCAAGCACTACAGCAGCCCCACAAGGGAGATGAACACGTTTACTCCTGCTTGTGAGACCACAGCTGGAAGTAGGCACACTGTGGTATCCAATACTTCCCATCAAAGGCAACACCTCTCCCAGGAATGGCTGTCCTATGTAGATCTTGTCAGTGGAATACATTGGCTGGATTGCAGGTGCTGTGGTGGAGACTGGATGCTTAAGCTCTTTCATTCGTTCACGTAAGGAGCCTCTAAGAAGACACAGCAGAGTCTACAGGCTCTCCATCTGTGCCTCCAAAGAATTGTTTGTCCTTTTTCACATGGGTTGTCTATCTGATATCAATGCATATTATGAATCCTAATTTTTGATAAAAATTATTTTAGAGTTTGTTTGTATGGTGACACATTGAAATGTTATGAGTAACACACACAAAAAAAAAAAAGTAAAGTAAATCTTTAATTGGTTTTTTAATTCTACTGTCTTATTTCACAGTGATTGAAGAACTTTACCAAACTGAGTAAAATTAATTGGTCCCCACAGGCCTTTCAGACAGCAGCTGAAGCTGCCTCTTACACAATTACTTTGTCTGCACCAGGGCCTCAGGGATACTTTCTCAGGATCAAGCATCCAAAGGAATTGACCCTTTCCTTTATTTCGTCTGTTCTTTACCTTTTTCTGGTCATAATCCAGAGGTTTATGTTGTCATATGTTTATGTTCATAGAGAATTCTGTACTTTAGCATTTAGATAACATGCATTAAGGTAAGCCCCTGTGTAGCATCAAATCTGGACACCAATGGCACTAAATAAATACTTTTAAACTTAAGAAAAAAGCATGAGACCCAATCAGAAAATAAACCATAGAAATTAAAGGTGTCATGCCTGTTTCTCCTCCTTAGAATGACCCTTTTATTCTGTTCCCTAGTTCTTTTCAGTCATGGTAACCATAAGAGCTCCTCACAGGGGACAAGCTGAAGAGGTATGTGTCATAATGAAGCACAGTTATCCAGGACAAGAAAATAACTAGATAAGATTGAAGGATACTTCTGGTGCAAGCCAAAAGGCAAAAATCTTGAGGGGAAAAAACCCTCATTCTTCAGTGGTTGCAACTTCATCCTCAAATCTCAGCTAAGAATTTCACAGCTGATTGTGTTTTGAACACAATGAAGTCAGCATCATCAAAATTATGAAAAAGATAGCGAAGGTGAAGGGAAAAAAATTCAACTATTTCCACAATCTAAGCACAACACAAAATTTAGGACGTGAAATTGTTTTTAAAGTTAGCCTTTCCATAGAACTATATGGAGCTTTGTGCCAAGCAATAATGTAGGTTTTGAAGGGACTTAAATAGTTCTACTTTGATTCAGAGGCAAGATGGCAGAATAAAGAGAAAGGTGCATAGAGGTTTTGTAATATCTGTTTTCTTAAAATAATAAGAAAAAACGATACGTCATTAGGAAGAAAATGAGTAACACTTTAAAAGGAAATACTTTACTGGAGGGCCTTGAGCTCCCACTTCACCACTAGGTCCTTGGTCCCCTTCTTCACCCTGGGAAAGCAAGAGGAATACATCTGTAGCCAATCCACACCATGTATATTGCTCTGTCATTGTATGAGGTGCCTTTCCTACTTAATGTTTTCTGTCACCATGTCCTGAAAGAAATCCAAATGAAGTCACACCACTTCCTCAGACAGATACTCATTCAGGCTCACATTTCATTTAATTATTAGTCAAAATGGTAATTTTAAAGAAACCTCAGTATAAAGAATAATGATATTTTACCCTTAATCTGTCATTCCATTTTTTCTTGACATTAATATCTTCAGGATTTCATCAGGAACTGTAGTAACAGGACAAGGAGTAAGGGGTACAAAGTTCAAGAGGGGAAATTTAGGTTACATAGTAGGAAGAAATTCTTTACTGTGAGGGTAGTGAGACACTGGAACAAGTTGCCCAGGGGAGGTTGTGGATGTCCCAACCTTGGCAGTGTTCAAAGCCAGGCTGGGTAAGGCCTTGAGAAACCTGGTCTAGTGGGAGGTGTTCCTGCAGAGGGGTTGGGACTAGATGATCTTCAAGGTCTAATCCAACCTCTTAATATTACATTATTCTCTGAGTTCTTGCTCTTCCTGACTAAAAGTGCAAAAAGTTTTCTCTAATGGTTTTCCCTGCAACGTTGAAGCATGGACCACAACAGTGCAAATCTGAAAATTTCTTGTAAATATTTCAATATTAAAGAGGTTATACAAAAAGGTTAATTCAAATTAAACACCTTGACAGAGTTAACATTTCAGTTTTCAAGATGAATCAGATTTGCCCTCTCTTTATGAACTTACACTATGTCCTTTCCTTCTCAAATGTATTTTTTCCTCTCATTCTTCATTTAAGTATTCATCTGTGCTGCAGCTTACTTGGTAAATTAAGGGAATTATCCTGCATTCAAATGTTTAAAAGTTTTTCAATTAATAAACTTAGCTTCAATTTTCCCCATAAGTTCTATAATAATTAAATTGAACAATCAAAATCAAAAGCAAGAGGAGTATGACTTGTGCATTGTAATAAATACATAGTACAGGTGACTAAAGAATAGAGAAGTGCCTTTGGTTACTCTAGAGCACCATGATATGTAGTATCACTTCATGCATTCTGTTAAAACAATTAATACTTAGAATATAATACTGTTTTTGAAGATGAGGCTAAACTACTATTAGTTTGCTAAAAACAGCAGTTTTTTCCTTTTTTTTTTTTTTTATTTTACCTTATAACCTTGTTTTCCTGGTTCACCAGACTCTCCTTTTGAACCTTTTTGCCCCTAAAATAAACACAAAAAAAACAAAACAAATTAATAAATAGAGACTATTCAAAATTAAAATACAGTTTTCCAAAACAGACAGAGACTGCTGAGAGCTGTCTTGCTGTTCCCTCTCAAACTCCATTCAGTACTCCTTCCTCACCTGTCTAGGAAACACTACATATTAAGTAGCATGCTCAAAATATCTGCTTCTGGATCTAACAAGGCTGCATTTCTAGGCAGGTTAGTATTTCTTCTTACGTTATCCCATAAAAATGTCCTGAGGCCAACAGTATTTCTGGACCCCAGTAAAGAATATATTTTTAAAAATCTTAGCTAAAATGAGACTCAAAACACGTTAATTTCAATTCAGTATGTTACAGGTCTCCCAGGAAGAGAAAAAGAAGTCAGAAAGATTAAGGATCTGGGGAAATATTTAGAGTTTCTGGAGTCAGACCACAAATTATCCAGGAAGTGAATGAAGCAATCCTTCACATACTCTAATCCTCTCAGGACCACACATAAATTTTACACTGAAGGTTAGAGAAGTAGCAAGAGATTTCAACAACAAGAGGTTATTTTGGCAGTCAAGAGTTGAATAACCATAATCAACCACAGTGATGCAATCTTTTTTGAAATTAACAGGGAAATGTCCTTTTTCAAGTCAGCAATTACCCTTCCCTAGTGCCTTGAGACGGCGCCTCTGGAAGAAACGCTGGAACAAACAAGTTCTCTTACCTTCATACCCATTAAGCCAGCATGTCCTGGGCGGCCAGGAGGACAAGCACTGGGACACTGGAAAAGCATTCACATAGTTATTACCACATAGGCTGAATAAGATTGCCTGAGATTACTTAAAAAGAAATAAAAACATGGACAATAATCTTACCAACAGGTCGCCATCTTGCAGGCCAATCGTTCCCTAAATTAAATTAAATTCATCAAAGTCAGTAATACAGAAATAACCAGACATGACTCATTAGGCAACACAGTGATCAGACAAAACTACTGTCTAAACCTGGAATCAGAAATACAATCAATCAAAGGATCTCTCACATGAAAAGCACCTTAACTGTAGGATTTTATTACAGGACTGCAGGTCCCATCCTTTATCTTAGAACAACTTTTCAAAAAATCCCAAAATATTTCTCTTGCTTTTTAAACTACCTCAAATATACTTTCTGTTAAATATAGAACAAACATGTCCAAACCCCATTAGTTTCCTACAGAAACCAAGGCAATTTCTATAACAAGAATAACTTAGTGCCATTTACCAAAAGATTCAGGTCTTTACAGAGAAAATTATTTTTACAGGCAAAACAATCTTCCCAAAAGTATTGGTAGATGACAGTTGCAATAAACTAGACATCAGTGTACAATGAGATGGACTCAGTGGGGGGAAGGCCTTTTCTCATATTAAATCAAATACTTGATGGAAGCTAACAGGAGGTTTATGAGGCACAACAGGGAGAAAGATTATTTCACAGCAGCAGCTGGATTCTCTGAAGCTCTGTGGGAGGGAACACACTGTTTCAGAGAAAAGCACAGGAATGAGCTCCTGAAAGAATGGTTTTATAAGCACAAGGATTTTTTTAAAAGCCAAGCCATTTGGGTCCATAATGTTGTCGACTGGAGTGGGACTGTGGCACTCCAGAAACCTAAAACAGACACAACTTTAAGGAATAGAAGTGCTATATGCCACTGTTGAGAACTCATTTCCACTTGTTTCCAAACTACTCTTCTCCAATTTACCATTCACGTTTTTTAAAATGCCACTGCCAATTCTCTGGCAGCTTGTCATGAAAACAAGAAACATGGCATAAATAAAGCACGTGTATTTAGGGTCTGTCCCTAAAGAGTGGGGGGAGGAGGTTCCCAGCAGAGGAATAGTACAGCTTTTAAAAAGACATCAGTACAACACCTTTCCCAGTGGTTTGCATTTCCCAGCCCCCAGACTGAGATGTGTCTGCCAAACTCTCCATTTTATTTCTCTGGGCAGGTAAATTGCCACAAGATAAAGGCATAACACGCATCCCTCCTCCCAAAAGGCTGAAAAAAGATAGCTGTTTCCCTGGAGAGGCAAAGCACCACTGTAAAGCTTTCTTTTATTCCTTGCAAGTAGCAGATCTGATTGCAAGAAATACATTAGAACTCAACCCACCTGGAAGTGTATATTTCTGTCTCACAAGCCAAATATTTTTTTTTTCTTCTCCTAACAGAGAAAAGCTTGCCTCTGCTGAGGTAATACCAGTGAGGCCCAACAAAGACTACATTTACAGTATTATGATTCACAGGGGAATTTAAACCTGTGTATTTGCAGTTTACAGAAATAGGAAGGCATCATGAGAGAAGTTACAAAATTTGCATTTCAAACTGCCTTTTTATAACAATAAAGAGTGGAAACTTGCTTTCTAACTGGAAGATCAAAATCTCTCTGATATCCTAAAATCAGTATTCAGCTGTAGAACTTAGGGAGAAGTTTTGTTCAAGCAGCAACAACAAAAATTCAGATGTAAGCACATATTAAACATATTCACTTACTGGAGGACCCGGAGGTCCTGGTAGCCCTGGTGGCCCTCTTTTTCCTGGATCTCCCTTAAAATGGGTAAAATAATTTAGTTGATTGAAAGTAATAATAACAAACAGCAGTCACAAAATCAGAGCACACAACAACAGTGAGAAATTATGTAGCTACCGAAGGACAGATTAGACTTGCAGACAGATTAGATTTGCATTTAAAAGTAGGTTTTATTAAACAAAATTTAATGCTATTTCAGATTTCCAGTAGAAAAGCACCAATTGGTTTCAGCTTCCATTTCAGTAAAGTGTGTTGTCAAAACAGAAGCATGGTGAAAGAGTGCACAGTTCAGCAGTAAGGTCAATAGATGGAGCCACACTTAAAGTGAGAGAACAGAACACTGAATTGCCATGTTCACTGATATGCAAATGAAAATCAGAGTGTTAAGTAGTTAAGGTTTACATTTCCTGTATTTCTGCCAGGTCTGCTTTTTGATTTCAACTTTCCTTGAATAAGAGAAGTAGAGTATTGGACACTCTGAAACATTTAATTCTAATCTGACAGGTGGCCCTGACTTTGTGCTACTCATTGCTCTTATTTCTGATGAGCTTCAAACATAATCCCTCTTCTACCAGTGATCACTGCAAAAGAAAAATGCTGTGTTTGAAAATGTTAGCCCAAATGGTATTCAGATGGCCCAATGTGATAGCCCACATTTATTTAGAAGGTATTTAGATGGCCCATTTTTTCTTTAAGTACCTTCTAGCAATTGAATAAACCTGCATTTTCAGCAAACACAGTAGTACTTACAGGTGGACCAGCACGACCTACTTCCCCAGGAAGTCCTGCTGCACCAGCTGGACCCTGCAACAACCAAGGTAAACAGTATTTTTATACAATATAATACCTATGTAACAAACATCCAAGGACTGAGAACATGTAATTCTCACAAACAACAAACCAGTATATTTATGAATTGTAAAGATTATACTTACAGGTGGCCCAAGAAGGCCCTTGCCCTGTGAAATAAGAAAAAAAGAGATTAGAAATATGGGGAGGGCTGCAAACCTAGTAAAGCTGTTTTTTAAAGCTGTAAATAGAGTATTTCAGAAAAAAAAAAAAGGCGTAAAAAAGCCCTCATTAGTTTCTGCAAAATTGTTTTGGAAACTTGCTTAACTACTGTTAAAAATCAATTTTATTATTAGGTAATCAGTATCAGTAGAGAATATTAAATTACTGATTAACTTGCCTTGCAGTATCATTAGACATATTTATAAACATATACACTCCCACAAGGGAATGAAGACATTAAAGGCTTTGTGTTTAGCTAATTATCAAGTACCATGATAAACATATCTATGCTATAATAATTTCCTTCTAAAGGTACATTTAAATTTATTATAAAAGTGAACTTTTTTCCCCACAGTGCTTCCCTGAGGCCTAAATCCATTAAACTTATGGGTTTTGGTAATGAGAAAGAACACTAAACTTCTCCTGTTTATATTTTCTGTCAGTGTTGTTCTGAATCATTTTAACGAGAAGTGCCCAAGATACAAATGTGTTTCTGCCTATTTGGATGATATACTCCCTCTAAGAAAACATCCCTCGGTCATGCATTACTAAAGCAAATGGAAAATTTTATGGAGAATAGTGTTGGTGATATACATGGAACATTAAAATGCAAAATCCCAAATATACTTAAATATTCAGGAGATTTGACATAATAAGGCACCTGGGCTGAATGTGAGTAAAAAAGCCACAGAATATCAATCCAGGGTTGCATTTGTAAGCCTATTCAGAAAAGTCAGTATAACATAGGGAAAATTTCAAGCACCCATCAGAACCATTCCATTTTAACCATTTAATACACAGTGTAAAGCAAGCTTGCTATTGCTTCACACTTCCTTGCTACAATTCATCATATTATACATATCTATATTTGACTGTAGAAATCAAATTTTCACTGCATCACATATTCAATATTATAATATCCCCTGCCTCTGAAAGAAGGAGACCTGCTTGCAGGTCTCATTGGAGTACCCTCTCCTAACACACCCCCTAACAGAGGCAGGAAAGGTCAATGATACCAAAAGAAGCAGCTACAGCTACTGTGACCAGCGCACACAGGGGCCCAGAAGGCTGTACCCTCCTCTGACCACTCCACTGCATCTCCTCACCTCCCTAATTAAGGCTGCAAAGAGCAGAGACTCCTAGAGCTACTCCACCCTTCTGGCCATGAACTCCCCACAAGCAGACCAAGCTGCAAAGCTGAGAGCAGCTCCAGAGCAATCAGTAAGGACACAAACAGAGCAGTTCAGCAGCTCCTATCCCAACCAGCTGCCCATGTTCCTTCCTCTGTCTTTTCCCTAGAGGGAAAGCCTCTCCACACAGCCTGGGACTGCAGCCTGGCATGCCCAGGCGCTTGCTGTGTGCTGTGGACATGCTCATCTGACCCATGGAGCACATGGAGTGCACAGGCTTGGCCAGCAACCCAGAGCCTGCAATCCCCTGCCGCAGGGGCACCTACCCTGTAATCTGGTCAGTACCCCTGCCAGCCACCTCAAAGAGCCCAGTGTTTGCAAGTGTACCCTGTGCTGGACACTGTGTTTTAGTAGACCTTAAAACATTTTCAAATTCTCTGTCACTAAAGACACATGGTCCTCCCCATATGCCACATCAAATATCAGCTCATAGAAAAGTTGGAGGGAGCTAAAAGAGAGAATGGACTGAAGAGTGCAATGCATGTACTTAATGTAGCAGCCCCAGGTCCATCTACCAGGACAGGTCAGAGACATCAGACTATTTAAATTACTTGAATTAATCACAGGAATTCTAAGAACTTTGGAACCCTGTCATTTAAAAGATTATCCGCCAAAGAGATGAGACAAAGAGAATAAATTAAAACAAAATTATGAAGCAGGAAAAAATATAAAAAAAGGGGATAACTGAAGATTGCCAGGGTACCTTCTGGGGAATAAAAGGTGACAGAAGCAGAGAAGCAAATTATATATATAAAACTTTATGTCCTTAATATTCATTCTTGAAGATACCCAGAAGTCCTAAGTTAGCTGATAAATATCACTAGAGGAGCATGAAAAACAGTGATAATAATTTAAAACTAATTAGCGTTGTACCCAAGGCTTCTGATTTTCTGTTTGCACTGAGCATTTTAACAACTTAAGCAAGATGTTTTGTGAAAAATGAAGTCTTTGGATAACTATCCAGGGACTACTCCACTTGCAAAAAGCCACTGACAGTATTCAAAGCTGTGCATAATTACACCTAAGCACTCAATTAATCATGTAGGCAGTATGCAGGTTCATAATTGTGTTCACTATGTTTCTGGTAAATGAGGTTTCACGAATCAAGCCAAAGAAGTGCAAAGGTTAAACAGCCCCATTACTTCACATTTGTAGTAAGAGCTTCTCCAAAAGTCTCTGAATCTGAAAATTAGAACAATTGCACTCCAGCACTACCATTTCTACTTGGGTTTTTTGTTTATTTTGTTTTTACAATAGGTGGGTTCTGTTTGGGTTCTACAGGGGGTCTTTTGTTTGTTTAGGTAGCAGGGTTGTGGGGTTTGTTGTTGTTGGTTTTGTTTTTCGTTTTTGTGGATTTTGTTAGTAGGTATAATCTCACTAAAGGTCAGCTGACGTGTGCTGGCCATTTTGAGAATCTTCCAGTAGCTGCACAACTTCTTCAGTAGCATACAGCCATTCATCAGAGGGAAAATGGCATTTATACCGGCTTTCCCAGGAGATTTATTTTGAGCATTAATCTCTCTACATGGACTCAGCATGTATGGGTTAACAACCATGGAGCTACAAAATCAATCACTAGGCTTCTTCCTAACAAGTGAGGTCCAAGGATAAATCTTAATGAGTATGAAGGTAATCACAGGAGTTGACTAAGTATATCCATCTTTTCTTTACTTTTAAGTAAATTGGAATTCTCCTTTCCTCATTATAAATATTCCTGTGGATTCACCTGAAAATACAAACTTCAGTTGCTTATTAAGCAGAGGCAGAACAACTCCAAAGGCAATCCCTACTGAGGTTCACTGAAGCGTTATCACCTTAGGATTGAAAGTCTCAGGGCAAACAAAATCACTCAGCTTTGAACAATGGTCCAAAATCTTATCAGATTTATTGCTTTTACAGTCTCAAAATGTGGTGACAAAAGTCCTGCTACTCTGAAAAGAATTAGCATTCCACCTTGACAAGTTGGTCCAGTTTCCTGCTTTCCCAAATTAATGTCTCTACCTCTGAATTGAGATTAACCCTCTTTATACATGTTTTATGCACACACTTTTTCTGGAAGGTCTTAAATTAATCATTCTTGCATTGTTCTGTAAAAGGTGAGCTGAAATCATGTGCATTTTTCCCAACTCAGTTTTTCTTTTGGCTGACAGGCTAAAATGCCACAGTACTTTAATCAAGTATTTCAGTAAATCAGTTTTATTTCCCCATTTTTCTTATCCTAGAATCACAGAATGGCTTGGTTTAGAATGGAGATTAAAGATCACCTAGTTCAAATTGCCACAGTAGGGACACCTTCCATTAGACCAGGGTGCTCCAAGCCCCGTACAACTTGGCATTAAACACTTCCTGGCATGGGGCATCCAAATCTTCTCTGAGCAACCTGCTCCAGTGCCCCACCACCCTCACAGCAAAGAATTTCTTCCTAATATCTAATCTAAACCTACTCTCTTTCAATTTGAAGCCGTTTCCCCTTAAAAAAAAAACAAAAACAAAACAAAAAAAAAACAAAAAAAAAAAAAAAAAAAAAAAAAAAAAAAAAAAAAAACAAAAAAAAAAACAAAACCCCAAAAAAACCCAAAAAACCACCAAAACAAAAAAGTTTACCTAGGACCCACCTCAGTTCTGCCATTTTCTGTGACTAAATTCAACTCATATATTGAGCCTGCAGACCAGCCAGCCATTCTATTACCTATTTTCCAAATTTTCAGGTAAGAATGAGCATCCATGAAAATTAAAGTGTCCACAAAATGATTTATCTTGAGTTTGAACATGTCTATAATGTCACACCTTCAAGAATAACTTTATTTTCTCTCTGGCCAACTATCAAAATAATTGTTAAATATAAATTTAATGAGAGTTAAAAGAAAAAGGTCAAAAATATCAATACACAAGGAGTGTTATACTGGAATACCATACCTCTTTGATTTAATTTAAATAATTTCTCCAAGTTGAATTTCATTTTTAATTAAAGTTTAATTATATACAGTCTTAATTATAATATATTCTAGTCATCTTATTCCATTACTCATCTTCCTTGAGGTTTTTTCCTAAACTAAATTCCTACATGCGAACCACTTCTTCTAACAGCAAAACTACTAAAATTTACAATTATTTTCAGCCCCTAAAAATGGATGTTAGATCCATCTGGATGCTAACTGGAACAGTACTCTTTGCATGTCTTTTCTCATATTTTGGCCTGTTTTCATACAGAACTGCAAAACGGCACAAGGAGTCTCACAGAATTTACACTTCAGTGATGCCATTTAAACACATGGCTAGGAGTTGAAAACAGGAATAGCTGTAGACTCCCATATGCAAATGAAACAGGGGCTCTCTCATCTCCACAGCATTTTCACAGAGATGGAAAAGCATCGCATAAGTCCAAAACTTGGGATTCCATCACACATGCTCCTTTCATTTTTCAGCATACAAACCAAACATAACCCTTCGGTAATATTTGCACACATAGATATAAAGACAAAACTGTTCCTTAAAGTACTACTTTTGTAACTTATGAGTTCTTTCAAACCTCAGAAATAATTTTGGCCTTTTCTTCACTACATTTAATGGTAAGAAGCCTTCATAACAATACTTAAGATGCAAAAATCCTCTTTGTATACTAAATGCATTACTTACTGGAAGTCCACGAGCACCTGGCAGTCCTGGCTCCCCCTGTAAAAAATCAAAAATGAGTTTTTAAGAGGCTTTAGCATCAAGTTTTGTAAACAATACACAGAAGATATTCTCTCACCTCTTCGTTTCAGTAAGACTTGATAGAAAGGAAAGACTTTCTCAGTATTAAAAAGATACATTCTCTGGCCTTTTATTCCCTCACCCCCCAAAAACTCAAGCATGCTTTTTACTCTGACTCCTATTTCATTTGTTTAACTGATTATGAAGTCACTGTGCTGGTTCCCACTGCATATTACAATGGCACAACTGTAATACAAGATGCAAAGGGCCTCAGCTTTACTGAAGATGCTCAACCTTAATGTCAACAACGCAGTGCCAGCCACCACTCCTTACTGCTGGCTGTGGGAATGGAACCTTCTTTGTGCTGTGTGAAAAGGGCCCACTACATGTGTATTCTATAGGTATGTTAGGATTATAATAAAGGCTAGAGCATCTTATCAGTCACATAGAGACAAACAAAAATGCTGCTTTAAAAAAACCCATCATTTCATGCATAATTTTGTTCCTACCTTCTGTCCTTTTGGTCCTGGGGCTCCACGAGAGCCATCAGGTCCTGTGAATCCCTTTGGAAGTAAGTTATACAATGTTAATGCAAAGGTTATGTGTTTTTCTTAATCACAACAAAAAACATTATGCAACATAGAAAAATGAGACCATTAAATGAAATTAGTAACTGCAGGAGCCTTGCAATCCAAATATTTATTTACATGTACAGATACAACTGTATAAGTTTAAAGTTCTAGCTTCTAGTGACAAACATGCCTCTGATATGTATCTTCAAGAATTACTCAGTTAAATCATAATTAAATAAAATCATGTGATCTCATATGATCTTATTTCCTCTTAATGGGAGATTGATGAATTTATTTCATGGCTAAGGTTAAAAACAAAAACTGTCAGTGTTGTTCATTTCAAACAAAAATTTCATTAACAACATCAACACAAAACAAAACCCCAGAAAGCTGCCAGGCTGGATTTAAACTTACCCTTTTAACTTATCTATCTGGCTAAAATCAAAACCTAACCATATTACAAACAGGAATTCATTTGGAATTATTCTTTTTCCTGCTGCTTCCAATTTTACAGTCAGCTTATATGGCTTAGAAATTTCCAGATATCCAGAAGAGCTTTTCTTATACATTTATCTATTACTTTTATTTTTTTTTTGTACACTTCCACTTGTTTTGGTGCACTTCCAGCAATTCAGTGTTCACACAATTTTTCCGACTATTTGATTTTGAAAGCTTACATGATCATTACAAGCAATTACGGTACAGTACCTTTTTACAGTCTATTAAACCTGACACTGAAATAATTTTTGAAATAAAATGAGAGTTAAAAAGTCAGAACTGCCTCACCAATTAAACACAGAAGGTATTATAAATCTAAAATACCAATTAAAGGTTGAATAGACAGTGGAAGTACAGTAAGGTCTCCTTTTAAAGGTTCAATCTTTCAAAAGACTGTACTCTAGTATTACATTTTCACTCATCCAATAATATGAGGGAATATACAAGTGTGAACAGATACCAAAACCTGAGCTGAGTTTAGTGTGTTCTGTTTCATATGATTGTGTTCCCGTTAATTTTGGCAAGGAAAATAAAACCATGCCTTAAGTGAAAACTGTAAGAGGCAATGACTTTTAAAGATCCGCTTGTAGGGTTTTGACGTTTACAAATGGGTAGTGGACCTGTATTTTTTTAGGAAGATGTGAATTGGTATGAGATGTCACTCACAAAGCCCATTTCCTCTTCCAGATATGGAATTTGTACAGTTTAATTAAATTCTAGCTCCATGTCTACTAAATCTCTTCCCAAAAGCAAATTAAATATTAACCTCTAACAGCATTGCAACCTTAAATAGATACTAGGCTTTTTGATTTATACAATTTGCAATACCCTCTAACACACTGGTTTATGGTATATAATCTTTATTTATGATATTTTAAATTTTTAAAGTTTTAAAAGCTTTTGTAAATTAAACATAAGCTTGCCTACCCCCTGGCATAACATCTAAGTACTAATGCAACAATCTTGCTTCATAACAAGAAGTGCTTTTTAACAGTGCTCTCAAAAGAGAGAAATATGAAGTTCCCAAAAATGTTTGAAGACATTTTTATAGCCACAAATTTATTCAGGAGGTATGACTTAACAGGCCATCAACACTCAATGATGAAACTTCAGTCTTCTCTATTATTTTTCACAGGATGGGAAGATGCATCAGCAGATCTTCCTCATCCTTTGACCAGAGGTGGCTTCCAGAGGCCACAGCAGGAGCTGTCCCTGAGACCACTGCCCAGTGCCCTCTCCAGGGCCAGGTGGCAGCACTGACAGCCCCCATGCTTTATTTATTTATTTATTCTTGAAGGAAACAAACAAACAAATACATCCAGAGGCCACAGCAGGAGCTGTCCCTGAGACCGCTGCCCAGTGCCCTCTCTAGGGCCAAATGGCAGCACTGACAGCCCCCGTGCTTTATTTATTTACTTATTCTTGAAGGAAACAAACAAACATGGAAATTCTAGAAAATCAAGTGTACTCACATCAGCTCCCGGCTCTCCAGGCAACCCAGGGGATCCTGGTTTGCCTGCATCCCCATCTGGACCCTTCAGGATTTAAATGGACAGTTAAGCATGTTTCACAGAGAGAAGCATAAACAAAACTCAAAATCTCTTCTCTAGCAGAAGCAAATGAAAAGTAGCTGCAATCACTTACCGGTGAACCAGGAGGGCCCTTCGGGCCTCTCTCCCCCTACCAAGATATGAAAAGGAAGGTATGAGTCAGGACTGCAATAACCTTTTACAGTCTTTCATGAAAATCACTGATTTACAGATTACCAGAAATAATCCTGAACTGACTCTTATTGTAGAAAATAAATATTAAATCCACATCATTTCTATTACAGACAAACAGAAGTCACCACAGAAACTTCTGACAGGAATCAAGGGAACACATGTAGTAGCTCCTATCAGGAATAATGCCACAAATCCTTATCATAATTTAGTATGAGTGGGCATCACTATGTAATCCCTTTTGAGATTAGATTTACAAAACCCTTACACCCCATTAATGGCAGATAATCACAGCATATGATGCTGATTACACAAAATAAATAATCCTGAGTTTTCTATGCCAAAGATAATCTGAAAATCTGCTTCCTCCTCTCACTACAGAGCATGAGATCCATCAATTCTTTCATGTATCTGCAGCCAAATTCAAAGTCCTGAAGATCAAAGGCTGACAGACAACACAGATACAGCTCAGAGCATTTCCTATTTCCTAGGCAGGGCATGGGAAACACTTACATCAATGCCATCAATACCGGGAACTCCTGGTGGCCCTGGTGGACCTGGGGGGCCTGGTGGACCAGGGGGGCCTCTCTGACAAGGAGTAAAAAAAAAGAAGCAATTAGAGTCTGGCAAGCCATGGAGCTGTTCTGGGGGGACCAGCACAGTTAGAAGCTATGGGTTAGTCAGGAGATCACAGCTGTGACAAGGACCTGCATCCTCACCCCATGTACAACACAGGCCCTCTATCCTATTTTGACTGTCGCCATGAGAACTGGCAACACTGCCCTCACCAAAGGAATGGGGCAGGTGTTAAACTCCCCTCCCTGGGCCCAGCCACTCTCCTGTGCCCACAATGCTGCCAGGGCCAGGTGGGCTCCACTCCTCACCCAGCAGGATCGGAATGCTCCATGACAATGACAGGGTGGCAGAAATAAGTCTTAGAAATAAATCAGTTCGATCTTTGTGGATCGAACACCGAAATTCACTGCACTAATTACTCTGTCTTTCAACACAAAAGAGACAGTTTTTCTAAGAACTCATACTAGCAACGAAAATTTAAAACACCCCTGCTTCACTGACAGGCTCGGCAGTTTCCTGGTTCCTCGGGATTACACTAACATCCTCAGAGGCACTTTCTCAAAGCGCCGGGCTCCCGGGGGGAGGCAGCAGGCGCCGCCAGCCTGTGGAAACTCAGGGAAAGGCAGTCCCAGGTCTCCGTGCCTATAATGAGGGGCTCTGTTCTCCTTGGAGCGAGCTCTGCCCGCGGCCCCACAACGGGGCTCTGTGAGCAGGAGGCTGCTCCGGGCCCTGAGCCTGGTCCCTTGGTCTGCTGCTCTGGACACATTTCCTCCGCACACCGGAGTTCCCAGAAATATTCCGTCCAGCGTAGTTGCGTGCGGAGCTCCAGCCCCGGCGGAGTCACCCGCGCTGCGCTGGCCACTGCCCCGCGCTCAGCTCGCCTCTGCTGTATCGCCCGCAGCTGCCGGGGGGACACGGGACAAACACCCTCCGGGGGACAGCGCCAGGCAAGGCAGAGCAGCATTCGGTCCCTCCCTCTGCACCGACACACCGAGCTCCGTCCGCTCCCTCGCACTTACCTCGATTCCCGTCTGGGTTACCTGCGAGGGAGAAAAAATAAAAAACAACAAAGCAGAACCAAAGTCAGAACAAACTTACTTGAGCCAGGCCGAGGCAAAGCGCCTGCAGGAGCAGCCCCAGGGGCAGGAGGCACCGGGCCATGGATGGAGGGAGCAGCCGGCGGCTGCCGGGGCGGGCGGAAGGTGAGCGCGGCCGGAGCCCCTCCCGGCTGCGGCCCGGCCCTGGGCAGGGTCGCGGGGATTGGAGGAGGGCTGGCGGCCGGGCAGGCGAGGACGGAGCCCCAGCTGCGCCTTAACCCTTCGCCCTGCTGCTGCCGGGTCGGACACCGACCCCGCCGCGCCCGAGGCCTCCCCCGCCAGGCTCCCGGCGCGGCGGCGGTGCCGGGGGCCGCAGCCACGGCCCCTCCGCGGCGGGCACAGCGCCCGCAGGGCAGCCGGCAGCCCGCCAGCCGAGAGGCAGACAGCAAGCCACGCAAGGGTTAAAAGGCTGCTCTGGGGGGTTGCGTTTCTAAAAGCACCGAATACCGGGCAGGTATGGTAAAAAAGAGCATCTGTGGCCAGGAGCGGGGAGAGATAATGAAACTCCCGTGGGCTGCAGCGGCCGGCAAGGCAGGACAGGACAGGACAGGACAGGACAAGTCGTCTCTCACCCGAGCCGGCAGCTCGCCGCAGCCTTCGCGCTGGGGTCGCAGGGGGTCGCAGTGGATCACCATCCACTGGATCTCGAACTGGCAAAGGAGAAAAGATCATGTTAATTCGGGTCAGGGATCACGCTGGTCGAGCCTGTAAGAGGTGGAATACTGGCGCACTAGGCAGAGGATTAAACGCTAGGTATTTAATGTCAATAGCTACAGATGGAGCAGGGCTTTCCCCTGCATTCCCCTACTCCTGACTGTGGAGGTCTTTTAAAGAGGGGTCATAAACTGGCCGAGGTGCTGCCACTCCTGAAATCCTCTTTATCACATCTCTACTGTTCTGTTTGTTTGCAGTCATCACAGTTTCCAGAGTGCTGAGAGCACAACAGAAGGAGTACCCTTGTTTCTTTTACCTGTTAACTGACACCACCATCTGTGAGCCAATTCTTTCCCTCCTTTATCCACTTCTCATTTTCAAACCATCATAATAATAGCCAGTTGAGTGCCATAATATACATACAAAAGAATGAATACTAATTTAATTCTACAAGGCAGCCATACAATAGCAGCAGCCCAACAGTATCCTCACACTAAATCCAAAACAGCTCTGTACCAGCTACGAAAAGAAGAAAGCTAACTCTGGGTGCCGTGAGGCTATATAAAACAGAAGCTGATAGGAAACCTCTCTAACTTTTTTAAAAGTTAAAAATAAAACTCTTCTGGTGGCAAGGTAGTAAAAGATGTGACTGGCTTCCCATTGATTTAGGAGAGGTGAGAGAAGGGCAAATATATTCTAGCCTTGCTGTCAAGGTATCTTTTCCCGTGCCAGTATTTCACAATGATCTTGTTGATTAAGTTAAGATGATTTAAAGGATGCCATTATTTTGAAGACATCTCATGTAGGTATTCTACTGATATCAATATACAGTGTTATTAAGGATAAAGTACAGTCATAAAGTTTTCAGAAATGAACCTCAGATAATTTAGGGATAATCATAAAGCAAAGATATTAAAATGTAACCTTTTAAACCCAAAGGTGGTTTTGCCTGAGGTAGAGTTTATTTTCTTCAAAGCAGCTGGGATGGAGCTGTGTTTTGGATTTGTATTGGGAGCAGAGTTGATAGCACAGGGATGATTTTGTTATTGCTGAACAGTGCTTGGATGGAGTCAAAGCCTTTTCTGCCCCTGACCCCAACCCATCAGCAAAGAGGCTGGGGGTGCACAAGGACTTGGGAGGGGACACAGCCAGGATAGCTGATCCCACTGACTAAAGGGATATCCCAGACCATACGACGTCAGGCTCAGAATATAAAGCTGGGAGAAGAAGGAAAGAGCAGGGGGAGTTTGAAGTGATGCTCTTTGTATTCCCAAGTCACTGTTACATGTGGTGGAGCCCTGCTTTCCCAGAGATGGCTGAACAACTGCCTGCCATTGGAAAGTGGCGAATTAATTCCTTGTTTTGTTTTGCCTGTGTTCATGGCTTGAGCTTTACCTATTAAAGTGGTATTTATCCCAATCCACAATTTTCCTTACTTTTACTTACAATTCTCATCCCACCGTGGAGTTGAGTAGGCAAGTGGCCATGTGGGGCTTAGTTGCTATCTGGAGTTAAACTACGAAGAATGTTTAAGACTCATAGGTCTGTATTCCTGACACGCATTTGGCAGGATTCCTACAGGATTTCTGTTTCATCTTTATTTCTTAGTCAGCACAGATATAATTAACTGTGTCTGACTGCTCACTGTTTTGTCATCTTCAGGTCTACAGAAATTCCTGCAAATGCCCACCATTTTGGCACATCTCAATGTCAAACACATAATCCAGTTGTCTTATTAGTGTTTTAGTTAAGAGAGGTGAAGGTTAGGTAAAATGCAAATGAGACCTAAATATGTAGGGTAGTATTTTCATTATAAAATCAGTCACAGGGATGCATTTAGCAGTACCATAGGGGCTATTTCTGGCTTGGTGATGATCCAGGGGAAGTCACCCCTCCTGGGGAAGTACAACTCAGCCAAGCAATTTTTCATGTGGAGATTTTCTACAATACCTTGTCAAGGACCTCTGTGTTTCTTCTAAGAGAGGTCTGCTGTCAACTGTTTGTACATTTGTTAAGTGACTAAGAATAAACTACATATATTTGAATGCATCTCATTCCAGAGCTGTTTTAAACATGATTTTTCCATTTTTCAACATCTCTGAAATAGGTTTTTAGAGCTTCTTTCTCCTTGCACCTTTTTTAAAAACCTTTGAACATTACAGCTAATTCCGGTGTTATTTGGCTTCCCATAGCTGGGGTTCAGCCTTCTGAATGTGAGATTTCACAGGGTGAAAAAAAAACAAGATGTGACTTTTTACAGTACACAGACACAATCTGTTCTATGGTGTAAATTAATCCCTGTTAAACAAATATTGACAAGCAGCTTCCTCTTAGATGTTACAAGCCATGTAGCTTCCCTGAGCTAGTTAGCAGCATGAAATGTCAATTAAATAATGACCAAGAGTCACTACTAGCGAAGTTTTTAGTATCTATTATGGTAATGAAAAAATGGTAATGAAAAAAACATGGTAATGCCTCGGAAATCACAGCAATTAAGGCAATTATATAATCTTACTGCTTCTAATTTGAGCAGTAAGAAATAAATTCCCTTACCTTCCTATCACAGACATGTAATTTAGAAAGTAAATTCCTTTTCAGTTTTGAAATTATGCTAAATCTGATATTGCTTAGAGTTTATAGTGGATTATATTAATTACTTTTAGAGAAAAATGTAAAACTTTTAGATATTTTACCTTAAAAAAAAAAGATAAAATGCAGCTGTGAATCTGTGTAAAATTTTGTTCTCCATAAAGCATTCCAGAAGTCCTGGAATAAGTCTTTGTAAAGGCTGAAAGGCAAGATGCAGTTTCTAATGCAACTGTATCTATTATTCTCCTAGGCACTCATAGTAATAACAAGCAATAAAGAATCCCTTTTAAAATTATATGTGTTACAGTGCACCTCTGAGAAGTTGACCTATTCTGCAAGATAAATAGGGCCCTCACCAGAATGCTGCAAAAAAGAATAGGAAACACATAATTTATGTCCTTTTAAAATTCTACCACTGGAAGTAATATACTTTAACAATGCCTGGGAGTAAATTAAAAGCTGTGCCTAGGGCATATTAATCAACCAAGACTGTTGAGATATTTAAACTTACAGTCAAGCAAATTAAAGACTAGAATAGTCCCAAATATAGATTTATTTAGTCAAGTTAAAGAGAAATAAAGTACACAGGCTAAAACAGAAATTTCTGCAATATAAATAGACATTTTAAAATTACTAGTCCATCTGACTGTGTAATTCCTTTATGATCATTTCAGAGGATATGAGGTTCCTAAATATAAATTATTGTAATGTCAGGTTGAACCACTACTTTTTGGGCCTTCCAGCACAGGCCATGCAATTCAATCGAGTAAGTCCTAAGTCAGTTCTGTCTAAAATAAAGTGTAATTTTAGACAACCAAGCTCAGTTTTAGAATATGGTGTCATGCTTACTTTCTGTCTTCCCTGATAATTTTTTTCTAGTGCTTCATTACTCTTTTTGTCAAGATGTATACATCATACTCTTATTTCAAAGCCTAACTCTTGCAAAGATTTTACTTTATTTCATAAAATGTACTTCATATGATCAAATCTTCCCAGAAACATGCCAAAGTTATAAATAAATATTTTGCATTATAAATGGTGAATTATAAAAATTATTTATTTCCATTTTATTCTTTCATCCCTAAAGGAGGTTGTCCTATAATTACCATAGCTTCACACTGATGCCTAAAGATGTACAGTCTTAAACACAGGCAAGGCAAAACTTAATGCCACTCAGTTTTCCCCACCAAAAGCCTGAAGAGCCCTGGGTGATTAATGCTGCTCATGTGTATATCTTGCTGAAAAGAGAAAGCCTCTGCAAAACACAGGCTGGAGAGGAAAAAGGATAAGATTCTAGTAAGATTTCTCTTTTGCTTTTCCTTGCTTCTTTAATCCTAGCTAAAGGTCAGTCAGAGTACCAACAGAAGGCCAAGGTGACCTTGATACCACATCTCTCTCCTCATTTGTCAGCTGCCATTTGGAATCACTACTTCAAGAGGCAAAGGAACCCTCCTCATTTTAAAGGGATGACTTTGTGTCTAACTTGAGGGCACAGTTTGCTCTAGCACCGTATACCAGGTGCTGTAAAACTATTGCACTAATATCAATAGATTTCTCTGCATTTAATCTACCTTTCCAAAGAAGAAAGCAATATTGGCATAGAATTTTTTCATGCTACTAACATGCATAGAATATATGTAATGTGTAATGTTTTCATCATTCCACCTATCCGTTCATCCATCAGTATTGGTTAGAGCAGTTAGCAAAGCTAAGATACACATGCTAATTTCTAATATGCTAATTTCCACATTATCAGCTCCAGCTGATTATTTTTTATTATATTTTCAAAGACTAACACTTGTTTTCAACAGAATTAGTATAACTTTTCAGCTGTTGAAATTTCCTCATCCACATCCATAACAGTATGTTAGATAGATCCCTTCAGACACATGGGGCAGCCTTCTGCTGGCATTCTCATGTAAAACTGATTTCAATCCAGTGCAATACAGCAACTAAACATACAGAGGCGATGAAACATGAGATGTTTCTTTTGTTGCAGTGTTTTCCCTTTCAGATTTACACAACACTGGTTAACCTGTGTTCATGGTTTTTTGCAGTGTGAGATATAGTTTAAAATAATGTATCACTTCACTTTTTTACTTCAAAGTTGTAACAATACAGAGATGTCTAGGAATTTTCATTATTGAAATTTAGACATAACCTGGGTCATCTCTTAACTTACAAGGTATAAGTGCAAAATTTTAAAAAAAACCAGCTGGTACTTACCTGCCAAGGAGTTCTTTTCTGCTTTCAGAAATAATTTAAACATGCATTCCAGAAAAAAAACCAACATATTTAATGTAAAACACTTTTTGAAGAAATAAAATATTTTGAAACTTACCGGAACTGAAATTTGAGGATTATTTTTAAGTTTTCCAAGCACAGCAAAGCCATCAGTGTTGATTTTCCCTTTTGGTTTTATGTTTAAGGATTCTATTTTAATACAGTCTATAAAAAGTGTGACACTGTTTGCTTCCACAATTATCATAAGCTTGTGCCATTGGGAGTCAAACAAGAAAGGCAAATGTAAAAATGATGCTGTTTGGTGTCTTCCATCTGCTCCTTTATAAGAAAACTCAACACTTTTCATTTGACCATTGAGATGCACTCCAACTTGTTCTTTTCCCGAAGAATCCTGAATCTGCCAAATAGTCCAGTATTTCTGAAGTGTGGCCCCAGTCATCCGAAAAGTGGTTAGAAAGGAATATTCATCAGGCAAGCCGTTGGAATATATGGCACTGTGTAGGATTAAAATACAGTACATTTGTTCTGTATTTGCTCTGAAAAGCTCCACATATCACCAGAGAGTAATGAGAAACCATTACTCAGTGGAACCATATCTCAACCATTCTTGTGTCAGTGCACTTCTGCATGCTGAGCCCCAGAACAAGGTGTTACTAATGGCAAAAGATCTGGTTCAGGAGCGTGGGTTCTTCCAATGTTTTACATTTTTTATGATAACCCTTTCTGAGAATAATGGATGGAGCAACAACTAGCTCCTCTTCAGACATAGAAAGTATATTCTACAGTTATCCTGTTTCCCACTATTAGACTTACAAAGTCAGTCAACATTTTATGACTTTACAATGACCAGGGAGAAAGTGCAGATCTGATTTGATTTTGAAGGCATAAGAATATCTTTTGCAAAGGCATTTACTTGTTCAGCCTGCCAATACCTTTTTGTTAAGGTATAAGCTATCACTGCAGCAGAAATCATTGACAAGTACAGGGTGAGAACCCACACTCAAAATGTATTGTGTCCTGTGATATTCAACACAAGACTACAAGCAGTAGGGAACAGATTTGCCACATATAAAATATTTCATATTTTAGCAACTCCTATAACGTGAGCTTTGGAAACACAGGTAGCACTAGCTGTGTCACTGTGCAAAACAGTAAAGTCATTTTTTATTTCAAATGTACCACTGAATCCAGTGCAATATTTAAGAAATAGGCCTTTCCGTATTTATTCCATGGATCATAAAACTCTAGTGTCATATCCAGTCAACATCAATACATTATTTGCCATCTACCCACATTTAAGAATAAGTTTAAATAAATTTCTCAAGCATGAAGGTATGCAGAGCTATTTTGTCCCAGCTTTCATTAGGATAACGTCTCAAACAAGGAGACATCTTGAACAAAGGTGATTTTTGAGAGGCAGATCAATCCTATCTCAGCACCTATTTATATAGCATTAGTGTATCTCAGGATCTAGGCTATGGCAGGGGGGAAAAAAGCAGAAAAATTGCCAGCTCTTATTCTGTATGCTTGATTTAGAAAGAGTGCTTCCAGAAGCCATCTCCCTAGTTTGTAGTGTTCCAAGATGTAGTGCAGCTGTGCTCCAGCAGGCAGCGGCACAGCCTCAGCAGATTTCAGTGAGGACACAGAAAGCCTGGCAGCAGCAGCAGCAGCAGCTTCTTCGGCTTACAAATAAAGTACCCACACTGCTGGTGTTTCTCCCTTTCCCCAGGAGCCTTTGCACACATCTGAGATCTGGGGTATAAGGCAGGGGAATGTTTAGCTGGAAAGTTTAAATGGAGATATACAAAGCTGGAAGAGGGGGCCCCTTGCCCGTATCTTTAATCTGTCTGTGCTTTGCTCTGAATTGTGTCTCTTGACTGAGGATGAAGTCCTGCCCCATCTGGTTTTGTTTGATAGGATTTTATCTAACTCGTTGTGTTCTGTCATCATTTATTTTCAGTTTTTATCTTGCCCTCTCAGATGCAAATATCACCTTGTGGATATTGTAGCTTGCCTTCGGTTCTGAGCACTTTGCAGTGTTTACTATACTCCACCCTCCTTGTGTTAGGTTTCTGGCCTACACAATAAGCATATGTATTCTTTTCTGCTCCAGGAAGATAATTCTTCTCCCTATTCAGACATACCTTCACTCTTATGGAGCTTCTGATCCAGTTCAGCACATCCTTTATGGCTCTTTGTGTAAGAGAGCCTTCCTCTATAATGTCTCTTTAAAAAGTATTCCAATCTCCTCTACAGCTAAAACTTTAGCTCAGCTGGGTCATTTATCTCTTCAGTTGCTGAATCTCATTTGTTCTTGCAGAAGAGCTGGTTTTTCTACTACCACACTGAAGGTGGTATTATTAGGTAATCTTTAAATAGCCTCCTTGTGACATTCAGCTGTCTCTGTTAAGTTCATCGACTCCAGGGTATCTGAAACACTAAGCCTAAAAGAAGCAGTACTAATCCCAGATCCTCTGTGTAGAGGTTTTCAGCATTTCTCTGCACTGCTAAGTTTTGTTGTCATGGCAATGCTCGTTAAACTATCACACACATTCTCATCTGACCTCAGTTGACACAACTATACTGCCAAAAAACAAAACAACTAAAGAAACAAAAAAACCCTAGTACGTGAATATATTTTTTTATTAGAAGATTACTTATATCAGATTGGAAAATTAATTCTTTGCACCATATTTAGCTATAGACTTAGTATTTTTCAAGACATTACATGGGTTCTCCTTTTTTCAGGCATTAAAATAGGAAAGAAATATGTTCACTTTTTCAGAAGATATGTAAAGAGAAATAATGTAAGAGCTTCTGACATTGGTAAGAGAAAATCAGATTATAAGAAACATATATTAAACACTAAAGATAAAAATTCAGTGCACAAACATGGAAAAGTATTCCCACTTTTAAAAAATACTAATAACCAGTCAGAAGAACTGCTGCCTTTAGACTAAAGACTCAGTATCAGTAACATGACTGAACACAATGAAGCATGACCCATCACCAGAAAGGCGCTCTGCAGGGGACTGTTACTGTGTAAGATTTATACCTATAATTCTGCAAGCAAAGCAGAGACATATGCTCATCTCAGCTACTCCAACAGTAATGATCCTTTAGTGGTTTCATTGTATTTCAGAACACATCTCTTTCTGAAGCCTGTAATCCTTATATAGGCAAAACCCTTCCAAAGTCAGCAAATTAAAATGCTAAATGTTTTGAAACCATGGCAAATTTAGCATGATATTTAAATAAACAATTGTAGAGAAGATATTCCTCTATCTTACTGCCAAGAGTGCATGGATGCTGTAAGAGCATCAAGAGCTGAAGAGTGATGGATGCTGTAACTTTATTGAACAGCTGATAGCTGTACAAGCACTCAAATTCTTTCTGGAAATTATTTTTAACATAGTTGTTTCCAATTCCACTGATTTATGGAAGAGAACCAATAAATTTAAAATTTAGATTCAGGTAAATGAGCAAAGAAAGAATTTATATGGAAACATATTTAAAGGACAAAATCCAGATTTATTCCTAACCTATTTCCTGTCCACTTAAAATTGTTCAGGATATGAGCCATCAGATCTTTTAATTTAATTTAGTTTTTTTCTTCAGTTTGTAAGAAAGCATTCCAGTCCGCTTTCCTTGTATTCTCGTACTATTATTAACTGCTTCAGTTGTTTTAAGAATACAAGGTTAGGTCAAATTTTCTTTATCAGAATATATTCGAATATTTGCCTAAATTTTAAGAGTATTGGAAGGTGGAAAGTTTGAAACATTTGTATTTCATCTAGGGGGACTCCTGAAACACTACTATTTATTTTAATCTTTTTCATAAATGCCTAAGTCTTTCACTAATCTTGTTTTTTGAATACTTACCTGGAAGATTTCTTTGAGATTTCAAAGCTAAGTTCTACTCAGGCTTCAATGCAACAAAGGTAAGACATCTGACTATGGTGAGGAAAGCCATCCCCCTGACCCCAGGACTCACCAAGAGCAGAAGACTATGTTAGAAGCTCAACTATATACCTATTTAAGTTCTACAGAGTAACTATTTATTTTATTAAATTTGGGGTTTTTTAGTTAATTTCTTAGGTGAACTCCATTGCTCACTGACTTAACTTAGTCCTTGCTAAATAAAGATTTTAGAAACGTTAGCACAACCCCCTGGAGGTGGCTGTGGAAATTGCTGTGGCCATTCTCATGATGATGCAGTACCATATGCCCAGGGTTGAGGGTTCTTTTGATCAATTTGGAGACAACTCGTGTCTGCCTCTCCTGGAGCTGCCTAGAATCACAGCCGACCTGGCACACACTGCCTGGCAGCAACTGAACAAGCAATAACAATAAAGTTTAGCTCAGCACTTTTGAAAGCATCTGTCCTAAGTCATTAGCCAGAAGACATTTGTTAGGACTCATTACCCTCAGCTGATATTTATTAGTCAAAAACTCCCACTACTGAGCTAATTAATTCTCTTATGACCTAATTAGCTTCCTAGCTGCATTTTGTCTTTTCTATTTCAGCATCATCATCAATGTCTGGGTGATATAGCTTACTCACAATGTGAAAGGAAAAGCACCTGGAGAGCTTTGGTGGCTGAATGTAGAAAAGCCAGACCTTCAAGCACATGCACTTGAGGAGTGCTGCTTCACAGAAAAGCAATATTCCCAAAGGGGAAAAAAAGCCAGAAAATTTGTGTCAGGAACATATTTCTTTGTGCCAATATATATATTTTTTAAGATTTTCTTTAAAAATAAACACAATTATTATCCAAATAAACAGGATTCCTTTTGTACTTACTAATTGGTGGACACCTAGAACATGTGCATAGATTAAATTGAAAAATGAAGTGTTCACCATGTCCAGTGAAAACACTGACATGCCAGTCCCACACAAAGTTATTCCACCATTATTACACCATGCCATTACATGGAGAACATTGTAGTGATCCTTCAGCAGATTTTACCCTAGAAGAAGCTCTGGTCAATGGGAATTTATTTGGATGATGGGCGAAGCTCAGTTTTGAGTTGTGTGCAATCACTTCTGTTTATTTTGGGATATAATTGTGGGCAGGCACGCAAAGCAGCAAAAAGACCAAGCTACAACTCGGTAGCATTTTAAGGAAGCTCTGTGACTTTTTCAAGGCATAAGCTATTGCTACATCAGAGACTGAATGCTGAGCCATACCCATCCAACTGAGCTCTCATTCCCATACCATGCAGCCACTCTAAAATGGGCTCTTTTGCCCTAGTATAAACATCACGTATTAGCCTAAGCAAGTATTTCCCTGTTGCCAACGTGTTTGATGAGGGTCCCTCCCCAGTGTTCCCATGGCACTTGGGCTATATCAGCCACCCAGCTCGGGAAAGCCATTTTCCCCAAACTCACTCTATTTTCTCCTCCCCACCTCTGGATGCAGCAGGGGCTCCCAGGCCCAGGTGATCCTTGTGTGTGAGCCCGGCCCGCGGCGGGCGCCGCTTCAGCACCGCGGGCAGGGACAGCTCCGGGAGCAGGGGCGGGCCGGGCAGCCCTTCCCTTCCCTTCCCTTCCCTTCCCTTCCCTTCCCTTCCCTTCCCTTCCCTCCTCTTCCCTCCCAGTGAGAGGGCCACCCTGTAAAATCACACTGGAGTAGAGCAGAGAGCTCGGCCCTGGGACAGAGGAGCAGCACACTGAGGCACTGGAGCACGGTCGGGGCTCAAAACTTAAATCCATTTCCTGGGCCAACGACCCCAATGGCAGGAGTCAGCTCAGATGCTGGAGTAAGGCAGTGGACTTTGGCTTATTCAGGGGTAACTTGTGTATATCAAGCATATATTTCAATAGAACCATCCATAGCAATAAGTCTAAACTCTCTTAAAAGTGAAAATATTGCTGCTTTTATCTGAGAATCTCTAATTTTTAGTGAAGTGATGAACCCTTTTGCTGCCTGTATTTGGATTCACATTCATGCACTAGCAGCCCTGATTTGTGTCTGGGACTGAAAGTAGCCATGTGCCCAATGTAACCAAACACTTAAACTCTAAAGTAGCTTAATCCGGTGGCTATGAAGGTAGGAGCCAGGGAGGATTGCAGCAAGAAAAGTTGTTAGTGATAGGTGCAGTAAGACAGAAACGCCTCACAATCCAATTATTCCTAGCTGAAACAGTAGTCCAGTTAATGGTCTTGTCACTTAATTGCTAAATTGAGGCATTCTTAATTACATAAGGTGCTGGAACAGAATCCAGACTTGCCTAAATTTGGCAAAGACATCTCTACCCTGCTGCACTGTCTCTATTCCTTCACCAGCAGCAAGTCTGGCCTGTAAAGCACAATTAGATCCCTAAATCCTGACTTCTATCACAAATTCACTGTAACATGATAAATTATAATTTCCAACTTTTATAGACTAAGTGAGCATAAATCAGCCAGGAACATTCATGTCCCTGTTACCTAAAACAAACACACAATGAAAAACCCCCTTACCTCGGAATGAGTGAGTTCTTGTCCTACCTCATCCCTGCAATACTCACATGCTGAGAAAGATCTCTTCATGTCAATATTTTAAGAAAACTTTTTTCCCTCTCCTCCTGTTATATTTTCTTTGCCTCCCTATTTCAAATCATCAGCAACTTCTGACATGGCTTTCTAGGGGTGAATCCCTTAGTATCAGCAAATATTGAGGCACTCTGAGCAATAGCAGTGGTTAGAGGAAAGTGGAAGTCCCTGAAATTGCTGCTACAGAATCAGTCTGACTATGTAGTGGAAATGAAAAAAAAAAAAAAAAAAAGGTTCAATTCCTCTTTCCCTTTCTGAAAACTTTTTAAATTAGGTGATCTAGCTGGTGGGAGATCTACCATTTAAAAATAAGATGGCAAAATATCTACATTTTAAAGCCAAACAAGGAAGGCATTACCTGGTTGGTATCCTGAAGTCTACATTGGGTCCCAATTTATAAGCTACTTGTAGAGAAGTGGATCCCACTACTCTCTCAATAATTCCTTGGGAAGCAGCTTTTTCTATTTGAAACTGAGAAATCAGGTCAAAACCTGCAAGAAAAAAAATATACATATCCATAATGTAACTTTCATTTAATTTGAGAATTGTGTTGTCACAGAGCTGAATATAACCTGATATTTTTTTGAACAGCAGCTTTTTCCTGAAAAAGTCAGGGTGCTACTTGCCTGGTAGGTCATCTTGGCCAATCCTGATTGTTGGGCAGATATCAATTCTGTGACTGGCACCCAGAATAGCTGGTAGTCCTGCAAAAAAAGGTGAATTTACTAACCATGTGCCTTCACATTGCCACAGATCACCTTATAAAATCAATGGAAGCAACTGTAAGATTATTATGAATTAAACAGAGCTATAAATAATAATAATTAGAGGTATATAATAATTTAAACTGTACTCAGTAAAGTATGGGGTATAAGAAAATAATCATCTTTTTCTAGAGAGCTCCAAAATAAAAACAGTAACTTGATGTGCTATTTGATTTTTTTTCAAGCCTTTAACTGAGATCGTTATAATAAATCTTCTCTTGCAGAGCTGTTGAGAAATAGCAGTAGTTTAAGAAGGACTCCTGTGTAAGGAGGTTTTGGGTTGTAACTTTTTGTGGTTCAAGCAAACTTAAAAAAAAAAAAAATGGCCAGTTACCTAAATCAACAGTCTCTCTACTCCCAAGGAAACTTAAACAAACCTCATGCCAATTAAAAAAGTTGTTGTGAATCAGTTGGCATCTTTTCCATCCTCTCTGGTATTCCAAGCTTTCCCATTTTCCTCTGTGCCAGATTTGATCAGAAAATGAACATTCATGAAATGTAAGTTGGTGGCAAGAAGATTTTACAGACCTTTTTTGTTTACCAAAATGAAAATGTAGAAGAAATCTGTTTGACAAAACTAAATCTAAAAATCCAATTTTTCAGAATATTATTTGTCAAAAAACTTTGTCATGGCCGTAAGACCTATAAGATATCCAGAATTAAGGAAGTAGGAAGGAAAAATAAGCATTTATTTGAAGAGTTTAAGAGCCATGTAAAAGTCTAGTATCAAGTCAATCTGGAAAATGTTAGCAGAGTGTGGGTAGGGAAGAATGAAGAGTGGAAGTTGGAAGGAGAAGCATTTCTAACCTACAGAGAGCCTCTTGTGTGCTGCAAAGGCTCAACCCTAAATGTGGGTTTCCTTCTGACAACATAGGCTTAAAGAGAACATTCAGGTTGACACACTACACCTTAGAAAAGACCTCATTCTCTATTCTTTGATGGGACACATGGCTGACATCCAGCCATTTACATTTTATGCCCAGCAAATAAAGTAGAACCATTTTATTGCCCATGCAGCAACAGAAGATCTAACTAAAAGCACTGAAAGACAGGGAAGGTTTGTGTCCTGTATTTACCATCTATATCCGCACTTTAATCCTTACCTTAAAAATACATCTAATAGCAAATTTAAAGCAACGTACACAGCTCTTGCTTTTTTCCTGTTTTTCATGTATATCCTTCTATCCATCCATCCATACATAAATGCACATGGACAGCACTCACTTTGTGTGATGGCTGGTTACAGAGGATTTTAGTTTTGAATAAACACAGAATAATTTTTTTGGCATTCAAAATTACACAAAGATAAAATGTAGATAAAATCTGTCTCCTTACTTGATTGGTGCTGGATGGTGGCTGAGATGAAAGACCACAGAAAACTACACAGGTAAAAGAAAGCTGTAATTTTCCTGTAAACAGAAAGAAAGCTCCAGTATGAATCTATAGTTTCTGACAGGTTCTGTTATTAGATTTCTCCTCCAAGCCATGCATATTAAACATATAAAATACCACCTAAGGATCTGCTAACAGATTTGACATGACAATTTCTTTGGCAAGATAATGTCTTTACATGACAACGTTTTATTTTTGCCTTATAATAAAATATGTCAATAAAGCTCTTTCTATTGTAGTCCACTCATATAATGCTGGCAAGGACAGCTTTCATGGTTCTAATCTCTTATTTACAGATGTCTCTAAATCCCACTTGTTCTCTTACCAGTGGCTTTTCATCTTCACTGCAGGATTTCTTCACTTCTCTCATGTGAATGCACAGGGTATATCGTCACACTGCCTGCTTCCCTCTCATTAGTCCGACACAGGAGTGCAGCAGTGGGTGCAGACAGCAGCTCCTGCCCCACCAGGACCCTGCAGAGAGGGAGGTGCAGGCTGCTGGGCTGGTTTTAATCTTTCCAAGGGAAGGAGGTGGAGGCTGGACAGACATGTGTGTCCTGGTGGGCTCTGAGGGCGGACCTCTGGAGCCAGCTGAATATAAAGAAGCCAAGAGAGCAAATTAAAGTCTGCTTCTTTCACCAGCACGAGGGCAGGGAGATTCAGAAAATGTGAGTTCAGCAAAGCCAGTCTCTGAATGGTGGGATCTGCTGTACAGCCAGGCAGGGGAATGAATTATACATACCAGGAGGTGTGAGGAAGCTGGTGGCCCTGATATGGTGTTAAGACTAAAAGCTCTGAGAAGAAGCAAATCCCTGCCCTATAAAGAAGATATTTCCATTTCTCACTGATTTACTCATCAGGTGACCTCAGGAGAAGCCTGTCTGCTGAGGTCCCAGTTGGTTTTTCTGAATAAAACAGGTTATGTAAAAGAGTTTTCATTCCTTAGATCCTAACCTCCAAGGCATACACATAGGCATTATTAAGCAGACTCTTGTTCTGTTGCCATTGATAAAGCACTCCCTTTCCAAAGAGACTATTACATATGCTTGGACACACAAAGACATTTACTCATATTTCTTCACCCAGATACAAAAAGAGAGAGAGAAACTAAAATCTGTGTACATGTAAAGATCAAGGAAAAGATAATAAAAAGCCAGAAGGTCCTCATAGGAACCACAGTCAAAATTCATGTATGTATGGAGGAGTATACTAGGTTGTTCTTATACATCACATTTGTAAGGTTTCGTCTTCTCTAGACTACTGATATTCTGGTTACTAACACCCTAAATTTCCAGATCTTTCAAAGTGTGGAATATAGGAAATGCAATAATCTCTGCTGTCTGATAAGTGTCTGGAGAAATAACTGGGTAATGAACCATCCCCTCCGTCCCAATTTGCTGTAAATCATATTCCCAGTATTGGTAATTTCAATGTTAATGTGGTTTACAGTTTTAAATTTATTGTTAGAAAGGGTGGGGCTGGATCACACACACAAACAGTTTGCCATGAATAATGTCTGATTTTGACGCCTAAGACAGTGAAGCTTAGGTGATAACATTTTTTCACCCTTCAAGAGAAAGATACACCCAGGGACCCTTGTGGTCCAGCATGATTGTGAACATTACATATCAGCTCCAGGATTACCACACAAAACCTCTGCCAATTAAAAAACAAAAAAGGTGAAATATCAATTTGATCTCACAAGAAGTTTGCCCAAATCACCACATACCCGAGTGCCTTATTTCCCCATGCAGATATTCCCATTGTGGCGTCCAATGGTACCCATAGGGCCTGAAAGGAGTCCATAAGGTGCTGGAGGAAGAGCAGTACATGGGAATCACTTGGAGCTATAACAAAGGGGAACGTGGCATGTGAAGGAATGACAGAGAGCACCCAGGACTTAAAAAGAATACCAGAAATTTTGTGAAAGAATGGAAAAGGGTCAGGTGCCAAACCATCTCTTTTGCTGTCTATAAGCTGTGGCATTGCCTTTGCCTTTGAGATTGCTTAGTATTGCCAATTTATTTGAGGCAGTATTAAGGAAGAAAAAGCCATTCCAGTAGTTAGATATGGAACTAATTAGAACCACCTTACAGTAAGTTAGCAATATTTTTTAGTACATGGTGTGAAGATGTCTGCCATCCATTGTGTCTGGGGTAATTCACACACCCATCATCCTCTCCTAGAGGGGGACTCTTGTTCAGAGAAACTTGAAGAACATATACTCTGTTTCTGGGCAATCTATAATCTAATTTTGCTTGCATTTCATTGCAGGAATTCTCAAGGATGGAACTTCTTTTATGTCTGGAGTGTTTTCCCAATACAGGATCTTCAAAAGGCATTTTTACTGAAATAAAACATGGGAGACAGTATGTAACTAAAGCTGGTAAAACACATTTACTATTCTGTTGGTGGGCAAAAGAAAAATTCTTTAGAAAATTAATAGCCTCTGGTTGCACTGTGTGCATTTTGATGTCTTCATCTTGAAGGAAAACTCACAATCTGTGATGAAATTCCTGATTAGGTGCTCTACTAATAATTATCACATCACCTTGAAAGAGCCAGAAAAATACTAACTGACAGACTAGTGGTAGCAGATTTAATAGCCCCATGATCCAGCCAATATTATTCCCATTTCAATAAAATGTAAACTGGAATAGATGGAGTATGTATTTTACATATCTTGCTGTCACAGAGACAGTCCCCATCCAACTAACATTCATGTTTAGCTGATCTGACTATTTTGATGTCACTCTACGTCACTTCATAGTTTTCTCTTCTTATTATTTGGGCCAGTAGAGGTTTTTTTCAGAAAACCTCAGTGTGCAGTTATTGCTGTTTAGCCACTTGTTCAGGGATTCATCATCTAAACACTAACTGCTCATCTTTTGAACATGGATGAACAGTGGTTACTTTGTTCAAATACTATCTCCTGAAAATAAGCTACGTAGGAATGTCATCACCTTGCTGGCATTTGGAGATGTTCTTACACACCTGACTTCACATTCCACTCCTCAAATATCTGATTCCATACTCATTCCATACTCCTGTTCTACTGTGTAGCTTGAGTTGGAGAACAGATATTCACACAGCTGTCTCTGAGAATGTGGCTGGAGAGAAATAGCAAACTGGTGGACCCAGTTTCTCTTGCAGATATAAACTTGCTCTCTGTGATGAAAAGGTTTGCAGCAAGGTGGGTGCAGTTGGACCTTCAGAAGGTGCAATCCAGCAAAAACCAAAAAAAAAAGACTAAAGGCACGATTTAGAGAAGACCACATGGCAGAGAAGAAGGTTTCTAGTTCAAGCTTGGATTGATACAGCAATTTAGGATGACTAAATTATGTGAAAAATCATTTCTTGATGCGTATTTTCTGTCTGGGCTTGGAGGAGCTCAATGCCACTGGCTTATACTTTTGAGCAGGACTTTTAGAAGGACCTAGGCAAGTTTGTTTTTCCCCTGAAAGTATCTGTGACATATATGTAGGTACTGGGGTCTCAAGAACAAGCTTTGGAGCTGGAGGAACTGAAGTCCAGTTTGCACCGTTAAAGTGGCGCCTCTGCCTGTGTGAGTGACCCCATAAAGGACCAGTGGTTCATGCTCCCAGCCCTGCACGGCTCTTCCACACACAGCTGGAGAGGAGAGGAGAGGAGAGGAGAGGAGAGGAGAGGCAGGGAAGACATTACTTCTTATTTATTGCCTATCTCTCTCCTGTCTCCTGGAGACAGACGCTCCTCTCCCACATGGTCTTCTCTAAATTGTGTCTTTAGTCTTTCCATGTGACTTCAGCCTCTTACAGCCATGTTCTCTGTTCAGTTTACAATTTAAAAAATCTGTTTTATACATTTCAACCTTCTTTATCCTTACCTGTAGTGTAAGGGTCACTGCTCTCCCTGGAGTTTGCCAGACCCCAGGATAAGCACATAGCACACTCTTAACATGAGTGAGTTTGTTGTTTGTTGTGTTTGGCTCTCTCAGCTCAAGATTAACTGTGTGGCTGTAAACGATGGCATTTACAGACCTGCTCTGCATTAGAGACCTGCTCTTTATTAATCATGCTAAGAGTTAAGGTAACTTGGACCTGGGACTGATCTCATTGACATCAGGGGCAAAACTTGCACTGACTTAAGAGCCTTTTAATTAAACCAGCAACAAATAATTAATCCAGCTTCCTCAAGTGTAGAGTAATTGAATTGACAGCAAAACTATAATCCTTGTCAGGTTCCAAAACATCATTGGAATTTAACAAATAATCTGTTATCCAACAAATTCTTACCTTGATCATGAAAATGTACTTTTCTGTCCAGAATTTTATGAATTTTGGCATGGGAAGAAAAACAGCTTTTCTTTCCAAGCTGTCAGATGCTGTTTTGCATAAAGACCAAACAGCTTCTTTCTAGTAGAGGTCACTCAAAGAAACCTGGGAATTCTTGGGGCCAGACTCTCATCTCCTCAGCACAATCCTCTTTACAGGTGGACCTCACTGTAATGCCACTGCAGCCAAATTGTGAACACTTAGGCTGTCCAATGTAGTGTACAAAATTCAACAAATCCCTCAGGAGTGTTCGTGGAGCAAAAATAGAGATGGTCTCTGTATGAAGCCAGCCAAACTTCCACCTTAGTTCTATGTCCCCTTGCCGTAATAATTTTTTGGTGGATGAGGCTTGCAGTTCCCATCACCTTTGGATGAAAGTCTATATTGTGGCATCATTCCTATTTTTATTTCTTTCTAGGTCAGAAGGTTTGTATGTTGTCTCCAGGGGTGTCAGACAGCAATTTTCTCCAAATGTTGCAGTCAGTGTTTCAGATTATCCTAAATACAGGAGAATTTATTTTCTAGTGGAACAGCAGAGAAAGAGAAAAGTTAAGCAGATTTCAAGTGTAACTATGCTAATACTGCCATGAACACTGTTGTGTTTCAGAAGAGATTATGACTTTGACCTCACTTAACATACATCTGTGTCCATCTACTGATCACACCCATTCTCAAAAACTAAAATAAGACCAGAAACAGGCTCTGCTGTTATTTATTAATTTGTTGATTATAAAATGTAGTGAAAATTTTCTCATTTATAATAGCAAATACTATTACCAACATCTGGATTCAAATTTCATGTAAATAAAAACAAAATTAAAAAACACCCCAAATTTGGAAGTATTTTCAGCAGAGTTTAAAGAGTCTTGATAATATTCTTGTGTATTTTTCTCTCTTCTAATACCTCTAAATATTTTAAGATTCTTTTCTAGCCAAAATTGCATTAATTGAACTTTTTGTAATTGTTGACATGATGGTACTTAGTTCTGTTGATATTTATCTCCACATACTGCAGCAAGCATAATT